ATTTTGGCGAGCGAGCATAGCGAGCAAGCAAAACAAAAAAATTCTCTTTTAATAGAAATTAATAAATAAACTTGTTTTTATTGGGGCAGGTCAGGATGGACGCAATCGCGTTTAACGCGATTCAATTCCTTTTTGGCGAGAGGGCGAAAAAACTCTTCCATTTTTAATGATATTGTTGCAGGTCAAGGGTGGGCACAATTGTTTCCAAAGCAATGTCTATTCATTTTATTTGCGAGCGAGTGTAGCGAGCTAGAAAAATAAATTAGTCTCTTTTAGCAACATTTACATAATTATACAGTGCGTCCCAGAAAAAAACGAAACCGAGAAGTATCGATGTTCTATCATAACTTAATCACAACTATAATTAATGAATGATACATATTTGGAAAGCTTAGAGTCTCCTCTTTCATGTGATGCTACTCAGATGATGCATATTTCACGCATGAGTGATTAAAAGCAATTTGAAGGAAGGAAACCAACATATTGCTCCGATTGTCTCATTTTCGCTCGCGTGAACATTGCCAGCACAAACCACTGACCTCTACCTCCTACACGGATCATCGCACATTCCCATTCACTATACGTTACGTACTAAAAGGCCGTATTGTCTGACCGTTCATGAATATTCATGTTTTTGCTAAACTCGTCAAAATGTTTGCTTTTACTAAATGGAAAAATTACGGTGGGGGGTTGGATGAAATGGACAAAACGAAATAGGCAGAAGTGATCTATGATAATTCATGCTTTTTATGTTTCGTGTGCTCGACCTATAATCTTCAAATCGCTTGGTAAACTGAGTCCAAAGTTAGACTTGTTTCAAATGTGTTTTATAGGCAATGACGAGCTTGCAACCTATTTTGAAAAATTACGGTGGGTGAACTTTCAAAAGTCAATTAGACATGAGGGCTCCAATGAAAGAGCTAGTGATAACGTACGTCGGGGTGGATGTGCTTTTCGTTTAAACAAAAAATGAATTTTTAACGATTTAAAAAAAAAAACGTCCATAGGCTAACATGTTAGGCTGCTGAATCTGACCATGCTCTGACGATAGGGGGCGTTGTGAAATGAGACTAAACGGAGCCATATGAAAGACATTTGGCGGGCGGTATCTAGATTTCGAGAAAAAATTCACATTTCTAGAAAGTTGAGTTTCTGCCCTTTTATATGACACCTCAATCAGGAAAAATGAGCGAGGAATGACAAAGTTCTGTTTGTTTAAAGTAGTGCTTGCATTTCCATAACTTTATTAAACGAATTCGTTTTCACTGGCTGCCTGCCGTATCAATAAACGAAATTAACAAAAGACTTAACTCCGTTTCATTGACAATCAGCCGTAGACGAGAGTCTTCATGCATGGCTGATTGTCAACGAAACGGAGTTAAGTCTTTTGTCAAATCTGCTTTTTGCTACGGCAAGCACCCAGTGAAAACGAATTCGTTTGTTAAAATTATGAACATGTAAGGGCTACTTTAAACAAACAGAACTTTGTTATTCCTCGCTCATTTTTCCTGATTGAGGTGTCATATGAAAGGGCAGAAACTCAACTTTCTAGAAATGTGAATTTTTCTTCGAAATTCAGATACCGCCCGCCAAATGTCTTTTTGGTTTCCTTCCTTCATATTGCTTTTAATCACTCATGCGTGAAATATGCATCATCGGAGTAGCATCAACTGAAAGAGGAGACTCTAAGCTTTCCAAATATGTATCATTCATTCATTATGGTTGTGATTAAGTTATGATAAAACATCGATACTTCCCGGTTTCGCTTTTTCTGGGACGCACTGTATTGTGTGTTATTGTTGCCATGGTTGCAGGTCGGGGCAGGCACAATTGTATTCTAGGCAATACTAATCCTTTTCTTTTTTCAGGGGGACGAGCAAGTGAAAACATTTAATACAAAATAGGCTAGCAAGCAGTTCGCGCCAGCGAAGAGTTTCGAATTTGTTATATCACTTATATTTTCCTATTTTCATTTGTTTTAATTTTTCAGGGCCGTATGCGGAATATTTTTCTGGTGGGGGAGGGGGAAAGATGCGTTAAAAAGTTTTCGAAGAATCTCAAAAGCAAAAGGAGTGAAGGGAGTTCGAGCGACCGAACTGGTCAAGAGGGTACTTTTGCATTTTCAAAAGTAGAATTGAAGGATTTGGTATAGGCCTACACTACATTTTCAGGAAAAGAACTGTACGTTTTCAAAATATCTGGGGTCAACTGCCCCCCCCCCCTGGTGCGTACGACCATGGTCTTTTTTTTAAAAATTTCCCCATTTTTATTCGTTTCCTTTTCTTTTCCCTTTTTCTTTCTTTTCTCTTCTTCTTCCTTTTTTCTTTCCTTTTTTTCCTTTTTTCTCTTTCTTTCCTTTTTTCTTCCCTTTTCCTTTTTTCTTTTTCTTTCCTTTCCTTTCTTTTCTTTTCTTTCCCCTTTTTCTTTCCCCCCCCTGGAGCCCGTCAGGGGGGGGGGGGGCACTCTGCCCCCTGCCCCCCATAGGTACGCCAGTGGGCAACAGTTTGAGAAAGTGGGAAGGGTCATACAATATTAAATTCCTATTGGTCAACAGGTCCACTTCCTTTCATGTTCCCCCCGAACTTGAATTCAGGGAAATCCTACCAGTTCTACAGTATAGCCCGAAACATGACTCATAACTTTGATGGATTAGGCCATTTGACCAGACTGTATTCCTGGCCGAAACCAAAACAATAATAAAATGGTCAAGGGTGTATTCCTCTTTTGTTATGTACATAACAAAAGAGGAATACAGCCATATAATGATACTGAGAATCATGACGCCTACTACTTTGAAAACATTGAGAATGGCTGTGTAGAAAGACATATTGCCCCCAGGGGTAACATAAACTCACCCTTGACCATACGAAATTTGAAAGGAAATGGACATGAGAAAAGCACCTAACTAGGAATAACAAGCACTACGTGCAAAACGAATGCGATTTTCTGACGAAGATAAGAAGAATATTTATGGGGCAGAATGTGAACGAAAACAAGGCAATGACGAAGGTCGTCATTGCAATAACATGCAGCCTTTTCACACACAGCTAAAATTCATCGTATCTAGAGATGATTAGTATAAACGTGTTTAACTCAACAGTTTTAAACATGTTTATAGAAAATTTTCCCTGTGTGAACATCGTTTATACGATGTTGGGATAGATAATAATTTTACCCCCCCCCCCACCCTGAAAATGATCTCCCCCTAAAAATTACCCAACTTATTATCGGGGTTGACTTCCCCTTTAATGAACAGGGGGTATTGTTCTTGGTTGTCCCGGGGGGGGGGGGGGGTCAATGTCCTATATAGGGGTTAAGTTTCAGAGATGGGGGTAATCGTCATCGGGGGTAATTTTCTGGGCGTAGTTTGAGTCGTCGAGGGGTAATTGTCATTTGGGTAATTATCCTTGGGAGTAGTTTTCTGGGGTGTAATTTTCCTTATTATGATAGGCGAATAAGGTGGGAGGCCGGGATTGAAGCCCCCCCCCCCTCCCCCCGAAGAATGTTGCAATGATGTTTGGCCGTTCGTTCGAGCAACCGACAATTTCGGGTAACGATGTGGTCTATTGATTTGTAATTTAATGTAGGCCTACTAGTCATGAAGTTAAATTTTGTGACAAAATTAGATATGATTGATATTAAGAAATGCTTGAAGTTCGGTTCTCCGACAGTGATCCCAATGACAAAAAATAGGTCCGGCTTTTAAAAAAGTTGCCAGGGTTGGTATAGATTTGCAAAAAGTTTGTATTCATGTTGTGTCGCCTTTTAATCCAGCGTCGTGGCTTTGTAGCGAAAAGAGTGCTTGTTTATAATACGATACAGGATGTTTCTTCGATTACACCCCTCCTTTTCCCCATTTTTCTTTTAGTCTCCCTCTTCAATTTTATATCCTTCTTTCTTAATACTTCTATGCTTTAGGCTATAATTATTTTTCAATTTTTTTTTAATTGTTTGTGTGTTATCTAATTTTCCAACATGACCAACATGAATCATGACATTTTCGCTGCCATAAATTTCCCTCAGTTGACTGTGAATAAAATAAATATAGGGGTAGAAACTAAAATCCCAGTCTGTTGTTTCATGTGAAATAAACCTATATGAATGGCTATCGAAAGAGTAGTATAAATAATACATTAAGGGCATACGCCTGTCAGGCCTTTCAAATTGCTAAGGTGATTCTTACGTTGTTAGTTTTGCGAAAGTTTTATGGCGAATAAAAGGTGAACATTTTTCATCTCTATCCATAACATAAATATCTCTCGGCAATAAAATGAATGAATATTGAATAAATAAATAGATGAATGGATGAATCTAACATGTAGCATTATGTAGAAAATGTGGGGGGGGGGGGGTGGGGGCAGTGGCGGATCCCGGGGGGCCCGGCCCCCCCCCCCTTGAGAAAAAAATCATGTAAAATCACGTGATTTTTACCTTTTTTTTGGGGGGGGGGTGCAAATTGAATTTTTTTTGAGGATCAAAAAAAAAAATGTGCTCACTACCCCCCCCCCCCCCCCCCCCCATGGAAGTGAATCGACGACTTCGTTTTCAAGATCATTTCGGAAAGTTTTATCTTTCAAGTTGAACTATTATTATTGAATGCATAAAATACTGCATAATTTAGAACAACTAGAAAACAAAAAACACAACAACTTGAAGTCTTGAACAAATAATCAAACAGGAATAAACCACATTTGCGTCACATAGGCCTACCCTAAAATTGTAATGATGATGATTAAAACGATGTCGGCGATGATGATAATTCCTATGACGAAAATGCTATGCTTTTCCAACCAATATCCTAAAAATATACGCTAATTTATTTTTTAATCAAGATTTGAGAGATGTCGAGAATAATTTGCAGTTTAAAAAAAAAATTTAAAAAATGAAGTGCCATTACTCTCTTTCCAAAGTGTTTACTTTAATAGTGGTAGTTTTTTTTGGACAAAATGTTGTTATTGTGGATTTTTTTTTCTTCCCCTCTCCGATAGAACACTGAAGATTTGACTGAACACATTATTAAAACATCATAGACAAGTCGCAGGATTTTCCAAAGGCAGTAAAAAATTGTTTTTCCAGATCAGAAACTGATAAATAACAGTGCACTTGCATTAGGCCTACAGAGGCAAGGGAAGAAATAAAGAAAGAAATATCAATTATCAAAATAACATGTAGATCGAATTCTACTGGGAAGCAATTTGATTTGGCCTAACGTGTACCCGAGATGTTTCCTTTTTCTATACTTTTGATGCGCGCCCACCATCGGGCGGAATTAGGGCGGGTCTAGGCGGAATTAGGCAAGGAAAATGCCTCACGCAGACGGCGCGCTACGGACAATCGCTTATGATTTCGGGCGTAAGAATGGCATAGCTAGATTTGCTAGAATTTCGGCAACAAATTGGTATACATTAGCGCCTGTATAATTCATTTTCAGAGAAGTTATCTGAGAAAAACTGCCCATCGGGCGGAAACCGGGCAGGGTACGGTATGTCGACGTGCAAATCTAAACGTCCCTAATGACCAGATTGAAGAGCGCCATCTAAACGCGAACACCAACAATAGTTTTCTGCACTTTGCCAGCTCAGGATATCACTGGAGCGGAGCAGAGCATTTGGAGCAGCGGAAACCTACGTTAAGATTCCCCTGCTCCAACCCGCTGGCAACTTGTCAAAGGTACGAACAGCCGCTCTTTAGCTCCGAGAAATCTATGCTCAATTGTAGAATACCCTACCATATGCAAGTGTTCGTATTTCATTTGGTGGACGAAAGGTTGAATTTTACGCTGTTTTGTGCGTCATTGCAGCGCTTAATTTGGTGTATTCGTTGCTAATTTGTGACAAATTTAGATGGCTTTTCTGAAGATATTTCAGGCAAAATGTCTGTTATTGTAGACAGCAATAACCATCTGATTTGGGTCATTTCTTTAGTAAAACTGACATTTGTTGTCTATAATCGGAGGTCTAGTGGAGCCAGACGTAGTCTCAGTGGAACAACCGACGATTTGAGAGACTGAAGTTTTCGGTCTAGTTATATTGATAAGCACTGATTCTTGTCCTTAGTTTACCTTTGACTTATTTCTTGTCTGTTATGGTCATTTAGTAGATGAATTATAACTAGAATTCTGAGCACTATTTCAGTAGGCCTAACACAAAAAGTCCAGCCCATGTATATTCCCACACACGTATTTGTATGTACTGTACCTTGCGCACTCCAAGGCCTTCCCTTTGTTCCCATAATGGGATAGTTAATATAAGAGAATGTCATGGTTATCTGTGTCGAAGGCCTTGGACTTGGAGAAGTCTAGGAAAATACAAATAGTATGGGACATATTATCAATAGCACAGGCAATCTATTGATGAACATGAGTAGACCCTAGACCCTAGATCCAATGCATGAGGTGGAGTGTTTACGTTGGAAACCATATTGCGATGCGATGACGATAATAATTAATAAATTTAGATATGAATTTAAAGGTACAAGTAGACCTAGGGTCTATATAAAAGCTTTTCTAAGATTTTTGAAAACGACGAAAGCAAGGAAATTGGGCGATAATAATAATAATAATAGCTAGTTTTTATATAGTGCTTTTCAGGTCCGAAGGCCCTCAAAGCGCTTTACAGAAATATATATTATCACCCCGGTCATCGGATTCAGGCTTACCCGCACACAATGTATGCACATTCTCCACTCCCTGGGGAGCATTCCAGCCAGGCATCATTTTTACAAGCGCACACTTGCTAATCTAAGCACATTAGCTTTCGCATCCTACCGGGTACCCATTTAACACCTGGGTGGAGAGTGGCAAATGTAGATCAATGTCTTGCCAAAGGACATTAGTGCCGCGGTGGGACTTGAACCGCGGACCTTGTGATCCACAGTCCATTGACATATCCACTCGTCCACAACACCTCTACATAATTACCCAAGTCATCTTTACTACCACTACAGTAGGGTGTCTGAACAATTTTTCAATTTTCGATTTGGGATCGTTTTTCACCATTTTTGTTGGATATTTGAATAAAAAATGTAATCAGAATAATACATTTCAAATTTCAAGACTCACCGATGTTTCTATCAAAAGATACAGCCCCTCAAAAACTCTGCAATATTCATAGCATTTTGGTCAGAATGGACAAAAAAGTGGTTCACGCCGAGTTATCATTTTTTGCTCAACAGCTGCATTCTAATGCATTAATTAGGCTATAGATCTATGCAAAAAGTGGGGAAAGGGTATTTTCAAACTTAAATTCTACGTGATCCCTTGGGGCTAGCGGAAAAAAAGAACATCAACGTATTCCTTACGACTTTAACTAATTATCCCTTGGGGGGGGGGGGGGTCGATTTTCAAAAGTTGGAAATCTCCCGAGTTGCCATGGAAACACATTTAAATCGCTCTTTTGACTAAGATTTTTTAGAAATTTGAAATGACCCCTTTGGAAATATGGGAATTAATCTGCCCTTTCATATGACACCTCATTTATTGAGTATCACCTTCGGGATCACAACAGATTGAGGTTTGAATCTAAATTTATTTTAAAAAACTTGATCTATTTTGACTCTATAGGGATGTGTGTAATGTCAATGGGAAGGGTTTTAGCACACAAAACGTGGTGCGCGATCAGACACCCTACTACCAGATTTTAAATATATTGGTGCCGCCTCTGTGCATGAGCAGCTTTAAAAAGTCTCTAATATTGATGATCAAGATCTACATCTACTAGTCCTTCATATATGTTATCCTTTATTCCTTTATGTAGATCCACTCCTAACCATGTTTGTTAACCTTTGTTATATTCAATATTAATACCAAAGCCTTTTGAGGTTTATTGTACTGGGAGAAGATATCCAGGCTTAAGTTTGCATGCTCCCTCCTCCACCCCCCCCCCCCACCCCCAGACAGAGGTGATGCTAAAAGTCTTTAACGAAAAAGCTAGGCCAAGGGAGACTAGAAAAGTGGTCTAGTTTATGTATTTGTATTAAGATCATCATCCTTTAGTACATCATACGTTTCAATTTGGAAATGAAAAAAATATTCTTTCTATACAGGTGTTTGCTAAAGCAGGTGTGACTGTAATAATAATAGATCTAATATGTTTTCTCTCATTTGCTCTCCCAGGAAGATTGGATTCAGAAGAATTGTTGACATTGTATTAAAGAGGGCAGCATATCGATCACCATTTGGCAGGAAAATGGCCTCCAGAGGGCGTTCAGAGACGGAGGTGTTGAAGCAGAATTTGCAGGAACAGTTGGATAGGCTGGTAAACCAACTTTGTGATCTGGAAGAAGTAAGGTAAAAAATCTCAGCTAAAGTTGAAGTTGAAGTTTATTTATTTTACATTTACATTAAAAAAACAATTTAGATTCATACAAACTGTAGAGTAACAAAACAAAATGGGTTGATAATTCCTTGAACTTTTGCTATGAGAACCAAACACGGTAGCCTAGCAGAGCCGGGGGTACTATTTGAGCACCTTGCGTCTTGCGTGATGGATATATACAAAACTGTCATAAGTACAAGCTCATCGGCATCCCATTAAAATGTGTGTTAAACTTGTACTTATGACAGTTGTCTTCTTTGTTTTGTTTTTTTGCAATGTATATACCGTGTGAGTCAAAAAAAAGTTTACACCTAGAAAATGGCTAATTATTTTAAGAATCATCTGTGAACAGTAAATTATCATACATCTTATGAAAGAGTGTTTTATCCCAACTCATTTGGTACCATTTTTGTGTGGTATGTGTTCACGCTTGGATGAACAGGTGGCATTGTTTGCGAGAGTGCAAAAATCAACTTGCGCCAAAGTGATGCCTTCAGTATGTATTATGTTGGGATTAGCGGAGTGAGAGAATGGATTGAATGTATCAAATAAAATGCATTGCATATGTTTTTTGCGAAGGGCAAAGTCACACACACCCACACACACACACGCACAAATGTTCGTTGATATTTGATATGTGTGACATGATTAATTTTGTTAGGGGTGTTATTTGGATATGCAAAGACCGAATTAATACCCAAATCCCAATTGTTTTATTCAAACATTACATAGGCAACTTTGGCGCAATTCGATTTTTGCACTCTCGCAAATAATGTCTCCTGTTCATCCAAACGTGAACACATACCACACAAAAATGGTACCAAATGATTTGGGATAAAACACTCTTTCATAAGACATATACGGTAACAGTTTAATGTTCATTAATGATTTTTTAAATAATTAGCAATTTTCTAGGTGTAAAGTTTTTTTTGACTCACTCAGTATATATATTATATGTACAATGTAATTTTCTTTGCCAATTTTTTACAACAATGTATGATGTGATTTTTACTGTGATTGGAGACAAATAATGTTCAATTCAATTTTGAAAAAACATATTTCTTGTGAAATTACTTCTTGTCTGTCTGTAGGGAGGACCTGGATGATGATGAGTACGAAGAAACCAAAAGAGATACAATGGAACAACTTGAAGAGTTCAACAACTCCTTGGAGAAAATAATGAAGGGGAACATGAGTTTGGTAGATCAACTCAGTGGAATACAACTGGTAGGTAACTTAGGTATCTTTGTATATAATACTATGTTATGTTTACTGCTAAGTGCTATACATGTATGTACATGTATAATATGTGTTATTGTTCCCAAAAAACATTTTTTGTTTTTGTTGTATCAGTGCTCTGATCAGTATTCGGTAGAGGCGCTTAAAGATAAACTTTAGTACTGGTAATGCGATTGCATTGTGAAAGAAAAGGTGTGGAAAGGATCAGAAACAGTTGATCATGTAGCATGTAAGTATTGGTGTGCACTGCAAGGTTCTGGAGTCATCAAAATCATAATAAATTTGACCGAGTCTTGGTAAAGTAACAAGCACATACACAGAAAGCTATGTATGGGACAACACGCATGGTGTCGGGGTTGGTACTACCTTGATTCCTTGTCTTTCTATGCTCATTACTCAGCCAGTATACATTTTCTTCCAAAATTGTTTGGCACATGTCATTAATTTGTAATCTTGAACATTCAGTGTAAGTTTCGTTTGATTCTGTGAGAAATAATTTTCTTTTTTTTACCAGTACTCAACCTTCTCTTTAATAAAATAAATTATTCTTATTATTAGGAATACCTTCCTTTAGATTGAGTTTTTGAGCAGAAAATAGACATTACAAGGGAATTACTTCTTTCCATCAAGTATTTGCATTGGGTCGAGTTGTTAGGTTCCACAAATTTCTATGACTGAAGGTTGTGTGTAACATCTGTTAAATGCACCCCTCTTATCGCCAAGCTGTTGGGTCTAGTTTACCAGACACTTTTAAGTTAGAACCTATGTAGTATATCTATGGAAAATTGCGTCTCAACATTACACTTTTTGATATGAGATGAATAATGAAAAAGAGAATTGGTCCTATATGTGACTATCATGATGGCTATCTAATATAGAAATTTAATCCCTTGGGAAAATATGACTCTCTTCGGTAGTCCATAGAATGATATATTACACAGCCTTCCAGTCACTAGGCAGTTTTTGCAACCTGCGACGGGGCCTTCTACAACGCTAATCTTAGCAGGTGGTCGCACTCAGAGCGAAAAAAGTCTCAACCTACGACGGAATTTAGCCGAATTAGCGTCGGGAGTCGAGCTAGTACTGGGTGGCGTGATTAGCCACTCGGAGCGCTTGTTTACTTTCACATGTGCAAATGGGCGGTACGACTTTTCCGACGTCACACAAGCGCGGAAACTTCCGCGTATGCAGAGTTGCGAAATACCCCGTAGTCAGCACTTGCGTCGCCGTGCGAAAAGTCCATTATATCTGTATATTTTAGGAGATGGAGCACTTGTCACCAGAGGATGTCATATGTGTAGAATCCTGGAGAGGTGCTGTCTAGAAGAAAGGATTATAATTATGAATTTCATTGTGTTTCAGGCCATCCAAGCAGCAATCAGTGATGCTTTCAAGACTCCAGAAGTCATCAGACTATTTGCCAAGAAGCAACCAGGTCAACTCAGACAGAGATTAGCCGATGTAAGTCACCCACCCTGAAAGCAAAATCCAACCTAATGCCTCAGTCACACCTGTGCGTATTTAGCTTGCATATTGCTGCGTATTTATTGCAAGACGTTATAACATTTATTCCTATATCTTGATATCAAGAATTGAATTCTAGATATCAAGAAATGAATTCTTGATACCAAGATATCAAATTCTTGATATCAAGATTTACCATTGCTTTACAACAGAAAATATTTTCTTGATATCAAGATATAGGAATAAATGTTAGAACGGCTTGCCAAAAATACGCAGCAAAACACAAGCCAAATACGCAAAGGTGTGACTGAGGCATTAGGAGCACATTTCCTCTGTAGGAAACCAGAAAGATTTGAGAAGCTGATTGGTGGAAGATTGATTAAAAAACGGACAGAGAAATAACAAAGTTAAGACTTTAAAATACAATTGAAATCATTAAACACTAGGAAATTTCACATTGGCCTAATCAGTAATGTCAATGTAATATAGTCAGGCCTGAATATAGTGGCAGTCAACTCTCCCAATTGTTCCAACATGCTGAATTTTCTAATTTCTAATGTTAAAAACATTGGACAGAAGATGCTTTTTCACAATGGCTACCAAGGGGTGTTACTTAAAACTTTCAATTGTGAATACTTGCTAACCATGGAAACTTACAGAGAGCGGCACTAATGTCAATAAGGAAAGTAAAGGTATAGACCAGTTCTGGTCATGCGATTGCATTGTGATAGAAATGTTGTGGAATCAATCAGAAAAGGTTGATCATCTACCATATAAGTATTGGTGTGTCCTGCAAGGTTCTGGAATCGTCAAAATGATGAGAAATTTAGCCCAGTCTTGATAAAGTTACAAGCACTGTACACAGAAAGATGTATATGTGACTATGCGATATCTATCCAGGCGGGATAGATATGATAATTTACCAAATATATCAATTAGTAGGCGGTTTCCCGTCAAAATTTGTATCATCACGTGTTAGTCGAAACATATTCTTTCACATGATTGGTAATAAGAGCTTCCATTTCATTTTCTGAGAGGGGGGCGTTTCCAAAACTGGGTCATACCTTTAACCTACATTTGCCACACTCCACCCAGGTGAGGTAAATCGGTACAAACAGGTAGGAAGAAATTCCTAGAATGCTTGAGTGTCTTTTCATGGTAGCTCGGCTAAAGCCAGGGTAATGATATGATTGCAGGGCCCTCAGGGAGAGCAGTATTAATACTAATGAGGCTACCCTGGGTAAATAAGATTAGTATCGAAACTTTATACTTGATTAGAAAATATAAATATGAAGTTTACTTGAAGAAAAAAATTAAGCAGGAAGTACATGAATACAGGCAAAATATGTATATCATTATATTCATTCATTGATTTATCCACTGTATGATTCATTTCAAATTCAGCTTCAACGTGATGTAAAGATTGGTAAAGCTTCGACTCTTGTGTATAGACAGCAAGGAGTAGAAATCCTCACAGCTCTGAGGAAACTTGGAGAAACGGTAAGTTTTCATCTCTATCGTCAAACTCTTCCCGGGATACTAAGATTTAATTTGGACGGGGTCGTGCCGCTCAAGCCTCGAAAACCCTACCCATTATTAGGGGTCATTTTTATCAAAAAAAGACAAATTTTTCACAATTTTTTGGATGTTTTTCGGGTCTTGGTATGGCAAACACCTGAAATTTTTGGAAGTTTTAGAAAAACGACACCATTTTTAATGGTCAAATTGGGACCCATGTTTAGGGATTTTTTGTGAAAAAGTGACCCATTAGAGCGGCACACCCCTGTATGTCCTTATATGTGAGTACGCCCCCCCCCCCCCTGGGGCTTTAGTGACCACCTGTATAGAAAGACCTCATTTCATGTTTCCCTTAAGCAGTATTTATATACAGGTTTCATTGTAATAAAGAGATCACTATGAGAGAAGAATAATGCATTTGTCTTTAGATCACTTCTCTATGACTCACTTACAAACTGACTGACAAAACCCTTTCATGGAATGATATACACTGTACCACAACACATCAAGAACGCTATAATGTTCAACTCTTTCAAACATAAATTTTAAGAGTATTTATTGTATTGCTAATTTTGTCTTCAAAATTTGAAAAAAATTATGAATTGTTTGAATTGAAAATGGTTTATAAAAAACGATGTACATAGCAGCCCAAAAGCTGAATTTTATATCATATGATTCACAATAAAAGAGCAGTAAAATCGCATTTGCGTTTACAAAAATGTACATTAATCTTAACAATTTAAAAGCATAACATACATGTAGTTGAAGTCAGTACATTAAAAGATGAATCATCATAGGGATGTTGTTATGCAAGGAGGGAGAAGAGAGAGAGATGGAGAGAGAGAAATAGAAAAATTTGTATTCACTTTTGTAATTTTATTTCTGTCCTGATGATGAATGTTTGTTTTCATGTTAATGGGACCATGTTTTTAAGTTATACCGATTTTTTTTCTTCATCCCACCTCATTTACATGAATATTTTCTTCTTTGTATATTTTCTTGTACCATGTAATATTGCCTTTACATTATACTTTGTCATATTATAAACATGTTTTTGGATGGAGATGCAGAAATAAATGAATTCAAAACTGAGTCACTGAAAAAAAATGTGAGTGGTTTTTTATCTTAGACTATCATGTAAATGCATTTATATACATTGATTTTATTCTTAATTTCATATTTTCCAGCTTACCCCTTCTGAAAATGAATTTTTAATGAGCAACTCTAATCAGGCACTGAGTGACTTTGAGAAAGTAACTGGTGATGTAGGTAAGTCTTATAGGGACATCTCTTAAGTTAAAGCCATACTGTACTAGCTAGAAGCACTACTGCAAATTCCCCTCTACCGCCATCTCAGGTCAGCTGTTGCAGTATGGTCCTGTAACTCACTATTTTCCTAGCTGTGCTGTTGGTTCTTGCAGCGAGTCCTCTGCGAAGTCGAAACTAGGTATTGGGTTATGCATTGTTAGCAAGTTGACCATTTGATGGCTCTGCAATGAACAGTATGCTAGGACAGCACAATAATCGGTTCAGTATCGCTTAAATAAAATTATTATACATGCACTCAGCATGAAAAAGAAAGTGGACATTTTTTACACTTACGATTTTGAAATAAATATTTAATATTATAGTAATGATGACTGCTATGAGAGACATAGTAAGGATATATTGACTGCTTTGAGAGGCATAGTGGTTTCTATAGGGTCAAGGGAAACTCACAACCTGCTATGACCCCAAGGCGCTTGCGCCGCGGGGTCATAGCAGGTTGTGAGTTTCCCGAGACCCTATAGAAACAACTATGCCTCGAATATTAAAAGCAGTCAATATATATTTTATATACCGAAAAAAAGGAAAATGTTGACTCACCCATTTAGGTTTCCATCTCTTTGAAGTCATGAATATTAACACCAACAATAACTTGTGTACAGTATGAAATCCAACAAGCTGTGCTCCAGTAGAACAGGGAATACCAAAATACACAAAATGGCGATCGGTCGTCTGCGCTGCGTGGATTGGTAGATTCGTCGCCTGAATGCAGCGACCAAAATCGAATTGCACTCAAACACCGTTAACGGTATTGCGCATCGGTCATCGCACAAAAGAAACTTATACGGTAACACGTAAACCAAAATGGGGATCGCAGCAAAATGACGTCACGTTTCACAGCCATGGAAAAAGTGCTATGAAAAATGGATATAAACCGGTAGAGCCGGGAAAAATGACTATGAATTTCAATTAGCGGGCATGGTTAAGAACATGACTGCATTTTCAACCAATCAGAAGACAGGATTAGTAAAGAATCTTAAAATGAGGTATATAATTGTTTTTATAACCTCCCCGAGATCCTATTAAAACAACTATGTCTGGAATATTAAAGCAGTCATTATAACTTTTTTTATATACCTCACTTAAGAAATCCAGCCATCTGATTGGTCGAATTGCATTCATAAACTTCAACTGTTCCTGTAAAATTCCTGGTAACCATGCTTAAAACATTTCAATATTTTTAATAACCATGGTTATTAAAAAAATAGGTCAGTCTCCATGGTTACCCCATAGGTTTACATGTTAAAAAATGGTTTGAGCGATGGAGGATACCATACGTGTGCGAAAAATTGGTCGGCAATTTCAATACAATTGAATCTCGATCGATCTTACCGACAATTTTATCTTGCATTGTTGACATGAAGACGAAAATAAACTCTCAAAAACAAAAAAACAACATCTGCCGATAGATCTTGATCTAAGTTCGTGCCAATATGCATTGCAAAAGTAAAAGAAGGGTCCGTTTCATGGAGCTTTTGCGAAGCATCCCTCACGCGGAGCCGTTTTCAATCCATTTTAATGTATATATTGGAGAAAACTGCCAAGCATGTTAACGGCGCGCGATAGCCGAGTGGTCTAAGCGTTGGTTTTCGATATACCTCTTGTTGTACGCAAGAGTTCGAATCCCGTCTTCGACATAAATATAAATTATTTTTTATTTTTTATTTTTTAGTCTATTTTTTTTCGGCATATAAAAGTATTAATGACTGCTTTAATATTCGAGAAATAGTTGTTTTCATACGCTCTCGGGAAGGTTACAATTGGGCTATTCCCCTCGGCAAGCCTCGGGGAATAGCACAATTCTAACCTTCCCTTGAGCGTAATAAAAGAACTATTTCTCTCAAAGCAGTCATTAATACTATAATATATCGAAAAGGGTCATAGAATACATGTGCGACTTACCAACCATGTAGCAACCAAATTAATCGCACACAAAATGTATGTAGTCGCGCTCTGCATAAACTAAGTTAATTAACTAGTAAACCAAAGTGGATCAAGTACTCATATCCGCCTACCAGTCAATAGTCTTTTGAAAAGTGACCTAGGGCGTTTTTTAAAAGACTATTGACTGGTTTTGGCATTTTATGTTTCTTAACGGGAATGGCTAAAATCATGACTACAATTTCGACCTCAAAAAATGAGGTATATAATAACTTTTCTTTCATATATCATAATAATTTTGCATGCAATAGTAATACTATTCTATTCATTTTACATGTACATGTAATAGTAGTACTTTTCTATTCATTCTTACTATATGACAGGTGGAGACATCTTGGAGGTAGCTGGATCACAAGTCCAAGACACAACAAAATGATTCCAAGACCTTAAACATCAAGTCATTCTAGAAAAACAAAAATAGAGGGATTTCAACCGAGAGATTTGCAGCAGAATGCTAGTACTTGTATGTGGCATCTTAACGCACGTTTACTCAGTACAAAATCAGCATTTCCATTTGCAAACAAGAGCAAAAGGCTTCATACTCAGATATGGCCTAGGAGGACCAGCTTTACGCTAGTTTTTGCTTGGTGTCATTAATATTGATATAACGGTAGGAATGCATATTGTAAATGTACATTTCACGATATGTGTATGTACGTGTATTGTGAAAATGTGAATGGGGAACAGGCCTTCTAATTTGTATGCACTGTAATTAGAAATGTTCAAGCATTTCTTTTTAGTTATAAAAGGTTTGGTGTAATAGTCTGATGTTATTAGAAGGAGAGTGAAGGATATTGACTAATATAATAATATACATGTGGTTTATTTATGGAATGTAAACAGATTTCTGCATAAGTGATCTACATAAAGTTTAAAAACAGTGTACGATCTCATAAGCGTAGTGCAATTTAAAGTTATATAAATTCCTCAAAAAAGTACTGCAATTCAAGTTTGAGAGTTGATATCTCTCTTATTACTACCGATATACATATATATAAATATGAGCATATTTGAAATTGATGTCATAGAATTGCCTGTTTATTCCCCTTTAGATTGATGCCCCATTTTGTAATAATTATGTAATCGTGGAAAATGCAGTGCATCTAAATAAGGGGTCAAGTCAAAGGTGAAATACTGCAAAATATTGTCATTCCTTTAAAATGCAATCTATCCTCATAATAAATGAAGAATTCACTAATAGACAATAAAAGTGCACATTTTGCACCTTTTCACTTTTGAATTGGCCCAATATTCAGATGCACTGCAAATTTCATGATTACATAATCATTACAAATGGGGCATCAATTTAAAGGAGAATAAACAGGCAATTCTATGATATCAATGTCAAAGTATGACAATACTAACAAGAGGGATATCAACCCTAAATCTTGAATTAGAGAATTTTTTTGAGGGGTTTAGATATAGAGTGTAAGGTATGTCTTGTTATTTGTTCTTCAAAATGTACCGGTACTTCTTCTTAGTACCATTTATAACATGTTCACATTGTATTTATTAATTACATAAGGTTTCAATTCTTTACAATTATTTTTAGTTTCCTTATCTCAGTCTCAGACAATACAGAAAACTATGAATTGGATTTAAAAAAAAATTCTCAATTAAGACATGTACATGTAGATGTGACAGTATAGAAAACTATGAATTGGATAAAAAAAAAAAAAAATTCTCAATTAAGACATGTAGATGATTGTTCCATACATCTCGCGTTTGAAATAAAAAAAAACTCTACTGCTAGCAAAGCATATGCATATATGTCATTACTGAAGACCAACCATCATTAACGCTCCCAAAACATGGAAGGAATTCTCTGTTTTGTTCACTCAGTCTTACGTAGATTTAGAAATTGTTGAATATATTTTTTCAGAGATTCTTTTCATTTCTTCTACTTTCACCCATCTCTTTTATGAAACGTTTGGTTTGTTTATCTCAGCCTATTCATGTTGTAGTACATTCTATTTCATATGTAGTTTTCAGCAATTTCATTAATTTCTCATTCTTTCTTCATTTTTTCATTTGTATGTTTGGTATTTTTTGTTACAAATTGTCACATATGAGCCCTGTTAAAGTGACTCAGTAACATTGTTACCGCCTGCCTATATACCGGTAGACCACTTTTCTTGTCTCCTTTGAGTGGTCAATATATACAGGTTTCACTGGATTTGTTGTTGTTGATATAATTTGACACTCTTCTTTTATTTAAACAATTTCCAATGTTAACTGAAGGAAGTTTGCTGAGACTATCTCACTTTTGATATTATTTTTCTTATTCTTCCCTCTTCTCCTTCTCATAGGAAGATATTCATGAAATGCACTATATAAGTATACTATTATTATAACATAACGTACCCATATGTTTGTGGTATGTAGTTTTTTTTTAATTATAAAAAGGGAACATGGTAATTTTAATCTTTTTGTTCATACAAAGTCATGAATTGCAGTACTTTCTTTGTAATAAGTACATGGTATTTGTAAATTATACACAGATCTTCCATTTTGTATACCTTTGAAATGTTTGTAGAAACTCTTTGTTGTTGGTGGTGGGGGGGGGGGGGGGGTTTATTTGTCATCATTCCTCTTATTCTAGAATATTACCCCTTGATATTCAAACATTCAAATCTCCATGGGCCCCATTTCACAAACCTTGTCATCAGTGACCAATGACAGTGTTTGTCATAAGCTAGTGAAATCCTTGCTTCTGATTGGTTATCAGCAGATTTGTCACTGATTTTTGTCATTTGTCATTGAAAAAAGGCTTTGTGAAACGAGTCCCAGTTCTCAAGAGATATTTGTAACTCGGGTAGTTTATTGAAATGAAATGGCATGAAAAGACACGTCCGGAAAGCATTAAATGTTTTTTAATCCAAAGCTCTTCTTTTTTTTACATACCTACCTGAATTAAAGTTTAGGTAACATGAATCACAATCAAGATACACATGTAGTACATATCTGTACCAGATCCATATCTGAATAATGTGGTTCTACCTCCGAGTAATAAAATTATTATTTTAAATATCTATTTTGAGTTCCAGACGTATCTTTTCGTGCCAACACATTTCGCTATTATTAAAGCTACCTATACTAGTTCACTATTTCCAAATAATTCCAAAGAAATGTTGCAAAGTGATTATTTGCTGATTTTCACAGTTTCACTTGAACTTTTAAACATTTCTCCTACCGGTAATTACCGGTATATGTGTGGTAGGCCTACAATTCATTTATATTTCATGGATATTTTTTCTTATTATGTTGCCACGAGCCAAGCTCCTTCTTTATTTTCGGCAAAATATGATGATCGGTAGTATATTAAACTGATTTTTTTATGTGCTATGGACTATACATGTAGTAACTGCATCCATAGAGCTTGATGCAGATGAGGAAATAATTATTTGCTATAATTATTTAACCAACTTTTGGGAAGTATAATTATATATTGATTGATCATTGAGAATATATTTTGATACAAGTCTGAATACTGTGTAAGTTATTTTGTTTCATTATCAACTATTTTGTAATCAGTTTTCAAATTAAAAGTCACCACTTACTGCCTAATATTATTGAATGTTTCATGGATATCGTGTGTACAGTTTGGTGGCATGATGTGAATGTGAGAGGTTATTATTAAGGACAAATTAATAAAGGGAACAATTGTTATAGTTGTAACCAAGGGCAGATCCCAGATTGATTTATTGATTAATTTTGTTATTATATTTGTAATTGCATTTGTTTATTTATTTTATTTTTATTCATATATTTATTTATTACTTGGCTGGGGATAATAATAATTTAATTCCCTTTTAATTGTCAATAACCTCAAAATAGAGAAACCCCACCTCAAAATCCTTTGAAAGAGGTTGCTAGAAGCCATTGGCATACATACGGGGAAGGTTGGGGGGGGGGCTGGGAAGCATATGCGGGCCTCACTAACCGAGGGGTTAAAAAAAATAGAAACAAAAATTGAGAAAGGGAAAGGGATAAGGGGAAAAGGAAGGGATGAACACATCTGGACCATCTCCAACAGCCACTCCTCTAATTAATAAATTCACATTTAATTTTTTTCGATTTAGACCGTTGCCAGCCCTCCCCCCCCCCCCCCCCCCCCCCCCAATGATTAGACACGCTACGCCACTGTCGATTCAGAGAACGAGTAATATTAGTACGCCATCAACGGTTGATACTTGACAGTAAACTCAATCAGCTGTGATCCGATGTTCGAAGCTAGCTGAGTGTTTGATATTGATCTTGTAAGTACTAATTTAGTCACATCAAGCTTTTTTCAATCCTGGAATTTATCGTTAACCGTTGAGAGTAATGTATGTTAATCTGTAGCGCTGAATATCTGTAATTTATTCAAGAAAAATGTAAGAAAAACCGGATTATCAGTACATACATTTTAGTCTGCTCGATCTTGTTCAAGTCTTACCTGCATTACACGTGTAAGTAAGGGAGAGATCCTACGTGCATGATATTGATTGGCCAATCATCGCTGCATTGCATTGGCATTGCTTACCGGTATGTCTGAAACGGGCCCTGCACCGCGCCGGTGCCGTAGCGGGCCGGGCCTGGCGGAGACCCGGGTGTTGCAGGGAAACTGTCGCTACATTTATGACCCACATATTAGGTTCATTCAAATTTTTGTAAGGGTAATATCACTTCATGATAAGGGATTGCTAAAGGGAAAAATACCAATGTGATTGATGGAATGAAACTATGATGAGCATTGAAATATTTGCTGATGCTGTTGCAGATTCAATTGTTCATCCATTGATTTGTGTGTTTGTTTTGAATTTGATCCAACAATACAAATAGAATGACAATCATGAAGTTTTGGGGATGAGCTATGGCATGATTGTACGGCATTGCAATTCATGCATAGCAATTATTAACAGAACACACTTTTAAAAGCTTGGAGAAATTGTTATGTTATCCGGCTTGTTCACTTTCTCGATCTGAACATGCAAAGCATTGCAATGTAAGTTTGGTACAGTACGGAACTGATCGTCCGATGAGTTATCCCTGCCTACCAAAATCCACTTCCCCTGGAGTGAAAATTCCTGAATTCTGTGTGATGGATGATGATAGTACTACAGACTTCAGCCAATTCCTTGACCCCCCCCCCCCCCCCTCCCTCCTGAAAAAAGCTGAACAAAGATAAAGGTTACAAAATATACACCGATCGGAATTGTGCCACTTGCAAACCACATAATTTGAGTAGTACAGTCAACTGTGCAACTGCTCACTTGTACACTAATTTTTCTAATCAAACATGATTCTTGGACAGAAACTTTCATAACAATGTAGGCAAATATCTCAAAAGTTTTAAAATTTTGTAGTCACCCTAGGCTTAGGGCATACTTTTGCATAATCACCCCTCTCTCTCTCTCTCTCTCTCTGACACTCTGTTTCACTCTTTTTTTTTTCTTTCTACAGGAGATGGATAGCTTATTAAAGTTCCTCTTATTCCTGTGGTCAGTCCATTGCTCGTTCGCTGCATCAAAGTCCAGGCCTATTACTACCACCCTGGAGACAAAATGGACGAGGCATTCCGTCACCATGGAAGCCAGTGAATTCATCGCAGAAAAGAGTGATGCAGCCTTCTGGAATTTTCTGGAGCACGTAGCTGCTTACAAGGAGGATTTCAGTGAGTTATTGATGTCTGTTTATTTCAATATTAGCGTATTGTTTTATTTAACTGTCATAAGTACAAGTTTCCCAGGCAACTTTTATGCCCACATCCCATCAAAATGTATGTAAATTCCATTGCATTGGCTTCAATGGGTAGTCAGTAAACTTATATTTATGACTGTTTTGTCAGAGGCTGCCCTGTTTCCCAGAAAATGCTTGCTTCTACATTGTTTGATTTACATTTTTAAAACCATTTTGTGAGAATGAGAATGGAGTGGCAGGAAGTCCTCACCGACATCTATTTGATTTCTAAAAAAAAGTGTGGAATAACAGAAATTGGGTCAGTGAAAAAAGAAAATTATGTTGAAGACCTGCAGGAAGACGATGGAGGCATTGACTCTTGACAATTTCATGTAATGATGAATTTTTTCTTTAAAAGTTTACACTGCGCTTTATCCTATTCCTTCTATTTCTTTTCTATGATAACATTTTGGAGATGTTGCACTTTCACTCTATTTGTGTACTTAATGGGTTTCTTCCTGAAATATCTCAGGCTTAGGCTTTGTTTGGGTAATTGTGGTAATGGGTTAAATAACTGTCAAACCTCTTATTTATGATGATTTTATTGAAATGATTCCTTGTTAGGTCATGATGAAGCCTTGTATCATTTTACTCTCAAAATGGCTTCTCGTCAGTTGTCTGTCATGGAGCAAGATCTGTTGAAGTGGGCTCTCTCGATTCACGCCTACGCTCCTAAAATTGAGATGTACCACCAGGTAAGCTAACTTGATACTTGATGAGGTAATCCCTGAAGCAGCTTTTCCAAGCTATACTTGGATGGGATGTGTTGTGACAGCAGGTGAAGGTGCAGACAACAAAAGGGTGTACAATTTTTATATATACAGTAAAACAGTGACATGCAAGTAAAACCTGCAGGAGGTTCCAACCCTCTGATGACATTCTTTGGAACAGTTTCCAAAGATCATAGAGACATTTTGTTGTTGCAGATTTGCTTCCCTCAGTCATATATCAACAAATTTTTAACTTGTAAGATTGTAAGCAAGCAAACAATATGATGTTACGAAAAGAAACATTGTTTTGTTAATAAAATGCTTGTATACATGTGTAGCAATATTTCCTTTAAGAATGAGTCACAACGTTTGCTTCTCCTTTTAAGGCTCTTCTCTTCCTTTCCATCCTTAATGTCATTTTATGTTCATGTTTATTATTATAGATACTTTTTCATTCTGTATTTACTTCTGTATTTACTTCAAAATGTTGATTATATTCAGAGGATTTCATTTTTTGGGGGCCTGCTAATGTTCCACCCTACCTATAAATTATGTCCCAACCTCAATTTTTCATCATATCGAATTGCATAATGCAGGCGCGATCGTTTTATTATCTCACCACTATAATTCATATTAAGGACTTGTCAGTAGTTTCTATATGTGTTATTTTTTTGGGGGGAGAGGGAATTTTTGTTTTAGTGGAAAATAGATGATATTTGAATTTGATTAATACTTCTATTGCTTCTACCATTTAAGATTGCTCGGAGTCACCATGTACCAGAAAATTGTGCTACTTTTGTTGACGTGCATGGGGAACTGTCCTGCTCACTTGACAATCTGGATCAACTTATAGCAGATGTGGGCGATAGGTGAGTTTTAATACTTCTAATTTGTGATTTCCCTTGTATGTGGTAGCATTAGGTTTCAGTTGGATGAGCCAAAGGTAAAGTGCCTGGGCCCGTATTCAATACTTCAGTACAAAAAATTTAGCTTTTTACTTAGTATTTGGCTTAGATAAAATACTTAGCCAATTATGGTATTCAATTCACACTTTTGGCTAAGTATTTTACTCTAAATCTAAGCCAACTCCATACCGGACTTAAGCCAATTATTTGGAGGCCTTGATTGTCAGGCATATGGTTTTCTTACGCAGTATTATAACCTGCGCACAATTATATCAGCGCGCATTTATTGCGATGCATCAATTGCGCAATACTTTTGATTGACCGTGTGACGTCACAATGCTTATCAGTAAGTATTTTACTTAGATTTTGTCTTACGTAAGTATAAGTCTAAAATGCGATTTGAATACGAGATAAGTAAATTACTTAACTTAGCCATTTACTTAGTAAATTTCTTACTTATGCTAAGTATTGAATTGAATACCGGCCCTAGGGTATAAACCTCGGAAGTAAAAAAAAGTCAACAGGTAGAAATGTCCAGTGACTAAAATTCCTGAGGCTGAAATTCTAGAAGCAGATATGACAAAGAGGTGAAAATGCATAGATAAAATGTCAGAGGTACACATGTTAATGGTAAAATGCCAGTGTAAAAAATGTTTGAGCTATACATTTCTAGATATAACAGTATCTTTAAAAAGCCATCTAAGAAAACATAACAGAAGTAATTATCAACCTAATCATGCCTTGAAGATGAAATGTCTGAGGTTAACTATGTAAAGGACATGGACTTCTTGCCATACATCTGTATCATCTGTCAACATATAATCTTAGTTTTCCAATTCTCTTGTTGAAGTGACTTTGTCAACTTATATTCTAATTTGACAACAATAATGGAAATTACAATGAATATCTTTTCTATGGAGTTAATATTCACCATTGATTCTGAGATATTCTTAATTTGATTTTAAAAATTTGTTTTTGCCTCACTTGCAGACCTAAACCCAACATCTTCAGCGTGGACCATCAGTACAAGCGGTCAGTCAATGGATCGGTGGTAGCAGTCTTGTATGGTGATATCAGTGCTTACCGGTCAAATGTGGGGGACTTTCACAAAGTACTGGCCAAGAAGGCCAGCTCAGGGGACATCCAGTACGTCTTTAGACATTACCAAATGGTAAGAGAGTAGTACCAGGGGAGTGTTTCACAAAGATTCTAAGTCGAACTTAACTCTAAGTTGGAAAAAAATCATGGAGAGCCATTTGTAGCCTTAAAATAAAATATATTCAAAAGCAAAAATTCCAAGTATTTTAGCCTTTTTGTAAATTCCCCATCAAGAACATGAAATCTCCCATGATAATAATAATAATAATAATAATAATAAAGATAGATTTATTGAGCGCATAATAAACCGAAGTCTCTCTATGCGCTTTACAAAGTAAAAAACAAGCAAGTACAAGTATATTTAAATAGTTACAAATTTAAAAACGAAATATAAAGACCTTCATAGAAAATATGAATGATTTGAATCAACATTTTATACCTTTAAAGATAACTTTTACAAAATATTTTCAAAGATGCTAATGGCTTTCCATAATTGTTAAGTCCAACTGGTAACAGGGCTCAACAGCCAATGAAAATCAAGGTTTCCATGGTAGTTACCATTGATGGCAAAGTTACTATCAATGGTAAGTTTTATGCAACCAGGGCCCTGGTCCTTCCCTGTTGATTTTCCCATAAAATGGCCCTTTTGAAGAGCGGAGCCGAACCTAAGAGTTGAAATTCTGTGTGAAATGATATGAGTTAATACTCTTCTGGCTCTAATTTTACCTTAGTTTTTATCTTAATCTCCATCAACTTCTCTCACAGGAGTCTTCTGGGGCCCAAATTCGTCTATCAGGTTACGGTGTGGAGCTGGCCATCAAGAGCACAGAGTACAAAGCTGTGAATGAGGAGGAGAACAAGGACGGATCAGCCAAGACAGACGCAGAGATGGATCAAGGCCCAGATGAAATTGAAGGATTTGTATTTAGTAAACTCATGTGAGTATTAAAGGCACATTGGAAGAATTACATTAATGTCTTGCTGGGGGGGGGGGGGGTGTTTCACAAAACTTGTCATCAGTGACAAATGACAGTTTTTGTTATAAGCTAGTGAAATCCTTGGTTATCAGCAGAGTTGTCACTGATTTTTGTCATTTGCCATTAAAAAGGCTTTTTGAAACGCCCCCCCCCCCCCCCAGGGCTAAATTGGCCAGATGAAATTACTTTATTTTGGGTAAACTCAAGTAAGGCATGATGGCTCCATGGTAGAGCAATAATTTTTTAAACCATAGGTCCTGGTTGAACTTTAGGGATCTGTCTTTAGTAAACCGAGTGAGTATGGCTCATAGGTGAACCAGTGGTGTTGTATCCTGGGATCTGTTTCACAAAGCCTTTTTTCAATGACCTACCCCGTGGAGGTTGTGGGTTTGAATCCCATATTCATAACTTTGCTAAGCCTAACCAAATAATCACCTGCTGAATCATGTACATGGACTCTACATCTACACTCTTATGCCTTTGGCAAGACGTGAATCTACATTTGCCACTCTTCACCCAGGTGATATAATTGAATGACTGATGGAAGAAATTCTTGAAAAACCAGATTGCCTTATCACGGTAGCTTGGCTAAATCCAGGATGATAATAGTAAAATGTTTAGAAATATTAAGGGGCTATGTAAATGTGTAATATTGTAAAAAATACAGAAGCAGGTTACCTATGCCAGTCAGAAGCACATACTATCTATAACATATCATGTGAAGAGCAAAAGGCATACTTACAGCAGCTTGAATAGAGCAATTGTAACTATGAGAGGAGTATTGAATAGGGTACAAAGGCAAAAATGATGTCTGATCTTTGTAAATCATGGCATTGACAAAAATGTGAGTTGTAATCATGACTTGTCTTTTCTTTTGTGATAGGGAGCTTCATCCTGATTTGACAGAAGGATTGACTCAGTTCAAACAAAAACTGGTCGACAACACCAACATAATGGAGCCCCTCAAAGTTTGGCAACTCCAAGGTGAGCCCAATAAAAGTCGGAAGACAACTCCCCATCCTCCTCCCCCCCCTCCCTCACTTGACAAAACTTTGTCGTTGAATGATATTGCCAACAATTGCAATATGTTTATTGTGGTAGCAGGCAGACAACCCTTGTAGCCTTTACTTATTCTCAAAATTTCTTGGAATTAAAAAAAATAAATTGTTAACTTCTCAGCAATAACGCATTTTCTCTCATATTCATTTGGTACTTGCTATTTATTAACACAAATACATATTTTGTGATTATTTGTAATTGTGATTGGATTGTAACTGAACAATTTAATCTTTATAGAGGTTTAAACAGATTTTTCCAGTAGACAGATAACTCAGGCCTTTGTAGTTCTCTTAGTAAATAAGCAAAGGTAATCAACGATTCATAATTATACTTATTATACTATATTGTCCCACATGTTTATATCTGTGTTGGTAACTTGCATCTTTCTTTCCCAAAGACATTGCCTACCAAGCAGCACAGCGGGTGCTTTCGACCCCTCCTGAGGATGCCCTTCAGGTGCTGACGGACATTAGTCAGAACTTCCCGCTTCTAGCTCGCTCCTTGATCAGAACACAGGTCAAGAGTGAGGTCCAGAAGGAGATCAAGGAGAATCAGAAGGTCAGTTTGAAAACTGTTTTTTTTCCATGGTAACTTGTAAAAGTTGGCAAGTACATGAAGAACCAACTATGATATAGTAAATCAAAACAATTAGAAAGTATCTCCTACCTTTATTTAATCCACAACATCCTCTCTGTTAATATGACTTTAAAGGGATCCAGTAACTTTGTCTTAGATCCTTAAAAAAAATCCTTGATTTAGCTCGTGCTGCAATCATAATTATAAACCTTAGGGCTTACATGAATTCCATGACATTTAAAAACAGATCGCCCGTCTGATTATCAAGATATTTATGATTGGAAATCGAAATCAAACTTTGCTACAGTCCATTGGGGAAAATGAGTATGGTAAAACCGGTCACTCAAAGATTTTATACTTCTTTGAGGCCCTTCATGATCATTTTGAAGCGCAATTCTTTTAGGGCTTCAATATTACACCATATCACAGACACTGATATCACGTAGGGCCATGCATCTCAGATTGAACATTGTTAAACGATGCCTTTAAGTGTAGAATGTTTGTAACGTTGTTCCCTCATTTTTATTTTATTTTTTTTAGTTATTTGCCATGAACCATAACGCTGATAAAGGAGATGCTATCATCATGGTGAACGGATTGGTCATCGATACAGAGGTTGCAGATCCGTTTATGTAAGTACCCAAGTTCTCTTTTGTTCTTTAGTTAATGCTGCAAAGTTATGATGATTGTGAGTTACAGTATACTTCAACAATATTGCAAACTGACTCTTCCTATAATTGGGTCTATATGAAGTTACAAGTACATGTGTAAGTTATTCAAAAGTTTATAAGATCCATGCTGTTTTCATCGTAAGATGTCATTGTGAGACGTCTATTAACCCATACCTGTTGGAAACCAGTTCGTCCATGTATTAGGCCTTATGAGAATGAGAAAATTCAGGAGCCAACGGGTCAAATATATATTATCATTTTTTTGCCAATATCATAATTACTTGAAATTTTTGAATGTATGATGATTGTTTATTTGATAGGCTCCTTGATTTGTTGAAAGCTGAGGGCAAACTACTAGAAGGCCTTCATCAGCTTGGTGTTCAGGTAATATATCAGATCATTTCACTTTTCAGTTACCATCCACTTTAGATAATAATGACATATTTATTATCAACTTCAATTATTTCTTTACAAACAGCAATATTGGAGAAGTTCATACAATACATGAATAAGACTCTTACATGATGTAGGAATTGCAGTACATAAATGATAGAAAAAGCTGTAACAAAAGTACAATTTTATCAGTAATTAACAATGATAGTGTCAGTAGTTGCATTGTAGTTGAAAAGTGTAATCATTTTCGCTTTTCGATTTTTCAGGGGAGTAGCTTGACAGATGTGATGAAAACTAAGATTGAGTCTTTGCAAGATAGTTATGCTGTAGACATCCGGGACAATGCTGTTATTGTGAGTATGAGTACATGTATATCGAGGGGTCAGTGACACAAAGACGTAACTCTATTTTGGCCATTTTGAGAAAAAGTGGTTTATGTGTCACTCACTGAGCACTTGGCCTTAAGGAGTTATGTCTATGTTTCACTAGCCATTGACTTCATTGGGGCGTTGGGTGGAGTTAAGTCTTTGTGTTTTCTGGAAAGCCCACATCTTTCTGAACATTTTGATATCAAATACTCATTTTGGCAAAATATGGAGTTACGTCTTTGTGTCAGTAAGGCCAATAAGCAATATTATGTATAGTTATTATTTTGTCATCACCAAAATGTGTCCAGGTTTTGTATCTTATTTCTGTTCTTTGTAAATTTATGTCTGAGCCTTTATTTTACATTCAATTATCCATGTTGAACATACATTGGACAAATAAATACATTGATTGAATTGAATCTAGAGTTAGCACCTTTCTGGCTGTCATCACCAGACAAACTTATGGTCTGTGTTTAACATCAGTTGTGAGAAATGTTCATCTGTAATCCTAGGACCTGTTTCACAAAGCCTTTTTTCAATGACAAATGACAAAATCAGTGACAAATCTGCTGATAACCAATCAGAAGCAAGGATTTCACTAGCTTATAACAAAGACGGTCATTTGTCACTGATGACAAGTTTTGTGAAAAGGGGCCCAGATGTTAATTGATTTCTGTCTCTATGGTTCTATTGTATGCTCACAATCACGTCCTTCTCCCCCCCTCTCTCTCTCTCTCTCTCTCTCTCTCTCTATCTTTCTCCCTCTCTCTCTCTCTCTCTCTCTCTATCTTTGTCCCTCTCTCTCTCTCTCTGTCTCTCTCTCTATCTTTTATTTTGTGTATGATAGTCTCATTATGCTCATCATTTCTCACTCTTTCTTTTCTTCACAGTACATCAATGATCTAGAGAGTGATAAGAAGTACAAGGCTTGGCCGTCTCATATCCAGGAATTCCTTCGACCTACGTTCCCTGGAATGCTCAGACACATCGCCAAGAATGTCTTCCACGTTGTAAGTCTTTCTTAACACATTAGCAATACCATATAATTTGTTTAAATGGAAAGTAAATGCCACTGAGCAATGTTATTATTGTAATCAAACAGGTGATTGTATGCGTATGTTCTTTTTTGTAACTTTTTTCTAATTTTAATTTCAAACCATGTCATCTACCTTATTGTTTGGTATTGATTTTAGTTCAAAGAAGGAAAAAGATGTTGATATTATTTTGAATTATGCACTTTTTACTATTTAAAAAAGCTTTGTTGGAAAAGACTTTTAAAAAGAAAAGAACAAAAGAGAGACTTCTTCATAGTTTGATTTACCTATTCAATTATCGTTTACAGATAGAACAAAATATAAGAAAACCATGTATATTCCTCCAGAAATGGAGGCAAATGCTAAAAATGTGAATATGTTTATATTATTATGAAAAAAATAAAGAAGACCTGAAATGGTTATTTTACAATAATAAAACAAAGCAACGAGAACTAGTTGGCTTCTGTATTAAACCTACAGGAATGAAAGAATTCAGTAGTCAATGGGTTAATATCATGTGTAAGCACATTTTGACTCTAAGTCACCGAGGCAGAAAAAAATCAGAATCACTTCATTTATTCCTACTACAAATGATATAGTTGAAGGAAATTAACACATTTCCTTTTAAAACAAGTTTTCCCATGTTTCCCAGTCGTCTTTGTTGATGCCCAAGTCACATTTCTCGACATACAACAATGTAGGCCAAAAAGTAAAGTAGCCTACGTCAATATGTTCAATTCAGCACATGTGTAATTTAACAAAGGTGGATAGCCTCATGAAGAGATGTTTTGAGCAAAATATAATTTTTGCGCAAAATGTGACTTAGGCCATTATTTAAGAAGGTGACGATATTGAAAGAAGTGAGATTTTATCTGTGGCTGGATCCACCTTATATAACATGGACTTGTATGGGGTGGAGATTGGTTGAAGCCTCTCACTTGTATTTCAATGGAATCAATTATGACATGCATATAAATCATCTGCATGAAAGTCCCTGCTTGGCTTAAAGGCATCGTTTAACAATGTTACATCTGAGATGCATAACCCTATGTGTTATCAGTGTCTGTGATATGGTGTAATATTGAAGCCTTGGAGTTCCTGACTGACCTAAAGGTTTATAATTATCATTGCAGCATTAGCTAAATCCAGGATTTTGTTTCAGAATCTGAGACAAATTAACCAATCCCTTGAATTATATTACAACAAATGCTAAATTTCTATGACAAATTTGCTCTCAGCCAATCAAACGACACAATTTTAGTAGCTAATAACAGTTATTTTTACTTGTTATTGATAACAGGTTTTATGAAACAGGACCCAGATTCTAATTTCCTAAATCACCCACCGTTACTCTTTCTATCCCCTCAATCCCAGACACTCATCCTGGATCCTACGAGTCCTGACTCCATGCTCCTCCTAGACCAGGCCGAGATGCTCTACCTCAGTGACGTCCCTCTAAGGTTTGGTTTCGTCTTCGTCGTCAATGACGATGACAATGTGGATGGGATGGATGATGCGGGCGTTGCCATGGTGAGGGCGTTCAACTTTGCCTTGATGGAAGAGGATGCTGGGAAAGCTATGGACCTCATCACAAAGGTATAGTTGCATTATTGCATTTTTTTTTTTTTTTTGTGGAGGGGGGGGGGGGGCATAACTAGAAAATATCAGTACCATACATCAATACTATGAATTAGGGTCATGGCAAGGTTCAGGGTCAACATAGGTTCAAGCCCTAGTGTCAGGGTAAGGGTTAGCATTACTTTACACTCATGTGATGGGGTATTTTGTAGTTGTCCTATTTTGTTATAGGAGTGGAAGGAATCACTATGTATTGTTCCTTTGACGTAGTGGTCAAACCTATGTGTATCCCATGGAGGTGAAGTAGTTTAGTGGTACATTCACTTGACTCTCAATCAAGGTTTGAGGGTTCAAATCCCAGCCCGGCAGTAAAGGTATAAACCAGTTTGGGAAATGCCCCCTCTCAAAAAAAGAAATGGAAGCTCTTATTACAAATCATGTGAAAGAATTATGTTTTGACATAATAAGTGATAATACAAATTTTGCCAGGAAACTGCCTACTAATTGATATATTTGGTAAATTATCATATCTATCATACATGTAGATATCACATAGTCCCATATACATCTTTCTGTGTACAGTGCTTGTAACTTTACCAAGACTGAGCCAAATTTCTTATCATTTTGATGATTACAGAACCTTGCAGTACACACCAATACTTATATGCTAGATGATCAACATTTTCTGATTGATTCCACAACGTTTCTTTCACAATGCAATCGCATGACCAGAACTGGTCTATACCTTTAACATATTTTACTACTGACTAACTGAGTGTTGTTTTATTCTCATATAGATCCACAGAGAGGCAGATGATGGAGTCACGCCCGGTGATGTGGTGACTGTGCTAAATCAGATGTTCCCTGGTGAAGATATGGAGGATATAATTGGACCTGAATCTGACTACGATGATCACAGACAGGTGAGCTGGGGGATGTTTCACAAAGATCCTAAGTCAAACTTAACTCTAAGTTGGACTTAAAAATTATGGAGAGCCATTTTTAGCCTTAAAAAAAACATACATTCAAAAGTGAAAATTGAAGTATTTTTGACTTTTCATAAATTCCACATCAAGAACATGAAATCTCCTGGATAATAGAAAATATGAATTATTTGAATCAACATTTTATGCCACCTTTTTTGTCTTAAAAATGTACATTTTCAATAGTGAAAACCTTTTGCTCTTGAAATGATTTGATTCCAGGATGGCGCAGCCTTCTTGAGGAAGACTGCTCTCCGGCAGACCCCCCAAGTCCTCATGAATGGTGTGCCACTCTCTAAAGATGAGGTAAGTTATATGGAGCAATGCCATATCAAGCAAAACTCCACCCTGGTGAGGTAAATGGGTACCCGTTAGGAAGAAATTCCTTGAAAGCTTGAGCACCTTTTAATGGTAGCTCGGTTAAAGCCGGGGTAATAATATGATTGCAGGGCCCTCAGGGAGAACAGTATGAATACTGATGAGGCTACCCTGGGTAAACATATTATTATTATTATATGAACATTAATATTACTGGTAAACAGGACGCAGAGATGCCAACCAGCACAATTATAATCATATTTAGTACGATAATAACAATGAAATATGATAATATGGTATTGCCTCTAAGAATGAAATTTTTCCAACAACCAAAAAACAAAAACAAAAACAAAAAAAGATTAAAAAACCCATAAAAAACGCGGAATCGCATAGAAACATGTACAATTAAAACCCTGCAAACCGGACAAAAATTTTGCTTTACAATTTTCTTATAAAATATTAATGAAAGAGAAAACATTTTACTTTACCGTTTTCTTACTGCTTAAACATTTTACTGGCCCAGGGATATTAATTTAGGATATTCAATCTGTTTTTTTTGTGTCAAGAGGTTGGCATCTCTGACTGGACGTTGCAAGGCCTTTTTTCCATTTGGAAAGACGGTTATTATGTTAAGTTTGTACCTATGAATGGTATTTAATTCTCAGCATAACAAAACAATATTTCTCTTGAATTAGTTGTTGTACCTGTAAATAAAGCCAATTGTGGTTTAATATCAGCAGCCCTTTCACATATGTTTTGAAAGTGAGAGCTTTTTGTTACAGTGCAATAGAGGATTTAAAATTCAGTCATTATTTCTCAGATTGATTGTATTATGTTTTTTTTTTCTTCCAGTTGTTAGCACTCGGTTTGGCTTTTAGGATGGGTCTTGTGTAGTGTAAAAGCTATGATTTAACCCATTTTTCTTTCCTATCCCATACATTCAGCTTGATCCAGATGTATTTGAAGAGGCAGTAGTTACAAACATCCTAATGAACACAGCTGACTTTCAAAGAGCAGTTTACAGGGTGAGTTACACAGTGATTTTTTTTCTTTGCTGGGCATCCTTGTGCTGATATGCTGCAGTAAACCATGTTTATTATTATAATATAATAATATTATTTCTCTAATATTTTGTTTAATAACTTTTCTTTTTAATAACGTACGTGTAACACTTTTTACATTTCGGTATGTTACACCACAAGGCTCAGTGAAGACGTGTAGGACCTTCGTTGTGTGTGCAGTTGGCATTCATTTACAACTTTTTTTTTTATAGACCTATTGGGTGCAAATATGATGTCCTATTTTGGTCATCGATAACATCTACAATGTGGGGAATACACGTTGGTCGTGTCAAATCTAAAGTGAGAACCTGGGACCTGTTTCACAAAGCCTTTTTTCAATGACATATGGCAAACATCAGTGACACAGGCCTGATAAAAACCCGATTTAAATCGGTTTCACGATTTTTTTAATTTTTCCCGATTTCCCTCTTATTTTCTCTATTCTTCCATGTTTTGCCCTATTTTTTTCCCAATTTTGTCCCAATTTTCTTACTCGAAAGAGGGGAATGTTGTTAGATGCCATTTTTCCCCCGCGAATCCTCTTCTTTTTTTTTTACTCAAGGGGGGCGGCGTTGAGGGGAAACAAAAAAACTTTTTTTTTTTAGTGCTCACTATCACCCCTGGTGACAAATCTGTTGATAACCAATCAGAAGCAAGAATTTCTGTAGCCTATAACAAAAACTGTAATTTTTCACTGATGACAAGTTTTGTGGCTCTAATTGCTAAATAATATAGCACATTCAAATATGAACTGTGCAGTATAGATTTCCATAATTATTAATATTTATTGAAAGATATAGAAACAATGTCTGCATTCATCCACCCGGATTCTCAACATATCAATTCCTAAATCATGCTGGTATTGAAATGTATGTTATTGTGTCTCCCTGTAACAGAACAAAGTCGGAGAGCACACCGACTTGCTAGAGTATGCGATGACCCGGCCCAACGTCATGCCTCGTCTGAATCTCAAAATTCTCAAATCGGACAACCCCATAATTGACCTCACAGGGTCACCAGGTCAGTACAAGGTCACTCAAGGAATTCAAGCATGCTACTGATTCTACGTAATACGTACTGATCAGTGGTTGATTTCAGATTTGGAATTAAAAAGTCAGCAGAAAATGTAATTTGTACTACTAACCACCTCTTCATATAAAGGAAAGCATAGAAAACTAAATGTTGGTTAACTTCGCTTTTTATGTCCCTGAAAGTGAATATCATGTTATAAAGCTTTAGCTTGTAAACCGTGTTAATTACCTTAATTATTGTAATTGTTGAAAAGATATGATACATATATGATTGTCTTTGTTAAAATAAGATGAAAAAGATGGTGAGTGTACTGAATTTGCAAAAATATTTCTGCTAGTTTTGAATAGAATCGAGAAAATTGAAAACAACTATATGATCACCCCCACATTAGTTAAAATATATACAATGTGTCAGCAGCTTTATATAAGGAACCTCAACTTGTCAAATGCAAATGTTTTTAGTTTTTTCTAACATCTTTATTATTGAATTTGTGATTGTTTTTAAATCAGGTTCAGCTACTGTTGATACACCCTTAGCTTCCCATGGACTCACATCAAGTCACCTGACAGGACTTGTAGCAGACTCCATCAAATATTTGACAAAAAAAGGTATTAAAATGCATTGTCTTAAGCTACATCATCAGTATGAGATTTTGTTTGCATGAGTAGCCACTCTACAATTGCACTTACATATATATCCATGTCGCTGTACTTTGTGTTTTGCATTGTAATTTGATAGCAAGATATTAAACAATTCTGAACTGCTTCGAATTTGTTTTCTCTTAAAATGGAATATTGAATATATGAGAAGTAAAATTGTGTTTCAGAATCTCTGAGAAGCAATGGTGCCTTTTTTAGACCGAAAACGTCAAGAAAGGTTATCACATTCCAAATGACTATTACTAAAAAAGATATCTTGATAAGAGAGAAAGGAAGAGAGGAGAGAGAAACCCCTCAAAGATCATCTCATTTTCCAGATGTATTTTTTGTTTGCTTGTCTGGGGGAGGCACAAAAGCAAACTTGGGGGCCAGGGGTTGGAGTGGAGGCACATTTCTTGTTTTGGTATACTGCCAATTGGAATTTGACAGAGGTCCCTGTATGTGCCATTCATTTCCAAGTAGTATTGTAGTTATTCCAATGTATAAGGCATTTTATCAATCCCTTCTGCTCTCTTTCTCAGGCACTGTTCAGTGGTGAGCTCTACTGGATTTTCTGAACACTGCTTCTTGTGGAATTTGTTATTATATGCTTGTTATATCTCCATCTCACGTTTCAGATGATGATGCAGTCAGACCCGTATCCATGTGGATTGTATGCGACCTGGAGACGGAGGAAGGGAGGCAGGTTGCTAGGGATACTGTTCAATATGTGGTGAGAATTAAGATTCAGTTTTAAAAGTAATACATACACAATCAACTCATGGGGACTCTCTATTATAAGCTATTTACACTCTGCCCTGTATTTTTATGTGTCTTAACTTGGAATCACATATTTAGTTTAAAAGATATATAATATTTATAGGCTATGAATTTATGAGAGTTTTGTTTTATATTAATCTCAAACAATATATAAGAGTGTCAAATTTCCCCCTTCTGTCTCTGTGTACTTTTGTGTGTGACCATAGACGCAACTACTGAACAATACAAAGCAATTCTTTAGTCAAATATGTAGATATTGCTGACTGGAAAAATCTCCCACAGTTTTGTCACTGCACCTAGTTTTGATATCTGAAGAAAGATTGATGTACATGTAAAGTCATTGGGTTGGTATGGCATGTCAGACATGTGTTTTGAATCTATCTTGCATGCCCTCAAAATATATTTTGTCCGCGAATCTGTAGAAAGAAGTGAGCGTAGGACCAACAAGAGAACCTTTGTTGGATAATGCTGATGATAATGGCGGTCTCCTGCGTTCTGAAATTTATCTCTTTAGTTCAATGAAAAATATATACAAATATCCGTTAAACTCGTTTGCTATGTATGTAATACTTATGTAAAAATGTATAACCTTGTATTTGTTATTTTATAAAAATAAATCAAACAAACAAACAAACAAAATTATGTTTTTTCTTCTTCAAATGTGCAGAAAGCTTCAAACAATGTCCGTCTGGGGTTGGTCCACTATGCCCCGCCCTCCTCTCAGGACGGTGCTGATGCCTTCTGGCTTGTTAAGGCTGTCCAGGCTGCCATGGAAACACAAACGAGGAACTACGCCAAGAATTTCATCTTTAAGCTTCTGAAGGAGGAGAATTTCAAGAGTGTTCAAGATGGGCAGAAAACACCACAGGACTTTGAAGTCAATGTAAGGAGTTACGTGTAATAAAAAAGATTACAGAAATGATGGTGAGGAGAAGGAGGAGGAAGATGATGGTGATGATAAGAATGTTGATGTACATGTAGGTGTTGCTGATGTTGATGAGGAGGATGAGAATGAGGAGGAGGATTTAGAGGATGAGGATGATGATGGTGATGATGATGATGGTGAGGATGATGATGGTCAGGATGATGAGGATGATAAGGATAAGAAGGAGGAGGAAGAGGATGGTGATGATGAGGATGTTGATGTAGGTGTTGTTGATGTTGATGTTGATGAGGAGGAGGATTTAGAGGATGATGATGATGATGATGATGATGATGATGATGATGATGATGATGATGATGATGATGATGATGATGATGATGATGATGATGATGATGGTGGTGGTGATGATGATGATGATGATGATGATGATGATGATGATGATGGTGAACAGTGATAATTGTGACCAAGATTATGAGAGCTTTGGTGGTGGTGATCATGTACTAGTATGGTGATGATTTGAAGATGATGGTGGATGATGATGAAAATGGTGAAGGAGATGATGAAGAAATCATAAATGCTTAGTTTGAATGAATTGTTCTTATTTTTCATATGTGAAAAAGAAGCATTGATAGCTGAACAAATGTTGAGTATTGTTTTCTTGTCTCGCTTAGGGTATGGATATGAAAGCTTTTACGGAAGCATTCAACACACCTCGCGTTGCTCTTCGTGAGAACCATAGAGCTTTCTCATCTGATGTACTGGGACTCGCCCCTGGAAACAGGGCTATCGTCGCTAATGGAAGGGTGAGATCTTGCTATACATTCAGTTCTAGAAAAATTGAAAAATTGTGAATTTAATTATTCTTTGTATGGCAGTCCGGAAGAAAAGTACACTACTAATGTCCGGTGAAAATGATCGCTCTTCAATTTAGCGAGAAATGGCTGAAGGGTCCAAACCTTCATTCTCCATGCCTGTGTAGTCCCTTATACCAAATTGCTTGTGCATTGCATGTGATTTTCAGCAAATTGTGTTAATTCCTTATCATTATATACACCACATTTTTTATTCACGTAATCAACCTTTCCCAGTTGCTTGTAGACAGTTCCTTTCACAATCTGATGGTAACACAGTACTCCTTTTATCTTTATTATTAACCAAACTGTTGTTATGGGTTTGTCAAAACTAAATGTACATGTAGCATAAGTATGATAATATCTGCGTTCACAATTCACCAATTTATTACTTTCTACTTTCTCTTTATTAGCCAATATTTTCATATATAAGATGCCCCTTGTTTAGTATCCATTGGTTTTCTGTGAATTTTTTGGTAACTTGTAAATATTGATTTTATATTTATGTCAATTTATGTTTATTTATGTGTGATCTTTGATGTAGGTATTTGGACCATTTTTGCCAGATGAGCCCATCGAAGTGGCAGATTTTGAGCTTATAGAGAAACTGATCACAAGCAATTCTGCAACCAATGTGAAAAATAAGGTAAGAAATACAAATCATTTTTTCTATAAGGAACAAAATACAGATTGTAGAAGAAGATGGTTAGATTAAAATGATTTAGGAATGTCATCCCTGAATGTTCTGAAGTGAATGACATTGAGTAAGGGGACAATCAGTGATCATGTTTTATTGGAATTATGAATACTTACTTAGCATGGTATAGATAACTCTAAAATATATGAATTGATACAAACAACTGTACTTCAATCTTTAATCATCAGCAGGTCATAAAAGAAATTCATATACATCACTTTTTTAGTTCCTGATCATAGTGATTGTAAACTAAAGATGACAAATTTCAAACTCAAAATATCTATTTTCAGTCTCTTTTATACCATTTTATTTTGTATATCTTTATGAATTAATGGACTTTGTGCTTACTCTCCTTCCTCTCTCTGTTTTTCTTCTAACAGCTGAAGAACATTAATGTTTCTGCAAAGGATAGTTCTAAGAGGAGAGACTTTGCCAGTGATATGGTCATGAAGACGGACGCTCTACTAGCCTCTAGCTCTCAGTCTGATTCAAGGAAAGAAACTCAATACTGGAATAAAAAACATAGGTTAGTTAATTATATTAATAGTTACATTTGTATAGGACTTTACATTGTTATTATTATTACTTTATTAGTATAACTGGATCACTGTGATTCAGGAAGATAAGTGATAGACGAAATGGGACAACATAATTGTATGGATACAGCATTAATGTATCTGTAAACAGAGAAGGAGAGAAAGAGAGAAAGAGAGGGAGACAGAGAGAGACAGACAGAGATAGACAGACAGAGAGACAGAAAAACCTGACAGAGAGAGACATACAGAAAGAGAGAGAGAGAGAGAGAGAGAGAGAGAGAGAGAGAGAGAGAGAGCCAGACACCATGTTCATGTTTAAAGCCTATGGAGCTGACACAATTCAGTATTCAATGAGCTAATAACCATTTTTATTATCCTACCGTGGTGATAAACATTGACCTACAAAATACAAACAGTAACGATGTGAAATGTGAGTAATATGTTTCACTATCTTCTCTGCAGCATGATGAACATTCCACCTCGAAAGCCAGACCAGGCAAGCTATGACATCGTCGCCGTCTTGGATCCGTTGACAAGAGACAGTCAGAAATGGAGTCAGCTCCTTCAAGTACTACATCAAGGCCTCAATGTCAATATCAATATCTACATGAATCCAAGGGCACAGCTATCAGAATTGCCTCTCAAGAGGTAGGTTTTCATTGACATTTTTCTTGATTTTAAAGCCAGTCTGCACTAGTTTGGCATGGAGGGATTAGACCTCCCTGCAAGGTCACTGGCAGGTGGTTATCTCATCAAATCAGCTCTCAATTAACATAAGAAAAGGGCATCATGGGGGATCAAAGGGTACCGGTTAGGCATTGTTGGCTGTATAGAGGGCGCAAGTAGCTATAAGTAGTGCAGTAGGGCTTTAAGAGTAGTCTCAAGGCTGCAGTAAAGCTGCCAACTGCTCATATTTAGGAGGAAAGATTCAATTTTTTTGGTCTTTTAGCTAATGTTTTGAACCCTAGATTCCTCTCTATTTCCGAATTTTTGCTGTGAAAGGTTGGCAGGTATGCTTCAGCCCTCTCAGGTGGTAATGGCAGAGATGCCAACCAGTACGATTAAATCATATTTAGTACGATAATAAGAGTGAAATATGATAATACAATATCACCTCTTAAAATACAATTTTAAATCAATTAAAAACCCCATAAAAACAGCGGAATCGCATAGAAACATGTACGAGTAAACCCCCGGTACCCCAACAAAAACTTTGCTTTACAATTTTCTCATTAAATTTTAATGGAAGAGCAAACATTTTACTTGATCGTACTTGCCAGTAAAACATTTTTCTGAAATTTTACTGGCCCGGGGCCAACCGGCCTGCGTATTGGTCTGTTTTTTTGTGTCAAAAGGTTGGCATCTCTGTAATGGTCACATGTAGTGTATGTACCATTTATGATTATCCTTCAAATTTTTTTGCCGCAGTAACCTGAAAAAAAGGGTTCCACCAGCCCTTCCTTTATTTGGATAAGCTATAACAAGGTTGAGAAAGACAAATATTTATTAAGTGATTGGGCAAGGCATTAATCTACATTTAAAACTCTACTGATAGGAACTCATTCTGTGAGTGCTATCAATGCCTTAAAGTAGCAGGGTTTAAGCCAGGTATTGATAGTACTTTGTAGGTGCCTTGAGCCTCCTTTGGGATGCATATGCGCCCAATATAAATGTACCTATTATTATTATTATTATTATAGATATACCCATTATGATTAGTATAATTCTTGTTACTATTCAGTTCTATTTTCTCCCTGTTTCTTTTCACAGCTTTTACAGATATGTGCTGGAACCAGAACTGGCCTTCAGAGTGGATAGCAGGTATTTAAAGATATTTGATAGTATTATTATTCTGATGGAGATTGCTGAAGAACAACAGATTTGTGATGTCATGTAAATGCATACTTAAGTGGTGTCATGGTCGAGTGGATACGCCACGGGACTGTCGATCTTAAGGTCCGCGGTTCGAGTCCCGCTGCGGCACTTATGTCCTTTGGCAAGACATTGATCAACATTTGCCACATTCAATCCAGGTGATGTAAATGGGTACCTGGCAGGAATAAATTCCTTGTAATGCTAGAGCGCCGCAGTGGCTGCCTTGCTAAAGCCAGGGTAATAATCAGGGCAGCGCCAGGAGCGTCACAAGGTGACGGACATGTGCGCTATACAAGAAGCCACCATTATTATTATTATTATTATTATACTTAAAAGTAAACTGTTTTGTCCAATTTCTTTTATTGTATACTCCATTTAAGGAAAAGTCATGGTCAATTGATACCTGTTACAAGAAATGTAGAATCTATTTGACCTGCATTTATATGTCATGATGGTAAAAGTTCCCTAGCATAGTCTGGTTAGATCAAGACCTTTCCATGGAGATTGGAAAAGAAGCCTTTTTTGGAAGGTGGTATTTATTTACAGATTCCTGTTATAATTGTTTGGAGTAGTGAAGCAGGTTTAGACATAATTTGTACAGTTAACAATTAAATTATTCATACCCCCTGTAAATTTGATGTTTTTTGTGTTATTTGTAATTCAAGAATGAAAGGTGGACTCGTTGAATTAGGGCTTTTGTTGAATAGATGTAAGCGTTAATATGTCACATTCTCAAGAAACATAAATCAGGACAAATCAATTTTTCATATACTTAAAAAATAACTTGGTTAGGGTATTGATAATTAAGTTGTTAACTGTACACCACAGATCTAGTGAAATTTGACAAACATAATCAGAGAAATGTTTATTCTTGAACATAAATAGCACCCTGTCTTTGGAATTGTCTAGATAGACGGCGCTTTACAAATGCCTATTATTATTATTAAATTTTATTCTCCTTTGTCATTTTTCTTTGCCTTTGATGACCAGTTTGACTGCAGGACCATCGGCCAAATTCCTAGAAATGCCCCTGGACACTCTCTTGACCATGAACATGTTAACACCAGAGAGCTGGCTGGTGGAGTCGGTCAGAACCCGCAGTGATCTCGATAACATCAAGCTCAGTGAGGTAAACGTCAATCTTGTGGTTTCATTATCACTTATTATGATGCATTTTCAGGTGGTTTGAGTGGTCCGCAACAAGAGGGCTAGTATTCAAATGTATTGACAGGGTTTTCGTTTTGTTTTACCTGACTGCTAAGAAAGCATGTGTATGCTTGTAAGTTAGCAACCAGGGGACAGACGGCTTCAAGTCCTCTCCAAGGAACTTCGTGATGAGGATTAATGCCTTACCAAAGGGCACTAGCGCATCGACTTGGTTTCGAACGTGGGACCTCCCGGTTACAAGACCACTGCTCTACCACTGAGCCATCACACCTCCCTTTAACAAAAAGTGGATACTGAGGACAAGGTTAACCTTGTCCTTTAAGTTCTTATGCTTATGCCACCAAAGGTCTTGTGTTTGGGGTTGTCTGTCCCAATTTTTGTTAGACATTAATTAGGTATTACTCTTAACATAAAGAACCAGAGGTAGAAGTAGATGGAAAGCCTTGGTGGCCAATGTCTGGAACAGACAAGGCACCTAGCAAGCAAGCAACTGTTAATAATCTTAAAAGTGTGTATACTTAAGTGTGTAGATATAGTCAGGAATGGTCATTACTTTTGAATGATTGAAATGACAATCATCTAAAATCACTTTGCAGGACCTCACAGTAATTATCAGATCAAATGGTATATATATATTCACCCTTTCCCAGTTCCTTTCAGACAGTCTCTTTCACAAGGTGATCACATGACCAGGGTCCCGTTTCACAAAGCCTTTTTTCAATGACAAAGTACAAAATTCAGTGACAAATCAGAAGCAAGAATTTTAACCTATAATCCAAAACTGTCATTCGTCAAGGATGAAAAGTTTTCAACTTTAGTTTTAAGTTGCCATATTTGGATTTCTCTCCTGCACAGGTTTCTGGTGAGATTGTGGCTGAATACGAGTTAGAGAACTTGCTCCTAGAAGGGCATTGCTTTGAGCAGAACTCCGGCCAGCCTCCCAGGGGGCTTCAGTTCAACCTAGGTACTGCAACCCAACCGGTCATGGTCGACACCATCGTCATGGCAAACCTGGTAAGTTACACATTCAAAGGGCAAAGGGAAACACTCTTGTATGTGTTGTTGTACTTTCAAATAGTCCTTGTATTGTAGGGTGTATCATGTAACACATGAGATTCTGTCAATTGATAAACCAAGCAGTAGAAGGTGCATGTTTATGTAAGCAAAGACCATGCATTCAATGTACTTTCAGAATGTACATGTACATGCATAAGAAAGGTGTGTGCAGTTCTTGGAAAAGACACAAATTAGTGATATTCACCTACTTATGTTTTTATTTTTGTGCTTTTTCAATACCAACTATTCATGAATTGTCTTTGCACCGGAGGATTTTCCCCCACTGAAACCATGCATGTATTAAAATGATGATATTAATTATAGTCTTGACATATGCCAGTACATCGATTCCCATTTTATCAATACATGCAGATATAATCCATTGTGCCAAGAAACATGTTTCATTAAAATAAAATGTAAGTATCATTTCTTGTTTCTGTAAAGGGTTATCTACAACTTAAGGCTAACCCAGGAGCCTGGCTACTACGCCTTAGACATGGACCTTCTGCAGACATCTACGAGATAGCAAGGTAGGGATAAGGGATCAGAGTACAAGGACAGTGTGACAAATAAATGAAATTTATGTAACTTTCCAAGATGCTTCTGATGAGTATTCCTACAGCACCATCTATTTTAAAGTGGGTGTGGCATGAGGAGACTACGCGTCTTTCCCGTGACCTGACTCTGGGCCAATACGACTACGAACGACGCTACCGCAGCAATTATGTGCGTGCAACATACGCAAAACCGAAGCGTGAGGAGAACTGCAGTCTGTTTCGTGAACGCTAGTGCGCTGACTATGTAGAGATTAAGTTGCTGACTACCGTTAATCCAGTCCATTTTTTACGTGCAGTTGTCCAAAAGAAGTCATAGATGGCGTTAACCAGTATTTGCCATGCTACACCCCCTTTAATGTCTATTCTGAGGTGGTTGAGAAGGAAAAGAAGATTGAAATCATCTCATCAGGAAACGTTTGGTGCAGTGATCTTGACACAAACATGGGGGAAGAAACATACCAACAGAAGAAACAGAAAACTTTAATTGGTTGGGGTAATCGTAACATGTAACATGTAGTTTAGGCTTCTACCTACCTTAAAATTGAGCAGGCAAGCTTTTAAGCTCTCAAGAGTGGACAAAATATTACCTACTTAATTCTTAGGCTGGTAGAAACTTAAAGTAGATACCAAGTTATCCCCCTAAAAGTCAGAATTGAAATTTATTTTAATGCCTCTGTGTAATTACACATGTGATTTGATATCCCTTCATACAGTGTATACTCTAAATTAATTATTTTCATTTGTTTTCTTTTGTTAGTCATGAAGGAACAGACTCCTCTGAAGGTAGTGAGGATGTTCAGGTTGTTATGAGCAGCTTCAAGGCAAAAATAGTCAGAATGAAGGTAAGAAATAATTTGGGAATGGTGATGTTGCAGATGTGATGATGGTGATGATGATAAGTGTGATAGCATCCTGTTACAGTGCAAAAAGTGATCCATTGATTAAACCATTGCTCAATTTATTTGATTTAAGTGGAGTAATGAGAGTTATGATTGATTGATAAGTATGATTTGTTATGGGTATTTTTGTTTAAAGTTTTAATGGGAATTTTGCTGTTTTAAGGTGAACTGTCGAGTTTGTTATCGATTTATTTCACTTACATGTGTGACATTTGAACACATTCAAAATTCCTCAAATAATTTTCCCAGCCATTGGCTTTCTTTGAACTCTGAACAAAAATGAGAGTTGACCAATAGCCACAAATTATAACCCCTTGGATTTAGCTCATGCTGCAATCATAATTAAAAACCTGTAGGTCAGTCAGGAACCCCATGACTTTTACAAGCCGATCGCTTGTCTGATTATCAAGATATTTATGATTGGAAATCGCAACCAAATTTTGGGTTCTCATAACACTACAGTCTATTGGGGTAAACGAGTATGGTAAAACCGGTCACTCAAATATTTTTACTTTTTTGAGGCACTTCTTGATCATTTTGATGCTAGGGCTTCAATATTACACCATATCACAGACACTGATAACACGTAGGGCAATGCATCTCAGATTTAACATTGTTAAACGATTCCTTTAATTTCATGGACAGGTGAGGAAGCAGCCTGGCATGCAGAACGTTGACCTCCTCGCCGGTGATGGAGGGAAGGATGATAACGGAGGAGGAGCAGGAGGAGGAACAGGTGGTGGTGGTGGAGGCATCTGGAACTCTATCTCAAACTCCATCTCTGGTTTGACTGGAGGAGGAGGAGGAGGAGGAGGAGGAACGAAAGGGGGTGCAGAGACCGGCAATGGAGAAATGGAACAGCTCAACATCTTTTCATTGGCATCTGGTCATCTCTATGAAAGATTGCTCAGGTAAGGGTGCCTTTGTTGTTAAAGCAATCTGCGCTTTATAAATAAAGTTTATAATGAAGATGAGGATAATCATTGTCATTGTTACCAGTAAGGTAACCAATATTACCTTTTCATTACTATCAACATCATCATTGTCGTCGTATTCATCATCGTCATCATCGTCATCATTATCTTCATCGTCATCATCATCTTCAGCAACATCCTCATCAGTATTATAATCTTCATCTTTATCAACATCATCAAAATGTCCATCATCATCATCATCCTTGTTTCATTATCATTGTCACCATCCTCATTGTTATTAGCCTAACTGTGATCATCGTCAGTTGTGTTTGATCAATCATCACTTTCGATGATAGGCTTCACATGGGTGTAGTGAAAAATCATTATTGGGGGAAATCATTTCATGTAAACATCTAGAGAAAGTAGCTGGTAGAATAAATAATGTAGAGTTTCATGGTTTGAACTTGCTGGAGAATGTTCAACTGTTTATCTTCTCTCATTTGATGTGATGTGTATTTTCACATGTCTTTTGCTAAGCTACTAAGCATACAAATATTATTCACGGCAACGTAATTGGCTTCACTTGTTCCTTTTTTATATACCTTTGCAGGATCATGATGCTGAGTGTACTGAAACACACCAAGTCTCCTGTAAAGTTCTGGTTCCTTAAAAATTACCTTTCACCTTCATTCAAGGTAAATAGATGTAGACTTTTAAAAGCTGGGTACTGCTTACAGGAAAAGACATGTATGTAGTCCGTAAGAACGTTGTTATCTTGTCTTTCAAGTAGATTTGATACAGCGCATAATCAATTTTGCATATTTTTGTGAACATCGATTTCAACATATTTCCCCTAGACAACTACCGGTATGCCCTATTGGCAGCTCATAACATACATGTGTCTTTGAGGTAAAACGATTCAAACAATACCCCACCTGAGACTCTCCCTCCTACCTGACTTTTAGGGGAGGAGGAATGGAATGGAAAGGGGAGGAGGGGGGCTTTGAGTAGGATAATTATTTTTGGAGGTGGGGCAGCTAAGATATCCAGGGGATACAATTCAATTCATTTCAGTTAACATTTGTATTGGTTACAATCTAAACAAATAAGATCATTCTCAATTGTGTTTATAACAACGGATAACAAAAGTCAAAATTATAGTCAAACCTGTCTATAGCAACTGCCCAAAACACAAAAAGTGGTCTTTGTAGACAAGTACCTTTAGTACATGTTTCAATGACAAGCCAATTTCAAGGGAAACAAAAAATGTGGTGGTCACTAGAGCAGGTTTGACTGTAATGTAGTTAGCATGACTCTTACTATACCCATCTCTATCCCAGCATTTACTTTCATCCATTGATCCTTTCTTTTGTCTTTTGTCAACAGGAGATAATACCTGAGATGGCTAAGGAGTATGACTTTGAGTACGAATTGATCCAGTACAAGTGGCCTCGATGGCTCCACCAGCAGACAGAGAAACAGAGGATGATATGGGGGTGAGTGGCATCCACCAAGGATTTCTATCTTTTCTATTTAGACATACCATTACAACTAAATAGTTCATACCCTTACCAAGTGTTGTAATTTTTGTATGTATGTGATGAATTGCGTTTCTTTTAATTTGTGTTTCTTGAGAGTGTGACATATTAAAGCTTACATCTAAAAGCATTCAACAAAGACCCTCATTCAATCAGTCCACCTTTCTTTCTTGATTTGAAAAACAACAACATCAAATTTACAAGAGTTATGAACTGTTTAGTTGTTAACTGTACTTGTAGAATGTACTCAATACATTGTTAAAGCTCATTCCTAGCACTGCAAACTAGAAACTATTTTACATTTAGATGATTGGCAAGCGTAGGTGAGACAAATTATATGCACGTAACAAAGGCCTGTCAAAAGTTCTGTCTGGTCCAATCAAGTGGACAATAGGTTCTACAACATATGCTCCATGTTCCTTTCTATACACTAATCTAATATCTAACTTAAAAACAGGACCTTAGCCAATACCTGATCCTAACCCTAGCCCTATCATTTTTAATGAAAAACAATTTTGAACAAATGTTGGTGTAGCAACTATTGGATCTCCTTGCTTTACACCTTATGACAACTTTGTTTTTTCTTTTGCTTTTATTTTCACAGGTATAAAATTCTTTTCCTTGATGTCTTGTTCCCGCTCAACATCAAGAAAATCATTTTTGTTGACGCTGATCAGATTGTGAGAGCAGACATGCAGGAACTGGCAGACTTTGACCTAAAGGGGGCGCCGTATGGCTACGTGCCGTTTTGTGACAGCAGAAAAGAAATGGACGGTTTCAGGTTTTGGAAATCTGGATACTGGGCCAGTCATTTAGCTGGTAGAAAATACCACATTAGGTAAGTTCTCATCTGGCAATAATACACCTGTTTTTGTTGTTGTTGTCGGGGGGGGGGGGGGGGGGGGGGGGGGGGGGGTTACACATTAATCGTCAACAATAAGGTTTGACTTTGTAACATTGCCCATTCATACCTGTGATTCAAATTCATCATCTTACACAATTGCTTTAGTTTGTTCTCCTAGAACGGTTTTACCAGGGCCCCGCTCATATAATACATAAAATTGTTTTATGGTTATGTTTCATGATTAATCTTTATGTATCATCTACGAAGAGCCAGAAGGGTGCTGTATTAACAAGAGTTATTGCTCTTCAGGCTGTCTAGATGATATCTTCCATCATTAGAATGATATGAAAATTAGTTTATGATTACTTTGCTAATACGACATGTCTGTGACATATGTGAAGCCACTGGATGCATGTTTAAACAAATACCAATGGTTTTCTGTATTTCCTCCTCCAGTGCTTTATACGTGGTAGATATAGTGAAGTTCTAAACGTTTTACAATCATTCAATTTTCTATTTTTTCTTTCAGTGCCTTGTGTGCCTTTGAGTAAAATTCAAATGTTTTACGATGTTTTCTTGTATTTCTATTCCCTCCACCGCAGTGCCTTATATGTGGTAGATTTAGTGAAGTTCCGTAGAATAGCAGCTGGAGACCGTCTCAGAGGGCAGTACCAAGCACTTAGTCAAGACCCTAACAGTTTATCTAATTTAGATCAGGTAAGTAAACGTTGATAAGCTTCATGCATTGGAATTTCCATCTGCAGTGTGTCTTAATTTACTTACGCCAAATTTGGTTGAAATACCAATTAAAGAACTTGTATGTACAAATCTCGGACATGATGCAAGAGATCAGAAAGAGTTCAGTCATGGTTCGGGTAGGGAATTTACGATGATGAATTCTCCCTATGGAATATTTCTTCTGAAGTTGGTTGTAGAGTTTGTGGAATACATAAGACTGGTCAGTTGTAAAAGTGAAGTACACTTTTGGTGACTGTTAAAATCTGTTAGTTGATGAACCCTCAAAGGGTTTAAAATTCCCATGTAATGAGAATCCCTTCTTGAATGTCTTCAATGATTTAAATGAATGAAAACAATTAGGATGTAATAGTTCTATTGTGGTTGATATGCTTCATCTATTTTCACTTCTTATTTGCAGGATCTACCTAATAACATGATACATCAAGTGGCTATAAGATCCTTACCTCAAGAGTGGCTCTACTGTGAAACATGGTGCCATGAATCAGAGAAATCCAGAGCGAAGACAATAGACTTGGTGAGTTATAGGATTCAAGTGATGATGGCGCCATACTGTTATGAAACTTGCTTCTGTTCAAGTAATACACATCTTAAAACGTGTACTTTGCATGGATTGTTCGGTGTATGTGACATACTGGCACCCAGTGAGATTTTGGAAGGTGCCCTCCGATAGCCTGACGATGCTACAAGTATCCCTTTAAATGTGATGACTGTACCTTGGTGCAGGTTTTACCAATAGGACTATTTCAGTTTGCATGTATGTTCTAGCAGTATCCAAGGGGATGGTATGGGAGGACCTAAGCAATTTTTCAGGTTGAATGTATGCATTGACATAGTTTAATCATTACATTTCTTGCTATCTATGTGGAGGAGAAGTTGCACTTAGTATTTTTCCTTTTTCAAAAGTCTCCAATGTCTTGGGGGGGGGGGGGCAGTGGAGATGAATCTGCTCTTCCCGAGCTGTAAGACCTCCAAAACTATCTGCCATTGTCTACGGATATAGTGGTGTATTGGATAGATAGTGTGAAATTGATTATGATAGTTTGAGATTCAGTTGATGATGATTTACAGGAGCCCTTCCCTTTGTCTTGTTTTTCAGTGCAATAATCCTCTTACAAAAGAACCCAAGCTTACAGCAGCAGTAAGGATAGCCCCAGAATGGGTTGATTACGACAATGAAATCAAGAATCTACTGGAGAGATTAGCAAACGCAAGCCTAGAAGAAGAAGAAGAAGAAAGTATAGAAGAAGAAGAAGAAGTTGAAGAAACAAATGGTAAGTGATCTTTAATTTACTGACCATCACCTCTACACACCTCGGTGGACAGTTTTTGAATGGCAATATAGCATTAATGTCTCTGGAGTTTGAATGTGTGGAATTACATTTTATACATGGTCAGGAGAGGAGCAAATAATCATTGAAAATGTAAAAGCATCTCAGTGGGAGTACATAGTGCGTTCTTTATAGATTTGGAGGAGAATATGTGTCTAAATTAAACCTGTATATTGGAAATAAAGAGTGGAATGTATAATCACTGTCTTGTAAAAAGTAGCATTTTGTGTATATATACATTGATTTATTTGATATGTACATTATATTTTCGTTGTTAAGAATTTTAAGAATATTAAAGTGGTTTAAATTCTAGTAGTCGAAGCTTATCCATTCAGATATTAATTGTTGTTTCAGTATATCTATATAATATCTGTATATTGCTGTTCATATTGCTTATCTTATGTTTATCATCTTCTTTGTGTTTGAAAAACCCTCTTGAAACTTGGATTGATGTCAATGGGGCCAGCAATTATTGCAAAAAGATGATTTGCCTCTCCTCTCTTGCATGTACAGATATCTTTCATGAATATGTTTCCTCTCTTTCTTTTTTCTTCTCACAGATGAGCATAAACACACAGACTTATGATGAAAGCTTTACTTAGTCAATATATCTTCAAAGGTGGAGGTGGTCCCTAGACTGATCTGGGAATGGAGCTGAGAGCAAGATTGTCATCGCATGCTCTGGACACTCTGGCCCAAATTCACAAAGGCGGTTTACATTTAACCCATGGTTTAAATCTTCATTTACATAACCTATGGTTTAAAATTAGCGCAAAATAAGCGCGACACAGTCAGAGGTCCAATATTAGACACGCGCAAGACAAGGTACGCTTATTTTGCGCTAATTTTTAAACCATGGGTTATGTAAATGAGGGTTTAAAACATGGATTAAGTTAAACCTCCTCTGTGAATTCGGGCCTATAGGGCTCTTCAAATTAGACAATTATGAGTTCATGCTTGGAGGAAGCTTGACGATTAGCTGTATTTATTACATTTTGTATGTGCAGTTGTTAGTTAAAGGCTGCCTGATCCTTTTTATATCAGTGCATTATGGCTCCTGAGAGCTAGAACAGGTTTACATTTATCTAAGATCATTTTCCTGATAAGAAATGCCCTTTTGGCTCTTTGCAGAGGATATCGAGGGGTCAGTGACACAAAGACGTAACTCCATGTTGGCCATTTTGAGAAAAAGTGGTTTATGTGTCACTGAGCACTTGGGCCTTAAGGAGTTAAGTCTATGTTTCACTAAGCATTATAACTTCAATGGGTTGTTGGGTGGAGTTAAGTCTCTGTGTTTCCTGGAAAGCCCACATTTTTCTGAACATTTTGATGCCATATATACATTTTGGCCAAATATGGAGTTACGTCTTTGTGTCACTGAACCCTCGATATGGAGATTAGAAAGATAATCCCAAGCTACATTGTATTTGATAGAATGTAAGGTTATAGAGCCCTCTATTGTTCAAAGGCAGCCAACAAACTTGCTCCTATTAAAGCACTTGCTAACAATGTGAGAACGGCCTGAGCTGAAAGAATGATTATAAAGGACTTTTTCATGTCATCTATGTCACCATTGTCATCATCTTCAAAATCATCACCACCATCAACATTCTCATCATTGTCGTGGCGTTGGTCATTATTACAAAGGTAGTCAACAATTTGGTGTCCAAAACCATATAGAGACATTTTTTTTTACATTAAGAAATCAAGCAACTTAGTTCTGATCATGTAAATTTACCAGTACAGTATTTTGTTTCATTATCTTCATGACTGTTATCTAGAACCAGAGCAATATGGTATTAAAATGCATGAACCACCAAACAACTTACAGTATATTCTTACTTGTAAGGTGCTAAAACTTTGGTATACAGTGAATGAATTTTGAGATTAGTGAATGCAAATATTTTGTTGCTCTATATAGTTGAGACAAGGCAGCATACACGGTCAAAGGTCAGCGTGGAGCTCCAAATAGTTCCCTCCTACATACAATCTAAATGCGAGGGAACTTCATGTCGTTTGGCACTCAAATATGTTAAACCTCTGAACAAGGGTAATTGTCAGTGGAACAAGCGCAACTGTCAGTGATGTAACTACATGTACATGTATCTGTACTGCATTGTACCTTTTCTACTGTATTTTGGGGGAAATGTGAATTCTTGAATTATGCATTTTAGGAGTGATTGGATCTAGTCTAAGGACAGTCCCCTTTTCAGATTTTGTTTGTTTGTCGGGGAACGGTTGTACATAGTGGAAAATAAATTTATATTGTCATTGTGAGTACATTCTTATGTGTAAAAGTACAGTATATCGAGGGGTCAGTGACACAAAGACGTAACTCCATTTTGACCATTTTGAGAAAAAGTGGTTTATGTGTCAGGGCCTTAAGGAGTTAAGTCTATGTTTCACTTGCCATTGACTTCAATGGGGTGTTGGGTGGAGTTAAGCCTTTGTGTTTCCTGGAAAGCCCACATTTTTCTAAACGTTTCTATATCAAATACTAATTTTGGCCAAATATGCAGTTACGTCTTTGTGTCACTGAACCCTTGATATGTAGGTTTTTATTTGCTTCCAGTTTACAGAACATAGTGAATACTCCCCAGCATTACAAGTCAGTTGAGCCATGTTTACAGAATCATAAGCTGATTGATTTTTTGTTAAAAGAATACCTAATGATTGGTTGTTGACATGACTTATGATGGTCTACTGTTCAGGAAAGATTAATTCTGCTCTTTAAGCATTAATAATTAATAATATTCGGAACCTGAAGTCAGAAGTACTAATTTATAGACATCAATATTTCCTCTTTTTTTTTTACAGAATAATGAAGTGTGAAATAAAAGGTTCATGTTGTAAGCATGATTCAGGGAATTCTTATTTGTTTGATTCTGCAAATATTGTCCATTTAGGGAAAGTCTCATTTCATTATTATTGATCATTTTCATATATTTGTACAAGTATGTCATATTTTGAAGAAAAGGTCTTTGTTATATCAGTAATTTGTTATACATAATAAATCATGTGGTCATTGCAATGATGATAGTCTCTATTAAAGTTTATGTCCCCAGTGGATGCTGATGTACATGTAATATAGTTCCTGTATTTGTTTATTTATTGAAATACATAAATATACTCCATGAAACATTAAGTTTTAAATTATACAATGATACAGCCTTCCTTGTAATTTTGTTTAGAGGTAGATATGCCTCATTGTTTGTTTATTATCCTAGTTAAAACTGAAGCCGGAAATGTTAAGATAACACTATATATGTTTGTTGCACATGTTTCAGATTATACAGCCGTCTCTCTAACATCTTCAGCGTTGATCAGAGGTCTGTTTATCCTAGAATCATTCGTCTCTAATATAATAGCTGACTGAAAAATATAATCATGAAAGCAAAGGAGAAATAGTCAATTTTACTGCAGCTTGAAAATTATTGCTCCAATCATGATGTTGTCGGTTGAGAGCCAGAAGGGCATGTACTCTGTTGTTAAATGATGAGATAATACCTTTCTGACTCTGGCAGATAACACAGGAGCTCACAGCATACACCAGGGGGTGTTTCACAAAGCCTTTTTTTCAATGACAAATGACACAAATCTGCTGATAACCAATCAGAAGCAAGGATTTCTGTAGCTTATAACAAAAATTGTCATATGTCACAGATGACAAGTTTTGTGAAACACCCCAGTTGTCATGTAATACATCACAGACCTTTCCCTAGTGGCTTCCAGATGATTCCGTCACAATTTAATCGCTTGACCAGATCTCAACTTTATATTTGCATTGTTTAGTTGATCTTGTGTTTTGGAAATGTAACTAAAATTGCAGTAGCTGATATGCACAAATCATTTCAAGGCAGAGTGCAGACATACATGTAAATTTTCAATTAACTTTATTGAATACTATCATGTGAATTGTACAATTGCATTAAAATAAAAGTGATTAAATATGATTATATTTCTCAAATTCTTGATTGCACTTGCCCTTTGATTTCTATATTATGTTCTGACATTAATGGTTGGCATGGTGATCGTAAGAATATGTAAAACAAATCCTAAAAATATATCATACACAATATAATATTGAAATTATTTGAAAAGAAAAAAAATGAATGTGTAACAAAATATTATACAAGTAGATAGTAGGCTGTTGATACAAAGCTTGGAATTACGGAATTAATCGGAAAGGCAAATTTGTAGTCTTTTTTTTTTTTTTAAGATACGGATTTCATTTTAGAATTGACAAATTCATACATTGTTTGAAGAAGAAAAAAGAGCCATGATCAGAACAAATTGATATTGTAACATCGTCATCAGACAGGGTTTGCCTTCTTTACTTTTCAAAAGTTCCCTGCATGAGCCTTTTTATTTTGTTCTCCCTTTCACTCAAAGAAATGAGCTAAATTGATTGCGAAAAGGAGGGGGGGGGGGGGGGGGAGGGTAATTTAGTCGGAGATTTTGAGTCGCATATTTCCCACCAAATTTTTGTTGTTGACATTACATTCATGCTTTATAATGGATAATACCTCGAAAGTTTTACCTCCAAAGCTGGTTTATTTCTCATTTCGCTGGACAGAGTTTAAAAATTAAAATCTCGCTGAACTGCATTATTTCAAGTTCAGTATAATTACAACAATAATAATGATGTACATTTTTAGCCAAGAACTCAAGGGGAGGTATATACATTGCCTCGTGAAACACAAACATAGCATCAAACAACTTTCTTTTTTAAACGAGAACACGTCATAAGTGTGCTATTAAAGGAATAATGCTCTTCAATTGCGCTGAGGTAGCAACGCTAATCAAAGATGTATAGTAACCGGTATGGAAAAGTACCGACGAGATCGCTAAACGCCTCCCACACTCGACGAAACCCTCGCCGACGGTTTGACCATAGTACATCGACCACGCATCCATGGGCTGTTTTGATCTCCTGTACCCCTGGTCGTTGACGTGGGTCGTAGGTCAGGATGGCGCGGAGAAGGCGCTGGACTTCGATGCAGACCAGACGACGTCGCGAGAAGTTGAGACGGCTGTTGAGCATGTCTTCGAGCGCCTGCTTGATGTTGCTGTCGTCGAACGGCATCCGACCTGTAACCTGTACCGCAATAGACGGGGATAGGTTTTCAGAAAATTCTGTTTGATATACATGTAGTTTTTACAATATTCTATAAAGACTTTACTATAGGGGCGTTGCTAACCAGGGGCGTTTAAGGGATGATGACACACATCCGAATGAGAATCCTTTAAATTATTTGGGATAAATCGCAAAGTCACGGGCCTCTTTTTCTTTAAAAAATCCGAGGATTTTTAAATTTCAATGCCAAATTTTCTAGCAGCACACAATGATGTATCGGGTTATCAGGTACTCTTTATTCAAAACTGGATTGTCAAAAATGTATTGCTAGATTTGAATGGAGTAACTACTGTTGTGACAAGTCTAAAAAGGCAAAGGAGCCCTTACCGATTTTTAAGAAAAAGAGAAATCCGTAAGATAATATGTCGTTTTGTATATACCATGTGACTGATTATAAAAGCGTCATATTGATGGTGATATTTGTAGAAATTGTATTCACGATTGAAGTCTTTTAGAAGATAAATAAATGGTTATTCAACAAATTCTACTATTATCTCGCCAATAGAATATCTCACCATGATATAGAGAATAATCCCTAAGCTCCAAATATCAGCCCAGTTGGGATCGTAAGGAATTGCTTGCAGAATCTCTGGTGATGCATAGGCAGCGCTCCCGCAGAACGTCGAACATGGTTTAAAAGCCTCGCTCCACTCCCGTGCGAATCCGAAATCTGTGATTTTGGCCGTAATGCCGGTCGGTCCCCAATCCAAGAGGATGTTCTCGCACTTCAGATCCCTATGGTAAACTCCATGGAAATGGAGATGCTCTACAGCCGACAGGATTTGGCTGAATACAGTTCGCGCTTCTGAATCGCGTAGCGCGTTTTTCTTCTGGACATACTCTAGAAGATCACCATGCCTGGCCAACTCCATGATGAGAAAGATGACGCCGTTGCTTTCGAACATCTCCAAGAGTTCTATGATGTGTGGATGGCGCATGTTTCGCACAATCTTGAGCTCTCGAGGAAGGAATTTCTGCTGGAAGCGGGCGTTGAGGCGAGAACGAGACACGATCTTAATGGCGACCCGGCATTTTTCGCTGTAGCTGTAAGCTCGTCTCACTTTGGCGTAGGTACCCTCTCCAAGTTTACCTTTGAACATTAAAGATACGATCGGAAACACCTTGAAGAAATCCGACAGTCAATTTCAATATCGTATTGTATTGCTTGAAGAAATCATGTTTAATAAGATTATGAACGAAATCCGTCATTGTCGTAATGTTCGCATATTTCGATAGGTGATGCCAAAATTTAATGAAATTGCCATAGTTGATTTATAAGGTCTTTGCTCTAGAGGTAGAAAATATCATGTTCTTTCTGCTCTACCTCGGTAGAAACTAAAAAAATAATTATCTCGGGATTACTCCATGTCTGGAAGGTTCATGATAGATTTCTCACAGTAAGGTTTTAAATAATCGTGTGATTCTCGAATAAATTCTCCGTTAAGCTCTCATAAAGGCCAGGAGTTCATTCATTTTTTCATTCATTTATTTATTTAAAATATTATAAAGACTCCATTCAGCAACCGCGCTGGTTTAAAAGCAAAGGGGCCGTGAAACATATCTCTAAAAATATGAAATACAAATGAAAATAATCAAATAATACATAGAACACAAATTATTTATGCATGGTAGTGCAGTAAAATATTCTGTTGATGAAAAAGTACAAAGTGTGAAATATATTACGAATGATGTGAAACAAAGTAGTTTACCCCGAAGCTCGATCTATATTCAATATTGTGCACCTATTCGTTATTACAACATTTCATTTATGAAAGGAAGGCTCACCTTCTAGAATGTAGCCGCGAGCCTTGAGGGTCTTAGCTGTCGAGTTGACATCATCTTCGGTTGGGAATTGAGGTGGTTTGGAAGACTTCCTTCGACTACTTTCATGCGGTTTCGTTTTGGCATCCTTCTTACTGGTAGAGTCTTTATCCGACGTTTTGCTTGATTTCTCGACGGCCGATTTTCCTCCAGACTTCTCAATATAACGGGATTTAGTATGAACTTCTTTTGTTTGAGAATGCACAGCAGACTTTTTGTCGATATTAATATTAATCTTCGTAATCGTGCTGTCCCCTTTTGGTTTGTTTACTTGCGGCGCTTTCGAAGGGCGTGTCGTTTTGGGTTTCGTCGACTGTGGCGACGGGGTTGGACGATGTCGGGTGGCCGAACGCATTTCCTCTTGATCTCGAGAACGATATGCCTTTCCCGACAGCGCTTTGTGTTTCAAACTACCTGTTCCCGACGCTGGAATAACAACCTTAGCTACATCTTTATTGTCCGATCGACGTACTAAACTGAAGTTCACGGCTCTAGTATCACTCTGTGTCGATAGTTCTGTTAAATCCCTCGGTTTTGGAAAGACTTTTATGTCTATAGATTTCTGGCATTTGTTTGTGTCGTTCGCACTTTTGGTGAAAGAACGGATTTTTGTTACTGTTCCACCTTGGTGACGTTTCTGTTCCACTGTAATCAGATCAGATTTAGCAGACAACTCCTGGTGGTGCCCATGATGTTCCATAATGTTACAGCTTTTCAACTTTCTTTTCCATTATTTTGAATTAGCCCGTTGCTCTTCTACGTTTTATTTCATTTGTCAAAATGTTATCGGCTAATCCATTTCGATGATAATTGTGGGAATACTATTATTATGCACGCATACTACGCACTTCGTTATTTTGTTGCTCCAGTGACGCGCGTATTATTTGTGACTCAGTCAGTCATTGTCACGTCATAGTGCGCTGACTTTTACGTCACGTACGGTAAACCAGGTGATGCGGGTGCAAGTATAGTAATGCAATTATTGAGGCCTATTTCTTGGTTGGGTAATCCCTTTGGCAGCTCACTCAGGAAGCTATACTGGGATGGTAGGTGAGGCAAGTGACTACAAGGAGTGTCATGAATTGCTGGAATGGTGTGTGGACAAAGCACTTGTCAATTTACAGTAAAATATGCTAAGTCCAGTGCAAGTAAAAACCAAGCTAGTAAGCTTATATGATGTGAGAACCAACGGGGGGCTGCATCATTCTGATGGAGGGTAGAGCAGCCTCCTTGAAGTTGGTTATTCCTGTTGCATTGACTGCTGAGCCTGGCAGATGGTTCCAGATCCTTATTGCTCTTGGGTAGTATGAGAACTTGAAGGAGTCGATAGTTGCAACAGGAATTACATACTTCAGGTTGTGGTCATGTCTTCCGAAGTATGTAGCAGGGATAACAATAGTTGGTGCAGGTATGGGGACAAGTCGGTGATGGATCTTGTAGAGAAGGGTGCATTGGTCGAGGATTCGACGTGTGTGAAGCGTGTCCCACCCTAGAGCTGCCACAAGAGCTGATGGTGATGTGGTGTATCTGTAGTCACGGTACACAAAGCGAGCCGCTGTTCTTTGTACTTGCTCTAGCATTTTTGTGACCGTGACGCTGTGTGGGTTCCAAGCCTCCGAGGCATACTCCAATTGGGGGCGCACTAAGGCTGTGTAGGCCCTGGACTTTACATCCCTGGTACAGGGTGAGAGAGTCCTGCGAAGAAGACCTAGAGTACGGCTTGCTTTATGCCGAATGGTTTGGCAGTGCTTGTTCCAACGGAGATCAGCAGCAACCGTTACTCCAAGGTACTTGTACTCTTTCACTCTCGGAATCAGTCCATTTGACAGGTGGTATTCTCGGATGCTGGGAGTACGCTTCCGTGTGATGGTGAGGATAGCGCACTTTTTCACGTTGAAGTCCATCATCCAGTTTGAAGACCACCTGGACAGCTGTTGGAGATCGTCCTTTAGGATTTGATGGTCCTCAGGGCATCGAATCTCACGATAGAGGGTGCTGTCATCTGCGAAGAGACGCATTGAGGACTGGATGTTGTCTTGGATATCGTTGATATACAACAGGAAGAGGGTAGGGCCGATGACGGATCCCTGGGGGACTCCAGATGTTACATCCCTCCATGTTGATTTGGATCCATCAACTACGACTGCCTGTTGTCTATCAGTGAGGAGAGACATTATCCACTGGAGTGAGTCACCACTTATTCCATAGTACTGAAGTTTGGTTGACAGGAGAAGGTGTGGTACTCGATCAAATGCCTTCTTGAAGTCCAAGAAGATTATATCAGCTTGGCTACGCTGCTGTAGGATGGAGGACCAGTCGTGGACGGCTGTTGTCAATTGAGTGGTTGTTGACAACCCTCGTCGGAAGCCATGCTGTGCATCAGTGAGGATATTATTCACTGCAACATGCTTCGACACATGGCTCAGGATGATATGTTCCATGACTTTGCAGCAAACGCAGGTAAGTGAGATCGGTCTGTAGTTGGAGGGGTCACACTTTTCTCCCGACTTGTGAATAGGGGTAACCAGTGCCTGTTTCCATTGGGCTGGAACGATGCCACTGTTGTAGCTTTGTTGAAACAGGAAGGACAGTGGAGAAGCAATCTCGCGAGCTACCAACTTTAGGAGCTTGGGTGGGAGTTCATCAGGTCCGCTGGCCTTTGAAGGGTCCAGTTGTTGGAGGCGTTTCTCGACACCAGTCCTGTGAACATGCAGGTGACCAATAGTTGGAAAAGGAGAAGGTCCTTTCTGTACAAGAGGTTGGAGCTGGTGAGGAGTAAAGACAGACTGGAAGTAGTCGTTCAGTGTCTCTGCCTTGTCTAATGCTGAGGCGCATAGTTTAGATGGAGTACGCAAGGTAGGAATACCAATGTTTTCAGAACGACATGTCTTGATGTAAGACCAGAAAGACTTTGGGTTGTCCTTAAGACTTGCCCCGATGATGTTGTTGACGTACTCACAACGTGCTCTGTGCACATTCTTGGCAACTTGGTTCCTGAATTGTCGGTAGGCTGTCCAAGCTGTGGAGCAAGACTGGCTGTGTGCCTTCTTGAATAGGCTATCTCTCTTCCTCATCTGGCGTTTCAAAGGAGGAGTAATCCAAGGAAGATGTTTCCTTCCTTTGCTCATTTTGGAAGGAATAAGCTCAGACAAACACCTGTTCAAGAAGTTGACAATGATGGACCAGTTTGTCTCCACTGATCTTCTTTCTGGATCTGATTGGAGGAATTCCGTCGCAAATTCGGCTGCTGCATCTCTCAGTTGCTGTTCGTCAGCTTTGTGGAACTGGTAGATCTTCCTCAGGGGCTTGACAGAGATCTTTGGATTTGCAGCAAGAGTAAAAGTGACGATGTTGTGGTCTGATATCCCAGACTTTACGCACACATTCTCAACCAGGGCGGGATTCGACGTCACAACTAGATCCAGGATGTTGTTGGATGAAGGTCGGGTGACTTCCCTGACTGTTTGAGACAAGGAGTTGTGCAAAAGGATATCCAACAGCTTCTGGTGACAAGTAGAAGTGGCTGGATTTGTAGTCGACTGGTCATCCCAGTTGATGTCTGGGTGATTAAAGTCGCCGGCTATCAAGATGTTAGGGTGGCTGCGCCGGTGCCTTGTCATAATCTTGGACAATGACTGGTGCAAGCCTTCAAGACCTTGTTGTCTGTTGTTGGGGGGGCAGTAGTAGCTACCAATATACAGTGGCTTGGCATTTGCAAGTTGCACGTTGCACCACTGTATCTCACAGTCTGAGTCAAACTCTGGACATTCAGTGACAATTAGCGTGTCGATGATTGCTATGAAAACACCACCTCCATGGATGTTTCTGTCCTTACGGTAGATTGAGTAATTGCTTGGGAAGATTGAGTATGATGATAAGCTGTCATCCAGTTTTGATTCACAACCAAAAACAAAATCAGGAGTGTGGTGAGCAATGGCTGCATGGAAGCTTGATTTTTTAGCATTCCCCTTAAGACCATTGCAGTTTACAACCATCACTTTAAATGCCTTTTTGCGATTTCTTGATGGAGGGTGAAATCGTGGTTGACGACGTCCCCCAGGGCTCGATGTAGGCGTAGAGGTTAGAGGGTTGATGGAGGGAAGGATTTCTTCATTACTGGAGTCGTGGTGAAGGGGTGAGAAACGATTGGTCTGTGAGAGGTTAAGACCTTGCAGCGAGCTGCTTGACCCTATGTTGGTAGAGGAACACTGGCAGCACACCCAAGCGAAGCTCCTGGACTTCTTCGTCAAGATATCATAGGAGTCTGGGGAGATACCGACACATGAGATGTGGCACCAGCAGTCGCAGTGATCGCATAAGAGAGCAGGGTCGTTGTCTCTCACTTCATCCCCACAGATGGCACATGGAAATGTCTCAGGAGCACTAGTTGATGGACCAGGGTTGGTTTCAACTTGTCCGCTGAGGAGAAGTAGGATGGTTAGGTGGCTCAAAGAAGTCGACCTGAAGTCAAGTGGACAAAGCTTTGTATTTCGATTCCACTTATTACAGGATGATATAAAAAGTAACAGTTTGCAGTTATCAATATCTGCAGTGTAAGTACGCCTTCTAGTAGGCTGGTGTAGTGATCTTGGTTCACAAAGCGTTGCATGTAGATCGAAGAAGGGTAAAGAAGCTGATCTATGGTCTGCAATCTGCGTGTACAGGTTTCCACTCTTCAATAGTTTAAGTGCACACACTATTGAGAGTATTGCTAGAAGGAGTGGATGTGATCTAGAAGAAGAGGGTGGTAAGAAGTAATTCTTCATGATGGCGTTTGCAAGTCGAACGGTGATGAATACCGGTGATTAAATTTGGCAGGACAGTATTCAATATTCAATACGTATTCAGAACAAACAAAGGGAAGTCAGAAAAGCTCACAGCAGTCTCACTCACTCAGCTACACCCATTTTATGTAGGTTAGCTATTAGTAGTAGTAGACGGTTAGCTAAATCATCTGGTAAATGATTTAAATCCCAGTGAGTAATTGCTTCTATATCATAAGAATAATATAAGCATAATTCAGTCAGAAAATATACATTACAGTTATTGTTGCCTGTAGTGTAGGTATGAAGAAGGCTGGGCAAAATAAGCAAACTCAGGATCCTCCATATGGGACTACAGGTGTGTGTTCAAATTCCTTGGCAGAAAATGGCTGTAAAACTATCACAATATTCTACCTCCAGAAGGTATCAAAGAACAAAATAATCATATCAAAGGCTTGAAGATATGTTCAAGAAGCAAAATCAGGTAAATAAAATACACGATCTGCAGTTAAAAGTGCAAGATTAAGTGGATTTTATATCACAAAACCAGACCATGTCTGCTCCCTGTAGCCATCACCTAACCTCTTTAATGTGCAAGGGGGGAAAATGGCCTCAAACTTTACACTAAAACCGTTAATCTCGGAAAATTATTCACTTTTATTTTGTGTTTTAGGTGTGAGTTTTGTTATTCGTTTTCATCCCCTGCAATTAACTTTAAAATCAAATATGATGTAAATAGAGAATGAGTTTATTGTCGCTGTCATAATTTGGGCTGGTTCTAATTTGAAAATAAACATTTGTAAAAATGAAAATGCAGCCTCAGACGTGGCCTCAGAGAATATAAAGCGCGTATGTAGGTAGAGTAACTTGAAGCAGGGCCATTTTAACCTTCGAGATTTCACCCAAACTTTAAACCAATCACAAGCCTAGTACTAAGTTACGTGGGCGCGCGTTCGTAACGTGGGCAAAACAACAATCACGTGATCGCGAGCTAGCGACTCATCAGGTGATTGTGCTACTTTGGTTCGTTCTTGACTGACCCTGCCTTACTTTTGTGGACTAGTTTCGATCTCAAACTAGTGTGAGTGGGACCTGTCGTCAAGACTCTAAATGTCAAGTCAAGATGTTTCTATTCGCGTCTGTGTGAGTAATGAGTAACTAGAAGTTGTAATTAGAAGTTGAACTTAATAAAAGCTAAATCAATTATTGCCATTTCAATGCCCATGCCAAAAGGCGTCCTACAGTGTTACTATTAGTGTTAACTGCCATCGAGCCGAGGCTTAGACCAAAAGCTTCAGTCTCTATAATCGTCGGTTGTTCCACTGAGACTACGTCTGGCTCCACAAGACCTCCGGTTATAGAGACTGAACGACTGCCTATGCCAGCCTGTGTTGAACTTATTCCGCTAGATTTTAGCCGCTAGGCCCCTCCCACAAACTTGCCACGGCCGTATTGTTATGCCCCCAAAATCCCCCGAAATGTCATTTTACCTCGTTCATTTCCAATTTTAAATTAGGCCTAGGCTATAATACATCGGTTCCACTTACTAACTTGATTGGTATAATCCGTTTAATGGTCCCTTTTAAGGAAATTATCGGTCAAAATCGACATCCATGCATCCATGTTGAAAATCTTGCAAGCCGTGTTAAACTCTCGCTGCCGTCAATCTCATCCCTTGTAGTCTACGCCGAAGGCAAAATGATTATGAAGGAAAAACTGTGCGCCATCTACACGTTCGTAATGGCGTTATCACAGTTTTTCCTTCATAATCATTTTGCGTTCGGCGTAGACTACAAGGGATGAGATTGACGGCAGCGAGAGTTTAACACGGCTTGCAAGATTTTCAACATGGATGTCGATTTTGACCGATAATTTCCTTAAAAGGGACCATTAAACGGATTATACCAATCAAGTTAGTAAGTGGAACCGATGTATTATAGCCTAGGCCTAATTTAAAATTGGAAATGAACGAGGTAAAATGACATTTTGGGGGATTTTGGGGGCATAACAATACGGCCGTGGCAAGTTTGTGGGAGGGGCCTAGCGGCTAAAATCTAGCGGAATAAGTTCAACACAGGCTGGCATAGGCAGTCGTTCAGTCTCTATAACCGGAGGTCTAGTGGAGCCAGACGTAGTCTCAGTGGAACAACCGACGATTATAGTATAGGGACTGAAGCTTTCGGTCTAGCCGAGGCTGAGCCTGAGCCCATAAAAGCCGGCCGGTCCGTGGGCGTGGCTTTAGCTTCTGTCTCTCGCCTCTGTCTCGTGTGTGTTATTGGGTTTTTACAGACATTTTTAAAAATCAGATATGATTATTTACGTCTTAGAAATGACCTTTAACGTCACGGTCATTATTCAAAAGACTTGACTCAGTTTTGAACCGGGGTCGCCTGACCCAGTTTGTAGGCAAAGACAGAGAGCTGACCAAGTGAACTTGACATTAGACCAACTCCCATCTCCCTAGTCACTCTACTCTACTAGGCCTAGCCTAGGGACCAGTCTTATTTAGTCTATACTCTTAGTCTTACTCTTACTAAGTCTTATAATCTAGATAGTGAAAAGTCTTGGTCTTGAATCTAATTTTTAAATGGTATGACTATGATATAGATCTAGATCTAGGCCCAATGTGAAATGATATTAAGAAATGGGCTGATTTAAAAGACAAGACAAAATGGTACAAAATTCATCCAAAGTAAAGTTAGAAGAAATGAATGATGTAGTGTCTAGAGGTCTACTGTAGCCTGACTGTAGGTCTAGATCTAGATCTTACAAACATGTATATGTTTTGTCATATTGGCAAATATGCACCATTAAGTAAACTTACTTCAAAATTCAGTATGATCATTTCAATTACCATTAATTCTGACTATTAAAGCTCCCATTCTTCACTCAATTCAATTTCATTTCAGATTTCTTCTTGCAACTGTGTTCATTAGAGCTGAAATATTGCCCCTGTGGTCTACATCTCTACTAGATGGCATAAATAATGAAACGGTTCCACTCAGGTACTTGAGACCTGCACCTAGACTCTTGTCAAACTGTGAAGGGACTGCTCAGATGTATCTCCAGTAAGTACACAGAACATTGACCCTACATTATTTTGCTCCTGCGACAATTGCTCTGTACTTTCTTTTGTCAAAGGTACAGGGTTATGCAATTTAGTTTTAGGGTGAAAGTAAAGGGTTAAGTTTAGTGTTGGGTCCAACATTGAAAATAAGAATTTGGTAGGTAGAGTAAATTACCGCAGAGCAATTTTCACAGAGGCAAGTGTTATAACCCTACAGAAAATAAAGCAGTGTAGCAGGATTTAGCCAGATGGGACAAAAAGCACAAAATTACCCATATACACTCCTTAAATTATTGCAAAGTTGAGACATTTCAGCTTTAAGAGTGCCTTAAGAGCATAGTAGAGTGATCCCAAACCTTGCATTCAAAGCCTTGAAGAATAGAAAGATTAAAAAAATCTCCATTAGATAGTGCTATCTGAACTTTTAATTATATTGCTCTTTTGTTGTTGGTGTTCCTGAAGATTGTGATTATTATCTTGTTCTGCTAAATAGTTTACAATGTGGTACGGCTCTATGTCATACCCAGTTTTTATACAAACATGAATTAGAGAAGAAAAATAGAATAATAACTTCATATCTTCATTGGATAGCGTATCAAAGGAATGTCTCACTGATTCACTGATAACTACCAGCTTTTTTCATAATTATAATATTCTTTCACATTAAACATGAAGCCTGCACATAACAGATCCTCTCCTAGCTTAGAGAGTTGCATAGTTGGAATTTACCAAAGAGCTGATCTATCTGGACAATTGGTCATTGTTCTTAAACAATTATTATAGCCTATACAGTAGGCTTGCGGTTGCACCATGTAAGAGAGAGGGAGGATTGGGAAGTCCTGAAAAGGACTCTCAATAATCTTTCTTTGTTTAGTGTGTGTGTGTGTGTGTAGTCCTGAAAAGGACTGTTGTTATTATAGTCTTGAAAAAGAATCGCTTAGAATAGAAACTTCATATCTCCATTAGATAGTATAGGGTTCTGAATAACACACACACTCAAGAAAGAAGATTATTGAGAGTCCTTTTCAGGACTTCCGACCTCCCTCTCTCTCACATGGTGCAACTGCAAGCCTAATGTATACATCACCATGCAAGCAGCATCTATATACATGTAGCTAATTTTTAATCACCAGTTGCACTGCTTCGTACCATATCGAATACATTTAATCACACCATACCACCATGAATATTTTGACATCCTCAGAGTGTCCTTTGTTACTTTTGATTATATTTCTTTTCTTTTTATGTTTCTTTTCTTTTTATGTTTCTTTTCTGTTTTTCTTCTTGCAGTGAGTATGCCTACCTATCCCAAAATGGATTTGTGACACCTATGGCTCCCATGAGAATCCCTTCTAATCTGCTTCATGTAATTAATTTTTTTTCTTGTCTCCTTTCAGCAGTTCTAGTATAAGTTATTCAGATCCCTGCACCTTACACAATCTTGTTTAAAGTGAATTTTTACTTCGCTGCACTGTAGCGTCAAATTTTAATAATTTCAGTGCTGTATGCAGTTTCAAATTGCCTTATTCTTTGTAATAGTTTTTGTATTATGATAAAGAATGAAAACCTATTAAGGTACTTTAAACTTGTCTGGCAAAATCAAAGAAAAAACTGCTTATATCTTTGTCTGCCTGTAGAAAGTGGCATGAATAGAAATGCGTTAAACTAAGAAGCGATTTAACTTCATAAGAGATTTTATGTTTTATGTCAATTGGCAATACAGAAACCAAGAACAAGTAATAGGTAAAATCAAGATGATTTTTTTTTTTAGTTACGCAGGTGACACAAGATCCTTAATAGAAATAACAATAAAACATACTTGCTTCCATTACAGGTGGATGATCCGGTGGTCGAAGCTGCCGTAGTAAGATCTGAAAGTATCGCCCTCCTGGTCAACGGCTCAGTCTTTATATACACCCTTCAGACCGGCGAGTACCAAGAAGTGATTGCTTCAGACGGTTACAGAGTGACAGCATTGGAGTTTTCCCAGTACTGTTGCAAACATTCTTGGTGTGAGGTAAATTTATACTAGATGGTTTAATTTCTGAAATGTGTTTTAGAAAGCTCTGGTATCACATTATTTGGTCTATTTACTTTTTTTGCATTATTAGAATGAACATCTGTATTCATGAAATGCCTGTGTAGTGTGATGTTTATAGGCTGTATATCAAAGATAGGGCGTTATGACTGAAATGCACATTGTTCAATTTGTATATTTGAATACTTCTATTTCTTCATATTCTTGTGACTGGCAAGTGAAATTTTATATTATTACTCTTCAGATGTTTATCAAGTTATGAAATAATATATATTCCACATTAGACATTGTTAAATTAAGAAGAGCAATTATTGGATTACCATTGCTAGTACTATGAGCTGATAGATTCAGTAAAGAGACCTTTAGTGCACAAAGTGATATCATGTTGTCTTTTTAGAGTCTAAAGGGTGTTAAAGATAAAGGTGAGTTCTGGTCATGTGATTGCATTGTGAAAGAAAAGGTGTGGAATGGATCAGAAAAAGTTGATCATAAAATTTGGCCCAGTTTTGGTAAAATAACAAGCACTGTACACAGAAAGATGTATGGGACTACATAAATGGTGCCGGGGCTACTAACCTTGATTTCCTAATCATTCTATGCTCATTACTCAGCCAGTATACATTTTCCGCCAAAATCTTTTGGCAAATGACATTTATTTGTAATCTTCAACATTCAGTGTAAGTTTTGTTTGATTCTGTGAGAATTCATTTTCTTTTTTTTTTTTACCAGAACTCACCTTTATCTTTAACTTTGTTTGATTGGTATGTAATAACGCCTATCTGGCTCTAAAGAGACAATGTTTATAATACTTGGTGCTGACATCTTAAATATGTTTACATGTATGTTGACTCCTTTTGAAACATTTCTTTTATAGGCCTGGAGTGATGCAGTTGTTGCAGTTGGGAAGTTGGATGTTTCAGGAGGCGGTATAATCAACAAGATATTTGTTTTAGAGAAAGGAGAAATTGAATTCCGTGGAACACCATTACCAGATGATGTAACAGTAGGTCATTCCTCACTGGCATGTCCAGAAAGTGTTGAAAGGGGGTCATTTTGAAGAGAGAAGAAAAAAAATAGCATGATTGTTGAGAGTATATTATTGTTCCTGTTTTCTGATTCTTTTGTAAAATAGAAAGTTGTTGAAATCATTTTAAGTGACCATTTGAAATGGATTTAGTTTATCTTTTTTTTCTTTGCCTGAATTTCTTACTTTGATCTACAAAAGTATAATGCAGATATTCAATATTACAATTGCATAGTAAGGATTTAAGAAGCATTTACGCTACTCAGATGTCTTTTAGACAAGAAAACATACCAAAAAGTAAATGATGCTTTAAAGTTTCATAAATAATCATTGAAACAATTCTTGTTTGCCCTTACATTAAAGTCAAACTTTTGTACACAATATAAAAAAAAACTTTAATTGATAATAATAATAATAATATTCAGCTTTTATATATTGCTTAATACATCTTGGTGCTTTACAGATATACTATTAACCCGGTCATTGGATTCAGAGCTTGCCCCCACCCTCTGTGTGCACAATCTCCACTCCCTGGGGAGCATTCCAGCCAGGCGTTACCTGACGCTCAAAAACTGTTTGACCAACAATATATAGTTCTGTGACTATAATGTCTCTGTCCCCCTTCGTCATATATATTCCTTTAGGATCTGGAACTGTTGGCTGCTGTTCCTCTCTTAGCCTGGCACTCTGTGGGCCTTCTGTTGCTGAAAGACCACCAGGATGGCCACACCCAAGAAGCTGTCTTCCGCTACCTACATATACCCTTTAAAGGTAAAGGTCACTGCAATTTAAGGAGAAGGTTGAGTTCTGGGGAGAGGTGAAAAACAATTTGTGAGAATTATCATTGTTATTTTGCAAGCGTGGAAGAATATCAGAGATAAAATGTTACCTGAAAAGCGTGGCTCTTCAAATGTAACAGCTCAAAAATGAGGCCCGATTTGTATGCCACATGTTTGTTGAGTCCCGTATGGGTAAGGAACCCACACATATTTGTGGCTCTGAGTAAAGACTTAAATAGTGGAGTTAGAGTATAAATTGAATTCCAAGCATAACATTGCATATTAAACCTAGAATCACTTAACAATCATACTCCACTATTTAATTTTTAATCAGAGCCACAATTATGTGTGGGTTCCTTTTGTAACACGGACACCAAAAATGTCACAAAGCGGGTCCCTAATTTATGGAATTACGCATATGGGACTACAGATTCAGGTATAATTATTGTAAATGATGCATTTTTGTTCTTTAATGTGGATAACAGGAAGACATCCTGAGCAGACAGACAGCCACACCGTCTCCACCATGAGGGCTAACGTTTACTCTCACCATGGCAACGACCTCAATGTCATCCATCTCACCAACAAATTTGGAGAGTTCCTGATGTGGGGCCCTCTGGAACTTTTCATCTCAAAGAATGCAGGTACATCTTTGCCTTTATTATATGATCAACTTTTCTAGACTTATTTTTCTTCAATGTTTATGTCTCTCTCCACAAGTGCTTATTTATGCCTCCGCTACAAAGTAGCCGGAGGCATTATGTTTTCGGGTTGTCCGTACATCCCGTTCTCTTGATCGCATTATCTCAAGAACCCACTGATGGATTCCCGCCAAACTTGGATCATGTATGTATCTTGCAGAGCCAATAAACTGATTAGATTTTAGTGTCAGGAGATCAAAGGTCACAGGGCTCATTATGTATGCAAAAAAAGCTTGTGATCACGTTATCTCAAGGATGGATTGATGGATTCCCTCCAAACTGGGGTCATGTATGAAACTTGCAGAGCCAATGAACTGATTAGATTTTGGGGTCACGAGGTCAAATGTCAAAGGATATGGGGCTCATTATGTATGCGAAAATAGCTTGTGAACGTTTTATCAATAGAACCGACGGATGGATTACTGTCAAACTCAAAACATGTATCTTGCAGAGCCAATGAAGTGATTAGATTTTAGGTTCATGAGGTCAAAGATCGAAGGGTCAAACATGTATATGCAAAATAGCTTGTAATCACATTATTCTGAGAATCTTTTAGTGGCTTACAATCAAACTTGAATTTTAAAAATTGCTTCTGTTTTGGTTTGTAAAATTATTCCATGGCGGAGGCATCATTTTCGACTGCGCGCAGTCGAAGGTCCATCTAGTTTTTACATACTGATACAATTTTTAATAATGGTATTGAGGAAAGCCTAAAGCTGTGAGTTCTTACTTCCTATAGGTCAGTCCGTGTTTAGAGCTAGTGAGGAGATTACAGAGCATCTTGACCATGATGAATATATTAAAGAACTTATTCCAGGTAAGGATTTTTGTCTTCAGAAATGTGTGGGGAATGGCAATGTGTGTGTGTATGGGGGGGGGGGGGGGGAGGAGAGTGTGAAAGACAATGGACAAATAGCAAGTAAATTATGACTTCAGAAATCACTAAATCTGCAAGGCTTGTATGTAAATCAAATTTTTGAATCGGTCATTTCAATGTGATGTAATTTCCAATTTCCCAAATCAAATTTCCATGTATATAGTGAATTCAGAGTTAGTTTAAAAATATCTTCTTGTTTATGCCAATTGGTTCAAACTTTCTATATGATCTTCTTGCTAACTTATAAGTAATCATTTTTTGAAATACCAAGGTGCCAATGGAGAATTTGCATTCCTAACGTCGGAAGGGAGACTGTTCTACGGACGAAGCAATCTGGAGACACACATAGCCGAGGTGACTAATATCTTTAATACTTGTATCACTTTCAGTGCAATAAGAACCTCAAACCACCAGAAGAAAATAAGGCTCGTGCTTCTTCACTGCGGTTTCGAAGTCATTATTGAAATATGAGGTTCATGCATGGTTAAAAAAAGTACATGCAGTGGGAATACAGTGCAAAAAAGGAAATAATATAAAAATAATCATACATTTTTGTAATTTATGCTTTAAACTTCCTTAAAATAGCCGGGGAATGAAAATGAGAATGAAAATGTTGTTAAAAAAAAAGAGATAATTTATGATTATAAAGCACGTATCATAAATACTTGTATGAGCTTTCCAATGGTTTTACTACTACCACTAGTTACTGGGTTTCAACAGCACACTTAAGTGTGCACCATCTCCTTTTAATAAACATGGAAATAGCATCCTAATCCTGCTATTTCAAAATTGAATGAAGATGATAGTTTGTCACTGAGGTGTTAGCATCTCGTATAAATCTTGGAATTATAAAATATGGGACCATTATCCAGTTGAAGATAAACAAAGCCATTATGCATCTTTTTTTTGCCCTCCCTAACAAACAGCTCCATGTCGATGACTTGATTGATTCCAATTCTGCAATCATCTTTGACAAGCAGAGTAACATCTTCATCATGAACGCCAGGCACTATGATTTGGATTCTAGGAATGCTTCAACAAGCAGTTTGGTCTACTTGGCTTCAGAACTCATCTATCCGTCTGAGGTCCTTGAAGAACAGGGCCATGATCTACCAACTTGTCCAGTAGGTTCTGTGTCACATGCTCCAGTAAAAACTGCTTTGCTAAATTTTAAATTCCTTATTTCAAAACACCTAAGCCCTGTTTCATAAAACTTGTTATCATTAACAAGTTTCCATAACTTGTATAATCTACTGAAATTGTGGCATTTTATTGGCAGAGAGCAGATTTGTAATAGAAATTAAGCATATGTTATTGATATGTTATATGAAACGAGGCCCAGGAATCGATACTCTACCGTACATCCTACACACTGACCCTAACCCTTAACCTAACTTTGAATGCAATCTTGACACTAACCTACCAACATATTTATGCTTTTATGATAATTACCCCATTGTTGATTTTGTACACTAAACCAAATTCCTATCTTCAACCTTGGAACCAATACAACGCTTAACTCTAACCCAAACATATACTCAACCTAACACCCAAACACAACACTGACCCCCACCCTAAATTTAAAAAAAAATATAAAGCCCAGAGTAGTTGTTGCCAGAGTAGATGTCAGATCACAATTTAATCCTAATAATTAACACTACTATTTCAATCCTGACAGCATAAATTGTGTACAACTTAAAGACTGGCATTTCATACAATAAAACTGAATGGAGCTATCAAATGGAAATACAACAATTGCTCCAGTACTAGGCCTACTTTGGCTTTATTTCATCACAGAAAGAAAAATAAGGTTGGATTTGGAATCTTATTCTGTGTAGGCTACAGAAGGTCTAGTGCTGAGTTCAGAGTTTTGTTGTCAGATGTGTGATGTACAAGTATTCAGGAAAAAAAAAGATCCAGAAATTGTTCACAGGAGATAAAGACTGTAATGAACAGTGTCTGTTTCATTGATGAATGCAGAATAATTCTAAAAACTGAAACATTGACTTGTCTTCCTCTGTTCTCATAGTTCCTTTTATTCACTGCCGACTTTGGATCTAAATTGTTCTACATTGATATTGGACACAGCCTAATACTAAGGGCGTCCTTTATTCCAAGTCTATGGCAGAACAGTAACATCATGGTGAGACAATTATAAATCTTTATTCTAGATCATATTGTATAATGATTTAAATTTGAATTAATTGATTTTGGTTGTAAGAGATAGTTAACAACTTGAATGTGTTATCCAAACTCACAATGAGTCAGGTGATTAAATATATCAGCAATTTTTTAATTGGCCGTCAACTAAATTTTTGAGAAAAATTAAAATGTATATGTTAAAATTTCAAAATGACTCTTAGCTAAATGATATGCTATAAAACACATAAAATATGCAGGCTTTCCTGATATAAGGGCGAATCAAAGGTGAACAGGGAGAGGAGGGAGAGAGAGAGAGAGAGAGAGAGATGCGGGGGTAAAGGGGCAGGTAGGGGAGCTGTTTGTTTCCATAACGTGCTATTTCACTTTTCCTTGCAGATTTATCCATCTAATCCCAGCATCATCACAGTGAGCACAAGCCTGACAACAGGTGATCCCATTGGACATGGACTTCAAAAGATTGAACTGGTAAGAGATTCATTACATTGCTGTAAGACGGTTTCAACTGCACAAATGTTATTGGTCCTGATACCCATTGAATCAAAACTGTTGTTGCTTAACTCCTTGACTTTAAAAATGAGTTCATTGATTGTGAACCCTTTGACCCCATCAGTTAAAATTAATTTAAAATAACTTTACAAATTTTGAAGATGAAAATGACTTTACATCTACTGAAGATTACAGTTATTTTACATCTACTGAAGATTAAGGTTATTTAACATGAACTAAAGATTAAATCTACTTAACATATACTGAAGATTTAAGTTATTTTACTTGAACAAAAGATTAAGTTTATTTTGAATCTCCTGACGATAAAAGTTCTTTCACATCTACTGAAGATTAAAGTTCTTTTACATCGTCCTATCTCAATACTACCTACGGTATCAAAATTGCTGGAAAGATTTGTTCAGCGGCAATTAGTTTCCTTTTTAGAAGAAAACAAACTTTTATCAGCAGAACAATTTGGCTTTAGGAGTAAACACTCAACAATAACGTCTTTGGTTAAAATTACAGATAGATGGATGAACGCTGTTGATCAGGGAAAATATACAGGAGCAGTATTTATTGATCTAAAAAAAGCTTTCGATTGCGTTGATCCTGACTTGCTCCTCGAAAAGCTACGTAATATTGGTATAGCTGAAGAATGTTTGCCATGGTTTAATGATTATTTACATAACAGGTTTATTTCCACTTATTTTGGTTCAACTCTTTCATCTTATTTACCCATTTCTTTTGGTGTACCGCAGGGTTCCATTTTGGGGCCTTTGCTTTTCATTATTTTCGTTAACGATTTAACTCAATATACACATTATTGTTCCATTCAACTTTACGCTGACGATACTGTTCTTTATTTTTCAGATTTTAATGTGGAAAGTGTTCAAAATAAACTAAATCATGACTTGTCATATATTTATAAATGGATGTGCAATAATAAGTTAACACTGAATTTTGATAAGACTGTATCCTTACTCATAGGCTCTAGACATATGTTAAGTAAATGTAATAAATTAAATGTATATATAAATAATATTGCAATACAACAGACTGACAGTGTAAAATATCTCAGGTTTATTATCGACAGCAAACTTAAGTGGGATGTCCATATAGATAAATTATGTAAGAGGGTTGGAAACCTAGTAAAATATTTGGCTAGACCAGGCGCGGATCCACGAACCCATTTCTATCGGCCCGGCTATGGCAACCCCTTTGTGTAAAAACTAGATAAACTCAGTTTATCAGAAAAACTGTGTTTATCAATGATAAACTCAGTTTATCAACTGATAAACTGAGTTTTTCTGATAAACTGAGTTTAACTGATAAACTCTGTTTATCTGATAAACTCTATTTATCTGTTGATAAACTGAGTTTATCATTGATAAACTGAGTTTTTCTTGATAAACTGAGTTTATCAACTGATAAACTGAGTTTTTCTGATAAACTGTGTTTATCTGTTGATAAACTGAGTTTATCTGAGAAAAACAGAGTTTATCTGAGAAAAACAGAGTTTATCTAGTTTTTACACAAAGGGGTTGCCATAGCCGGGCCGATATAAATGGGTTCCTGGATCCGCGCCTGGGCTAGACTACGTTATTTTATTAATGAGACGAATTTGAACTTGATATATAAAGCAATTATTTTACCCCTTTTTGACTATGCAGACATTTTAATCGATTCATGTGATAACAAATATATTAAGAAACTGCAAACTCTCCAAAATCGCGCGGGCAGAATAATAATGAAAGTTAATCCATATGAACACATTTCTAATGCACAAATTCATTCACTTTTAAAATGGTCATCTCTCGAATCCAGGCGTAAGAAAAATCTTAATGTATTTGTCTATAAATCAGTCCATAATATGTTATCTCCCAGTATGAATGAAATGTTTCAACCCCCTTCTCATATTTATTCCCTCCGCAATTCCGGTAACTTTGTTCTCCCTAAACCTAGAACTGAATATTGTCGCAGAACTACCCAATACAGAAGCTCAATTCAATATAATACTCTTCCTCCTACCACTAAATTACTTCAAACTGTTCAAACATTCAAAAAGTATTTAAACAATACTATTCCAGACTTCTTGTAGCTGTTTTTTTTTTTTTTTTTTTTTTTTTTTTTTAAATAAATAATTTACTTGTCTAGCTTTCTCTCTTGTATAAATATCGTAAATATTTCTGTCATGTTTCTTGTTTTACTCGAATTTGTAATTATTATTGTAAGTTCTTATTTTGCTGTAAGTTTTCCTTACTTTTGTAATAACTATTTTCATGTTTTCTACTTCTATAGGGACCCCTCTGTAAACCAGCATTGTTATACTAACAACGCTGAGTAGGGCCATCCCTCCGTCTTTCTTTTTTTATAAGTGTGTCTTTATGATTGTAAATATATATATATATATAATTATGTTGATGTATTTTTTAAATGACGGAAAATAAATACAATACAAATACAATACAATACAAGATCAAAGTTATTTTACATCTTTTGGAGATTAAAGTTATTTTACTTGAAAAAAAGATTTAAGTTTATTTTACATCTCCTGACGATAAAAGTTCTTTCACATCTACGGAAGATTATACATGTAAATGTACACCATTCATTTTGATAAACTTAATTAAGATGGTCAGTCAGGAACCTATTCTTCTTTTTTTAATTTCTTCTTTTTTATTCTTTCTTAATTTCAATCACAGAGTGCTACTATAAGTCTGACGGGAGATCAACCAGACATAGAAGAGTAAGTTTGCAACTTTAGAAAAAAACTGTATTACATGTATATTCTCAAATTCAGAATTTAATGAATCAGTGTTTTTTTCTCAGAATGTGTAAAAGACTCTTGGTTTTAGATCTTTAAACAAAGTTAAATTAATTTTGTATCTTTTAACTCACACCTTTCAAGGGAAATTTAAATTTAAATTCTGTTGGATTGAATTATGCGAGGAGATTGTTTGCTGTTTGAGTCCAGCTGCTGCAGTAATATCCTTTTGCAAGACACTATTCTACTTGTTCAACTATCCACCCAGGTGTAGTAAATGGTTGTCTGATAGGAATATATTCCTTGAACACTATTAGTGCCTGAGGGCGGCTGGGCTAAAACCAGGGTAATAACAGTAGTTTTTAGGTGCCTCAAGCATCCCTTTGGATGGATATGTGCACAGTATAAATGTAGCTATAAATATCATTATTATGTCTGGTCTGTTACATAGACGCAGGTTATATTACTGTGGATAAACACTCCATCCCTTGGATAAAGCGACATAGCACTGAACGGAGGCTCCTTGTAGAGCAAGAGCAGTCACCACGATCGCACATCAAGAAACCCACTGTATTATTTGTATAAGATTGGGGGAAACCCTGGTGATGCGGTCCCAGGCACAGGTCACACCAAATACTTAATGATAATAATTTCTTGAATCAAGGATCCGACATCTCACAGTCCTTTGTACTAACTTTGAGTTATTACTTAAAGGAGAAAAGACATGATGACTTTATTGCTTGTCTTACAGTGGAGAGTATATTGATGGATTGACCACAGTGACATTTACTACAGCAGAGCCTAGCCTGACCTGTTTACCTAACCCAAGTGTTGTAAGTCATCTTGTGGAGTTTTTCTCCCTGTTTCTTGATATGTTTGATTACAGTAAGGCAAAACTTCTATAACTATCATCTGAAAGAATTTGAAGAATTGGCCTCTGCCTTTTCTAGACAGGTTGTACAACTCGTAATTTCAGTAGAGGGAGAAAAAAAGGTGGCCTTAATAGAAAAGTCAGTACTTAGACAGGTTTGACTGCATCTGATGAGAACATCCATATTACTTGTAAATTAAATGATCATGTAGAGAAAGATGATTTTGTGTTTTTTCAGAATTCAAACAATTTATATTTACTGATTATTGTCATAAGATATTTGTATTGTTTAACTGCATTATTTGTGTATGACTAACATGTAAGTGCACTTTATCAATATAAAGTAATTGGGTTTATTTTGAGATAAAAGGTGTGTAAAAGAAAAAAAGAAAAGAATTTTTAAAGGGATGACAACATTAGCAAACTCCCAAACAAGAATATGATTGACACTGTATGTGAACATGGCATTTAAAAGAGATTGTGTACTATCGTTTATGAAAATTTTTCATGAGCAACAGAAGTGCTGTTATAAAGCTTGTTATGGTGGCACATTTGATTGATATTATGAATGTACTTTAAGAAATCCTATCTCTGTCTGTTATCTTTAGCATGCCTATGTGTCCGCTGGCTGCCCACCAGAGAAAACCATCCGAGCAAGAAAGTATGTGGTGTTCTCTCTCTCTCTCTCTCTTCCTTACCCCTCCGTATGAACTGATATCTATCTTCAAAAGCAGTCTGAGTGCATCTGAAAATGTGATACACTTTGTGAACATGAAGCTGTAGCTGCATTGTTAAGAGATAAGAGATACATGAAGATGGCGTTTGAGAGAACAGCTGATTACGTTATGCCACCTCTTTGAGATGTACTTGAACTTTTCGTCTGTTTACAAAAATACTGTGATTGCAGTGGAAAATAGATATTCTGTGCATGTAGAAAAGTCCCTGCCAAAAGAAATATATTATGAACACTTTTAACTTTAATATAGCATGAAATAAAATGATGCACACATTTATGTTCATCTACTTAATATAAATTCCCCTTCCCCTTTTTTACCAGACAGCTCAAGAGAGAATCATGTGAATACCTCAAGAACTATGTCTACACTTTTGAAAGGTAAGGAAGGCCTTCAATTTCATCCTATCATTCATTGAGTGCTTTCACATGCCCTCATTTTCGAATTATAATGAAAAACAGCTCAACAAAACGTTACTGCAACTTGTGTGTGTACTGTAGTTCCATACATGATTTTTTTTTTCCTTCTATTTAATCTTTCCACAAAACTCACAGTATACAACAAATCTCATGTACCACCACCAACCGAGCTTTCCCACTTGGTTCTAGACAATACCTTCTAAATGTATTGCTTGACCAGAGGGCTGTTTCACAAAGAGCCTAACCTGAACTGAACTCTAAGTTGGACTTAAAAATTATGGAGAGCCATTTGTAGCATTAAAATAAGATATATTCAAAAGCAAAAAATTAAAGTATTTTAGACATTTCATAAATTCCACATCAAGAATATGAAATCTCCCATTATAGTAGAAAATATGAATGATTTGAATCAACATTTCATTTCTTTTAAAATAACTTTTACAAAATACTTTCATAGATGCTAACGGCCTTCCATAATTGTTAAGTCCAACTTTAATAGAGATAAGTTCAGCTTAGGATCTTTGTGAAACACCCCCCTGAACTCAACTTCATCTTTAATCTCTGCAGAGACGAGTACGATCCCAGTTTCTTGGAGGGTACCAACGGAATCAGCGAAGACCAGGGAATCCTGAGTATCCAGTATGACTATGGAAGACATGGCTGTCCTGATCAATCCTACTACAGCGATGGATACAAACCACATTTTGATTTGTGAGTCTTTGATCAGTAGCATTTTGATCTGATCTAGTGATATCATTATGCAGAGAAACCAGTTTCCAGCTTCTGCTTGAATTCAGACTTTGTTTCAGGCCAATTCAGGCTTTTGCAATCTTTTCTGTGAACAGAATATATGGTTGTCCAACATTTTGTGGTCTCATTTTTAGACAAATTAAGAAACGGCAACTGGTAACCCTTCGGTAAAACATTGTACATTATTTCTCACTCATGAATTTTGTTAACTAGAAAAAGGCACACCATACTTACATGTACATAAAAATAAACCATTGAGTTAGGAAAAAGTGAGAGAAAGAGAGAGAGAGAGAGAGAGAGAGAGAGAGAGAGAGAAAGAGAGTAAAAGAGAGAGGGGTAGTGGGAGGGTGAGAGAAAGAGAGAGAGTGGGAGAGAAAGAGAGAGAGAGAAAGAGAGAGAGAAAAAAAAGCTGGAAGGGGAGGGGGTAAACAGCAAAGAGAGACAAAGGGAGGGGCAATCACAGAGATAGAGAGGGAAGGAGAATCAAAACATTTTTTAATATAAGAGCTACAAAGGAAGACAGAAAACAATATAACAAAAGAATTAAGATCTATAAAAGGTTATGGAAATGGATTATAAAGAAGTAAGAGAGAGAGAGAGAGAGCGGGAAAGAGGAAATGATTTATGAAACAATGTTCTCACTCATTTTCTCTTTCTGTAACATTTAGGTATATGGGTGATGAGTTCATTGAAAAGATGGACACGGACTATGCTATGATTGAGATACATGGCGCACACAACTATGACTACCTCATGACTGCAAAACAGGTAACAATTGAAGAAAGGTGCATTCTACATTTAAAGGAATTGGGTAACTTTGCCTCAGATTCTGAAACAAAATCCTGGATTTAGCTCATGCTGCAATAATAATTATGAACCTTTACAGGCCGATCGCCTGTCTGAAAATCAAGATATTTATGATTGAAATCTCATGGGCTGTTAGTATCGTTATCTGTTGCTCTGCTGGAATATCTTTGCATTGCATGCATATATTGGATTTGATCTGAATTATGAATTGAATTGGTCCGAATTATAAATTGAATTTAACCTGAATTGTGAATTTAATTTAATCTGAATTATGAATTTAATTTAATTACTTAGTCAGAATTATGAATTGAATTTTAGTCTGCATTTTGAACTGTCACATCTATGTTCAAATAAAATGTACTACATAATTCTGTATCCATTTGTATCTTATATTGATGCTTATAATTTGTAATCTTGTATTGACATGCAAAGGAATTTCAATAATTGGACAATAAAATTTGAATTGAATTGAATATGTGATTTTAAAATATGTCATCACCCCTGAATTTGAATCCATTAATGGTTATAGGCTGGATGTACACAGCCCCCTCAGAGTTGGGTGGAAATGTTAACGTTACAGAATACTACCAAGGATCCCAGTACAGCTTGGACGAGATATGTGAGTAGAAAAGACGACTTTGTACAGAGAACACATAATAATATATAATTATACTGTTAGTCTCATGTTGGAATTTGATTTGATAAACTCTTTATATGCCACATAATTACTCTCCCGGTGCCACATTGCATTTATCATTGGATAGATATACCAAATTGTGTCCAGTGTAAGATGAATTTACACCACTGTTTAAAAGGGGTGTTATGGAGTAAATCAAGACCAGAAAGTTGATAATATTGCAAAGCCTTTATGTTACACAATCTTTCTGTCTATTGGTGCCTATTGTTTTGTGCAAAATTGCTTGTGTGGCAAACATGAGACCATGCAGAGAGGTGGAGAAAGCAATGAAAGTGTTACCCCATTGCTTACTGGAACCAAGTGGTTTATGTGTTAAGCCTATGGGAATGAGAAAGCTTCAGTAGTCAAAGTGTTAATCACAAATCATGATGGAATGCTGATCCCCCTCTCCTCTCGTTGTAGTTTTGTGATCAGATTTATCAAAAATTTCTCTACCTTTTGAGAAGATAAACCTTTGTAGAGAACCCAGAATAGATGAATATAAGGATATCATACCAGTCTTGAGTGAAAAAAATATGTAGGCTTTGACACACTGATTCTACTCCCTTCCTTTTCCGTCATTAGTGTTGGGCTCAGAATCATCAAGACTGTATTAAAGAGAAAAGAAAAAAAGACTGTATTGAAGAGTATTGAAGAGGCCCAATGGCTCAGTGGCAGAGCAGTGGTCTCATAACGGGAAGGTCCTGGGTTCAAAACAAAGTCAATGCGCTCATACTCTTAGGTAAGGCATTAATCCTCATTACAAAGTCACCCGGAGAGGACTTAAAGCTGTTGGTCACCTGGTTGGTTACTTAAAAGCATACATATGCTTTCTTAGCAGTCAGGTAATATAAAACAATTTTTAAAAAACATACAAACTTTAGAACAATGATTTTAGAAAGGGCTCCCTTCCAAATGAAAAGACCCCCTTCCCTTATAGAACACCCAATAAGTAAATATATTGATATTAAATTAATTAAAAATCTCTGGAATGCTGATTTTAACCATCATCCTCTTCTTGATTTCCATGGTTTGGTTGGGATCAGAATTATCAAGACTGCATTGAAGCAAACAAAACAAGGATATCAGAGAGGCTTCCGTACCAGGTACTGAGTGAAAAGACTATGAACAAGGTCCTATGGAGGGAGAAGAATGCTATCTATGTCTTCAATGTGACGGTGCTAGATCCAAAGTATAGGTATGTTTGAAAACTTCCATATTAGGCGTCGTTTACATATGATTCAGAAAAACACCTAAAGAGATACCTCTGCAGCAAATTGTAATGTCATAAGTAGAGAACACTTAATATTTCTCTATTTTCAGGCAGCACACAGATACATCACTTTGGAAGACACAAATGAGAGGAAAAAATAGGAAAATGAGTAGCATGGTAAAGAGTATTTAAAGGAGACAATAGAAGATAGACGAAAAAGAATTTGATGGAATTATGGGTAGAGTAGATGAGAATAATAGGAATGATTAGAAGAGGAACTAGAATCTCAGTTATTTAGCCGGAGTGACTGTTTATCACTCCCAATTTCTCTCTATCTCTTTCTCCCCCTGTCTATCTCTCTCACCTTTTCTGCTCCTATCTTGATAATATGTCTTTCCACCTTTTTTTCCAACCTTATTTTCTCTCCCTATCTCTCTGTGACTCTGTCTCACCCCATCTATCTGCCCCCTTCCCCTTTCTCTTCTCCCTCACACTTTCTTACTCTTTACATGTATGTCTGCCTCCCTTGCTCTCTCTCTCTCATCCTTCCTCTCTCTATACTTTCTCCACCTTTTCTTTCTCTCCTAAATCTCTCTTATCTTCCTCTAATTCATCTCCTTCTCCCCCCTCTCTCTCCTTTTCTTTCTGTTCCTTTCCCTTTTTTCCATTCTTCTTACCATTTATCTCCCTAGTCTTTCTGTCTCATCGTTTAAAGGAGAGTGAAACCCTGGAGGTGGGGGGGGGGGGGGGTTGAATTGGTTTTTGAGTTACTTCACCCTGGGGCTACATTCTCCTGTAATCCCCTTGTTCTATATTCTTCCCTATTTCTTCCTTTTTGTCCCTTTATCCTTAAGTTATATGTATTTATTACTTATTAATTCATACTTTTTATGCATTTGATATTTTGGTATGATTGTATTTATATTATAAATTTTGTATAAGTTTTGTAATTTTACGTTTGATCACCTGGAAGGAAAGTTTCTTCTTTTGCTTTGGAAGAAGACAATAAATTCTATTCTATTCTATTCTATATATCTCAGTTACTGTAAGCTTCAGACTCAGTTTGCGGTGGAGGTATACGGCGCCCTCCCGCAGTCCTCTGTCTCTGCCATCAGGGTCATGCTCTTCACATGCGCTCTGGGATTCGCTGGTGTCGCTTTCATATTTATCTACTACATAGTGCAGAGAGAAGAAGCAGAGGAGGAGGACCAGCCAACCCAGAAGATTCCTCAATTTCCTCATTGATGGCAAACAATTCTATTTTGCTCTATGAAAAGGTTTCCTGAGATTTCACATTTTGCTTTTAAAATAGTCTTGCCTAATTACATGTACAAAGTAATCTTGTCCATCTTTTCAATGAACTCATCACCCATATACCTATATGTTGCAGAAAGAGAAAATGAGTGAGAACATTGTTTCATAAGATAAGTTTTATACATGTACATGTACTGAATTCCCAAAACCATTATGTATGAGGTTATTATTTACATATATAAAAGAGCCTCCAACGTCCTCATTTTTTATTGCATAAAATCACTGATAATTTTCAAAGCAGCTGAGTGAGTAGCAAAATGATTATTATTATCATTTTTTTTTCATTTTCTAATTTGTTGAAAAGCATATCATGTAACTTACTCAGTTTCAGATGAGGATAATTTTTGTGTGTTTCATGCGTATTTAGATGTATATGTTTACACTGTTTCAACATCTTAGCTTACTTTGTTCACAATTTCTATTTTAACATGGTAGGATGGTATGTTCATATTTTCTAACATTGCTATTAAAAGGGTATGTTTACACTCTGAACATTGTTGGACAATGTGTTCACATTATAGGTTAACGTGTTCATGTATCTTTAACATTGTAAGATGGTGTGTTTACCTTATAGGTTAACATGTTCATGTATCATTAACATTGTAAGATGGTATGTTCACAATTTTTACTTGTAGGTCACTCTGTTTACACTTTCAAAACAAATATGGTCACACATTTTTAACCTTGAAGGACATTGCCGTCATAGCTGTATGTTTGCACAAGACAGGACTCTCTGGCACTGGAAACAGTTGAATAATTTTGAAGCCTTTTGCTATATCTATCCGGTTGATAAATACAATGTGGTACAGGAAGATAGCTTGTGTGGCATTTAAAGAGTTAAGCATAATCACTGTGTTTTCAGCTGTTTCATTTCTTGACAGTATTGATGAGAAGATATATAATTTGTTCAAAGTACGATAGTATATCTCTAGTATGTATTTATTCAGTCCCTTGTCTGTATATTGCGTTATACTAATTGAAATGCATTGTCATCCTTTGCTCATATTTATGACGGCATCAAGAATTTTGGTGATCTGATCTTTTATGAAGGAAATTTATTAACATGCCTTGCTTTACAGTATTTACCACAATAGGAGGTTTAATTGTTAGTTTCATCAAAATAATGACAAATAAAAGACATTTTCATGTATCATTTTAAACGATTCGTGTATGTATGTGTCAAATATATGACTTGATTTTGGTTTTGTTTGTTTGTTAGCTTGAATAATGCCATAGTGATTAAAACAATTTTTTTTTAAAATCGTCATTTAAAAATAAGATCTTATAGGTAGTCAGTCCTGATGCAGAGTGTTAGAAAAGTCAGAGAGGTAAAGAAATTAGATCTCATTCATTTTCTGATTTCAAGTTTAGTTACGCCCTTTACTACATACATGCACAGGAGTAGAACACAATCTCATTCAAAGCTTGAAATTCAATTTTACGAATTCCAAACTCGAATTTCATTCTCCCCAAGCACTTCCTAGCACTAAAGCTTGTTTTAAATCCAACTGCAACTCTAACCCTTTACCTATATCTTTGAATACATAAAGACTGAAGCAATTGTTGCTGGAATCTATAGCTAATTAAAATAATCCAAATCCCAATTAAAACTTGTAAACTACTCTATCACCAGAAAGCCCCGAGGAGCAAACATTGGAACACCAGTTTTGTATTCTTATTTTTTTTGACAACGTTGATAATATTTTCCCCATTATTTTCCACGTGACCTAAGATGACCTCGTCAAAGTCTTTTTGTTTGTTTGTTCTGACTTGTGGGAACTTTCAAGACACCAAAGCATATGTCAAATATATATTATTATCAGACGCACGCGCCATGGCGGCAGGTATCTGGTAAATATCTCCGAGTTTTCATATCTAAATGTAAACACGGAAAAGCTGTTGTCTGGCTTGGATAATATATCAATATTCTATATTTTGCATCTCACTAGATAAGTGCCGATTGCAATTAAACTAGTGTGAAGTCTTTGTTTCTGTATCTACAGTGTGAGTCAATAAAATATATCTAAATGTAAACACGGAAAAGCTGTTATCTGGCTTTGATAACATATCCCTTTTTTCTGACTCACACAGTACACGTACCTCCATGCACGCCTACGTTTTTACCTCCATGCACGCCTACGTTTTTACATGTTTGTATGTACTATGCATTGTTCTTGTATTGCGAAACGCAAAATTGATGTTACCTCAATGTTACATTATTTTCAGTTGGGTAAAATTCAATTAATACAGGATCAACACCATCAACCTCCTCCTTCTCTCTTCAACCGCCTCCACCCTTCTCCTCCTCCTACTCACACCCTGTCCCCCCATCCCTCCTCCTTTGCTCTTCGCCCTCTCCCCTCCTCCTCCCCCTCCTCCTCTCTCTCCTCCGCCTCCTCCTCTCCCTTCTCCGACTCCTCCTCTCCCTCCCTCTCATCCTTCCCCCTGCCATATCCTTACGTCATATTTTCCACAATATCATCAAATGTCATGATTATTGCATCATTATTACCACCCTCGTTCCTTACACTGGTATTAATTTGTGATTACATTTTAGGTCTCGATCTCCATTATTTTTCATATTTTTTTTCTTAATAATCAATATCTTCCAAAAATGAAAATTAAGAAAGATAACTCTTCGTAGGCGCATGCCGAGCAAAACCAGTCGGTAATCTGTCTGTGTATATTAATTTATACTTTTATTTTTTTTCTTTGCATTTGTTTCTCTCTCTTCTCTTCCTCGCGGCCTCTATCTTCTTCTTCTTCTTTACCTTCTTTCTCTTTATTTTCTACTTGTTCTGTTATCTCCTTTTCCTGGGCCGACAAAAAGGAGGGAGGGGGGTAGACGATTCCCCCCCCCCCGATCAGCTTCTGATTATTCATTTTATGCATGAATTACGCTGAGATTGTGGGGAGGCGTTTCCATCCTATCGAATAGGTTGCCGACACGTTACCCATGGTAGCGATTGGTTCATTTTTTTCTCCCTTTTTTTCTTTTATCTTTTCACCTTCATCCTCTTTTCTCCCTTTTTATTCCGTCGCTCTACCCCCTTGTTTTTAGACCACCAAAGAACGGGGAATTCGGCCCTCTGTATTCGCCACTACTTCGGGGCGTGGCGTTCACTCACCTAACTCTTCAACATATGTAACCAATGGAAATTAGACTATGACACACGTATTATATTTACATTCAAATCTGATGACGATGACATAAAATTCATCGCATCATATATAAACCTATCCTTATAGTACCTCTGTACTTTCTGTTCCAGTAAACTTTACTTCGAGTTATCCTCAAGTATCTGCAACACGCATCACGCAGGTAGGAATCAAGATATCCATTACGTTCAAGGTCAGACCCCCTTCTTCTGCAAATCCCCCGCATCAATTCGAAGAAGGGTCAACAAAATATAATTTTTTCTGGTCCCACTATTTGGAATAGTCTCCCTTTAAGCATTCGTTCTTGCACCTCAGTCGCATTATTTAAGAAACATTTAAAAACTCATTTGTTTTCTTTGTAATTGTCATTTTTTAGAGTGTAATGCACTTGGAGAGTATATAACTATTATGTTTGTATTTTAAAATGTAAAGCGCCTTGAGCATGTTCATGTAAAGGCGCTAAATAAATACCAATATGTATGTATGTATGTATGTAGGAATGACTGCTTTTTCCAAAACTGTCGAAAATCAGGTTTCAATGAGGGCGAATTACATTACACATCTATAATACACCGGTTCTCATAAAGTTGGAATAAATTGTCTCACCCCTTTTTATAAAATGATTGTGACCATACGGTTTATTCTTGATAGATAAATTGTATCTCTTGTCGGGACTTTATTGATCAAGCTCTGTCACTCTTTAGATTGATCAATAAAGTTATGAGAAGATGTGAAAAATTATCTATAAAGGATTAATCATGTTCTCACTATCACCTCATAAATAGACCGAGGTAAACAAAAATATATTCCAAATTTATGAGCAACAGTGTTGTTTGCTTGAAGGATCACTAGTGGAGGCTGTTGTCTTTTCTAACGCACTGTTTTATTTCAAATTTGTATGCTGTTCTTCGAGAGGAAATACATATATTTATTAATTTTCCTTTTACTTTTGATAACTGATAACTCCGTCACACCGCCAAACCAACTTTAAATCGACCGACTCTTAGCCATTCAGGGTAATGTAATTTTTTTCGGTCTGGGTTTGGTATGCTATCGGTCTCGTTGGTGTGTTCTAATCTTACTCAATTTAACATTTTGGCGACATTCTTATCTTATGATGATACAATAATTGCTAGAATTTAAGACCACTTTCATGATTGTGTTAGAGTTCCATCGTCATTCTAAAATCATACGCATATTTTCTGTTTTATGCTTTTAGATTTTTTGTTTTAACTTTATTTTGTTACATAGAATGAACATGCTTTTAGAAAAACATGCATTTAGAAATACCGAAGAGCATGCATGGTCAACATTTCAAATTGTGTTATCTAAGCCTACCCTCAAGATCACTAGTTTTAATATTTTACAGACCAGATCAATCATGATTTCACGCAGAAATAAAGAAAATTTCTGATAATGGGAATAGAATTGATGATGATGATGGTTATGGTGGTGGTGATGGTGTGGTTATGATGATGATGATGGTGATGGTGCTGGTTATGATGACAGTGATGATGATAACGATGATGATGATGGTGTGGTTATGATGACGGTGATGATGATGATGATGATGATGATGATGATGGTGTGGTTATGACGACGGTGATCATGACGATGATGATGATGATGATGATGACAGTTATGGTGGTGGTGATGGTGTGGTTATGATGATGGTGATCTTGACGATGATGATGATGATGACGGTTATGATGACGGTGATCATGACGATGATGATGATGATGATGACGGTTATGGTGGTGGTGATGGTGTGGTTATGATGATGGTGATCTTGACGATGATGATGATGATGATGACGGTTATGGTGGTGGTGATGGTGTGGTTATGATGACGGTGATCTTGATGATGATGATGGTTATGGTGGTGGTGATGTTGTGGTTATGATAATGGTGATGATGATGATGGTGATGGTGATGATGGTGATGATGATTGTGATGTTGATGGCGATGGTTATCATGATGATGGTGATGTTGATGGTGATGGTTATCATGATGATGGTGATGATGGTGGTGGTTATGATGACAGTGATGATGATGATGGTGATGATGATGGTGATGATGGTGATGATGATGATGATGATGATGATGGTGATGATGATTGTGATGTTGATGGTGATGGTTATCATGATGATGGTGATGTTGATGGTGATGGTTATCATGATGATGGTGATGATGGTGGTGGTTATGATGACAGTGATGATGATGATGGTGATAATGATGATGATGATGGTGATGTTGACTGCAGATGAGGATCATAAAGATTTGAAAATGACGAACTTTTTCACGATCTTGTTGTTGGTGGTTTAAAGATTTAAAAAAATATTATGTTAATGTTATTAGAGGTCGGGTGACATCCAAATATAAGTTGATTCTTATTTTGTTATTCAAATATCTAAATATATTCCACATTTTAAAAATAGTTTTTAAAATAGTTTTCTCAGACCTGCTAGTCGTGGTGCTGGTGGTGGTAGTGGTAGTGATAGTGATAGTGTTCATGGTAATGGCGATGATGATGATTAATCTGATAATGATGTTGATGATAACCACAGTTACGATGGGGTTTAAGACTAACAGTGACTGTACTCATGTAAAAATGGCGATGCCTTTTTATTTACCCTAGTGGTTATTTATTTTTTTGGAGAAATCACATCTTTTGAATTTTCTTGGCTGCTTATTTTGTTCTTCTTACAGCCATGCGAATTTTGACCTGTTTTCTGCTTCTCTTCGGCACCTCTGCCTGGGCGGCGTCCTCTGGGTATGGAAAATCTAACTTTAAGAATGGACGATCGGTAATCGTTCACCTGTTTGAATGGACATGGAATGATATCGCAAAAGAGTGTGAACGGTAGGCGACAGTTTCTTTTCATTATTTTCTATGTTAATATTTCATTCGCGCTATCTATACTAAATGCAGTAGAAACTACAAAAGAATTTTCAAAGTTTCTTAAGTTACATCACTTGCTGGTTGCCGCCATTGGGCGAACGTTTGACGATTAATCGGCGACTGATTGTATATAATTCCTCGATCAGCTGTCGATCTTTCCTCAAATCCAAGACATGTACTTATTTTGATGTAACATGCTCAATAAAAACCTGTGAAATGAGTTTACCAGTAATTCAATGTGCAGCAAGCTAACGCCCTTTTATCAGTCACACATTGCTGAAGAGGTGTGGATGCCCAGTGAATAGAGAAGTGGTCTCGCATCCGGAAGGTCCCAGGTTCCAAACCAAGTCCCATTGATAAGGTATAATTCTCATTACCAAGTCCCTCGGTCCCCTGGTCGCTTACTTACAAGCATACACATGCTTTCTTAGCAATCAGGTTAAAAAAAAAACGGCCAACCAACCACATGCCTCTTTCTCATTGAATTGTTATTACTTTTAATCAGATTTCTCGGACCATATGGCTTCGCCGGGGTACAGATCTCACCACCTTCAAAACAGAACAAGGTAACGAATCCATGGCGTCCTTGGTACGAGCGGTATCAGCCAATGAGCTACGAACTGACAAGCCGAAGCGGAGACGAGGCAGACTTTAGGGACATGGTTGAACGATGTCGAAAAGTCGACGTCCTCATCTACGTCGATGCCGTTATCAACCACATGGCAGCAAGTAAGTATATATAGTCATTTTTGTAAGCATTTCACTCGTAAATAGATCCTAATCAAATGATTGGCCAAACTCGATCACGTGTGATTCATTTAATGAGACTATCACTTTTTTTTTGTTATTTAAAAAAGAGTCTACTGCGCTTTAGTAATATGCCAAAAGAAAATATTGAAATTAATTTTGTTACATCATTTCCCAACGGTTTATGGGTTTCGTTGGTTAATCATAAGGTCAACCCGCTTTTGTTAAGGCTGTATGCACCTATCGTACCTAGTCTGACGGATCCGTACGATAGCTACACACAACCTCAACTCTAGTGCGGACAAATCGCCTAATGAACTCATTCCCATGCATAATGTTAACAATTGTGCGAAATTGGGTTATACATGTATGCGAGCCTACTCAAAAAGACGTTTTACTGTTCACTAAAAATGTATTTAAATGGCAATATCTCTTTGTAAAAAATAATATTTAAAGCACGTACTGAATAGAGTACATCTACACGGATCCCATTACATCAAAAGCAAAACTTTTTTGATGATTGGTACACTTTAAAGCCACACTGCCCTACTTGTAGCTACTTGCTCCCGCTATATAGAAAACAATGCCTAACCGGTGCCCGTTGGTCCCCCATGATCCTTTTTTTCTTATGTTAATTGAGAGCTGAGTTGATGAGACAACCACCTGTCAGTGACCACGCTGGATGGTCTAATCCCTCCTGGCCACACTAGTACAGACGGGCTCTAAACCATGTCTTAATTTATGCTCTTTCATCTCTATTTTTAAGAGAGCTACGAATTCAGCGAGGTGCCATACTCCCGAAACGATTTCAATGTTCCGAGAGGATATTGCTCTACTAGTAACGGACAAGTTGGTAACAACTACCACGACGCAGACATTGTGCGAAACTGTGACCTGGTCGGACTGAACGATATTCTGTTCGGATCGAAGACAAGCTATTATGCCGACAAGAAGGTGGCCAGCTACATGAACAAGATGATCGACATGGGTGTGGCCGGGTTCCGGATCGATGCCGCTAAGCACATGTGGCCGGGTGATCTGAAAAACATTTTCGGAAGGTAATCATAATTATGCTCGGCTTGTTGAACAATGAAAACAAGGAATGAGAACAATGAAGAGGACCAAGATTATGGTGTGAGCACTGCATGCTTTTGGCAAGCAAGATGCCTCTTCTTTTGTGTTTCTTGACTTTCTTGTGATCTGTTTTCATTGTTTTAATTTGAATCTACAAGATGGAAACGATCGTTTACATTTGAAAGGCCAAATGCCCCCATTCTTTTATTTTGTCTTATTGCTAAAATGAATGGCTATGCCCTTTCGTGAATAGTAGAATTTCACTTGCATATCATCTTAAAGAGGATTAACATGATTATAATAATAATAATAATAATAATAATGGTGGATTCTTAAATAGTGCACATGTCCGTCACGTTGTGACACTCCTGGCGCTGCCCCGATTATTACCCTGGCTTTAGCAAGGCGGCCACTGCGGTGCTCTTGCATCTCATTTCAAGGAATTAGTTCCTGCCAGGTACCCATTTACATCACCTGGGTTGAGTGTGGCAAATATAGATCTATGTCTCGCCAAAGGAAATTTATGATTATCGTGATATATGAAAGATAAGTTTACATTATATTATTTATTTGAAAATCTTAATTATTAATAGTGTCCAGTTGTTATCGTTTTGCAAATTGTATTCTGAGTCCCATGAGATGACTGACCAATCAAAAGCAGTTTCTGGTGACGCAGCTATCTCTCTAAACTGGCTATGGATTTTGCCAACGGTTTTCAGATTGCAGACGTGAATATGCATTCATGTCGGGGATTTTAAAAACCCATCTGTTTATTTTGGAAATGATACCATTTGGTCACTTTTGGGAAGCCAATTCAAGGGCAATTTAATACTCTATGTCCTATAGAAATCACGTTCAGATTTAGTAATATGTCATTGTCATGATCGCACATTCAATCGCACATTCAAAAGGTAACGTGAAAGGCAATTGATATTGCATCGGGTTGTTTTTTCAGGAGTATTTGCGATTGTGTTACATGCTAAATAATAAAACACTTTGAGTTCAGATTAAAGCATTATTCTGTACTTAAAAATCGTATATTGACACAACCTTGGTTTTTACAATTTTACAGACTTCACACAGTGGATGGCAGCAAGCCTTATATCTACCAAGAGGTGATTGATCGTAATCCCGGAGCGGAGGCTGTTAGAGCGTCAGAGTACGTCGGTTTCGCTGATGTCACCGAGTTCATATACTGCGATAAGATCGTAGGGATAGGCACGGGCGACAATAAGGCCAAGTATTTCAAGAACTTCGGCGAGGATTGGGGTATGATGGACTCCAGAGATGCTTTCGTGTTCGTCGATAACCATGATAATCAGCGCAGCCACGGGGGCGGCGGTGATATCTTGACTTACAAAGACTCGACGCCATATAAGAAGGCTTTGGCCTTTGGTATGGCATGGAACTATGGCATTTTCCGCGTCATGAGCAGTTTTTACTTCGACGACCCTGACTCCAGCCCACCCGCTCATAGTGATGGAAGCATCAAATCGCCTATCATCAACTCTGACGGTACCTGCGATAACGGTTGGGTCTGCGAACATCGCTGGCGTCAGATCAAGAACATGGCGTGCTTCCGCAACGCCGCTGGCTCGAACCCCGTCGAGAACTGGTACGACAACGGAGACAACTTCATCGCTTTCTCGCGCGGCAACCGTGCCTTCTTTGCCATCAACAACCAATCGTATCGCGTGACTTCCACTCTCCAAACTGGTCTCCCTGCTGGCGAGTACTGTGACGTCATCAGCGGCGACCCGACCAATAGCGGCTGTGCAGGAACCAAGATCTCTGTTAACAGCCAAGGCAAGGCTTCTATCTCGATCCATAGCGGCAAAGATTCGATGATTGCTATCCACGTCGGAGCTAAGTCTGGGAGTGGAAACACTCAGTGCCATTGGTAACCGAATTCAACACAACGGCTTATACCACGAAACCATAGGTATCCTCCTGAAATGGTTTACGTGGTAACCTAATAAAGTAGACCTAAAATATATGCGAATTGTTTAATAATGGTTCCACTCATGTTGCATAATGGCACAATCTATGTTAATAGAATAAAACGACCCAACTCTAAGGTGAGACTCAGTGTAAAGCGACCATTGAATGGAGGTGGTCTTTCTACACAGGTTCTATAATCTATATTTCACATGTTTAACATTATTTTGAAGGAGACATTCAAATATAACAAAACATCTACTAGTCTAGGCGTTGAAATGTATAACTAACGTGCCAATGAGACCTAATCAAATAATCAATCTAAATAAAAGCTCGTCCTTTCAGACAAAAGCAATAAAAAATGACATTTAGTTTCCTTCTTTCTGTCGCCATTACTAATTTACTTTCCAACGGGCGTCCGTGTTCGACTCTATCATCAAATTAATGTTTCTATAATTCATCCATTATTGATTCTCTTCGTGCTTAGCTGCATGAGTTTATCGTGTGGGAACGGGGTGTGGGCGAATTGTGAAGTGGGTTACGTTTCTCATGTTATGTGAATACGTGCTGAAAAGTCTCGTGAAAGATGTAGAGACAGACAGAAGTGGAAGGGAGAGGGGGAGAAAGCGAAAGGGAGGGAGAGTTAGAGAGAGAGAGAGAGAGAGAGAGAGAGGGGAGGGGAGAGAGAGAGAGAGGGGGAGAGAGAGATAGAGAGAGAGAGAGAGAGAGCGAGAGAGAGAGAGGGGGGAAGATGAATAAATAGCGAATAATAATAATAATGATAATCCGTTTTTTTATATATCGCTCAATACACCGATCCAACGATGTGCCTAAGCGCTTTTTACAGATATATTATTACCCCGGTCATCGGATTCAGGCTTACCCGCACAATGTGTGCACATTTTCTACTCCCTGGGGAGCATTCCAGCCAGTCGCCATTTTACAGGCGCACACTTGCTCGTCCAACCACATGAACGTTCGCATCCTACCGGATACCCATTTAACACTTGGGTGGAGAGTAGCAAGTGCAGGTAAATATCTTGCTCATGAATGGGAGTGAAGAGAAAGATTAACCGATAGATACACCAAGACAGAGAAGGAGAGACAGGGAGAGACAGAAGGGAGAGTAGCTGCCATCGGCTTCAAGCAATTTGCTCATGACAGCGGATCCTGATTTCACAAATTCTGTGAATAAATTTTTAAAATTGTTTATTTCCTATATGTGTATTTCCTTTTTGTGAGCTTAAAAGTAATGTATCATTATCTGAAAATATATTTATATATTTTCCTGTAATATTTAATTGTTTTGTATTACGTTATTTAACGCAGAAATAAAATTAAATCAAACTAACAACAACAAAAACTGAACGACCCTGCCGATAGATGAATAAAGAGAGAGATAGACATACAGTGGTTTAAAGAGAAAGAGTAATGAATAAGATGGAGAGAAAGACAAAAAAACAAGGAGATAATAAGAAAGAACGAGAATGATTAAGAGAGAGAGAGAGAGAGAGAGAGAGACTGAGTGAGAGAGAAAGAGAGAGGAAGGAAGAAAGAGATAAATCAATAGATATGAAAGAGATGAATTAAAAGAGGTTAAATAAGGAGATTAAGAGAGAGAGAGAGAGAGAGAGAGAGAGAGAGATAGAGAGAGATAGGGGGATATATACACTGTATTATCACTTTTTGTCTTTCCTCCCTTGTCACTCAGCCTGTCATTTTTGCTATTCTCTCCCCTTCTATGCCTAGTCCAGATTCAGTCCGTTCGTTCTTTTTATCCCCCACACACAGCGCGGTCTCTCCACTGATCGCGCAATCCCGAGGTCCAGATTTAGAGGAATGGCTAGGTCTACTTTCAACGTTGAGGGTGTGTTATTTTATCAGCTGATTGGGTGCGCTAAACGAAAACGGTACAGAGGCTGGACTACCCTATGCCATGTTCTAGACTTTCATCACGAGATTCCCTCTATCTCTCTTTCCATCATCTTGTACAAGCTTTCTTGTTTTTGTGTTTTTACACCCCTAAGGAGTAGTGAGTATTGTATGAAGTACGTAAGTATTTGTTTGGGTCTTATGAAAAGCCCTTGGGAAGACCAGTACCGAAATTCATGCATTTAAAAAAAAATATATATTGATTCCATTGTGCATAAAATTATGTTTCTACCATAAAATGTGTTACTTAGTAACCATGGTAGCAAAGTACTCTGTTAAAAGATTCGGAATAAATCAATAATATAAATCAAACGAGAAAAAAAAGAAAATGATGGTTAACTCATTTCCCCTCACAGAGGCGTGATGGCATATTTGACATAATATGTTTTTACATGGGGAAAAAACAGAAAATGGTATTTATCCAGCTAATCCACCTATCACTACTTCTTTCTGCTCATGAGATATTATCGGTTAGTAAGGGCGGCTTTAATAGTTGAGTAGGTGTCCATTCCCCTCCTCTTCCGCCCAAGCCCCTCCCTACTCCGCCCCTAGTCCATCCCCCGTCATACCTAGTCCCAGCCCTGCCATCTATAGAATGAAGGTGCATCTCTCAACGAGTGAACGTCTTGAATTAAAGTTCAATTGCCTTCGTGAGAATTTAAATCCGCCAGACACGTGGTGAATACCGTTATCTCAATTTTTTTTATAGATACCAGTTGATATCTTTCAAGTTTCATAACGAAATGTAAATAGACAATCCAAGCCACAAGAGTTGTTTGAACAGTAATGAAATATCAATTATATTAGTTTTATGACGTCAAGAGTTTAAGTAACAGCAAAATGAATTCTGAATATAATTATATGGCAAAAGAAAGAATTATCATTATTATTACATAATTGATATAATCACTTTGCTGCTGTATGCATTTGTATTTTACTATGTGGAGAAAATAAGGGACCTTTTTTTCAGACAAAACAATTGTACATCCTAATTACAAATTAAATTGGCAGGAAGGTTCACCAACTTGAATGTAAATCATAGGATTGACATGTGTAGGTACATGTATCCGACTAAATATGATTCAATTTTAAAACTATCTGTAAATGTATCCATTAATACACATGAAACGCTTGCAGGCTCGAAAGACTTTAATTTTATCTATTCTTTTCTTCCTCTAATTAATTCATAAGGAAATTCTTTTGCTGTTGGCGAAGAGTCATTGGTGAGGGGGTTTATTCCACAGATATGCCATTTATCTTCTCATCGATTTATGAAAAAGATCTCTATTCGAGAGGGACACAATTTGGGGCAAAAATAAACAAGAAGGAGGGGAAAGAAGGGCAATTTTCTCCTCCTTACCAATTTTTTTTTTTTATCACGAAAAGGGAATTCAGCAGTACTATGCGTATAGGAGGTAAGTGATTTCTTTGTAAGATAATGATGGTAACATTGTTATTTTAAAAGCATGAATTTATTTTTCACGTACCGCTCAAACGAAAAGTGGTATTTTTAAGCAAAGGGAGGGGGAGGGGGGGGGGGGGGAGGCACCCTTTTTTCTCCTGAACTGTGTGCCTTACCATTAGCGCTAGCATTCTGGACCTTGTCTTATTAACAGCTGCGATTAATCGCAATCTATATTTGCTATTGATATCAATCACAACTACATGTATAAACATATGAGATAGGAGACTGCAAACTTACGATTGATGCGGATTAAAGATAAACTTGAGTTCTGGTAATGCGATTGCATTGTGAAAGAAAAGGTGTGGAATGGATCAGAAAAGTTGATCATATAGCATGTAAGTAATGGTGTGTAATGCAAGGTTCTGGAGTCATCAAAATCATCATAAATTTGGCAGAGTCTTGGTAAAGTAACAATCACTTACACAGAAAGATGTATATGGGACAACACACATGGTGTCGGGGCTAGTAATACCCTGATTTCCTTATCTTTCTATGCTCATTACTCAGCCAGTATACATTTTCTTCCAAAATTGTTTGGCACATGACATTTATTTGTAATCTTGAACATTCAGTGTAAGTTTCGTTAGATTCTGTGAGAATTCATTTTATTTTTTTAACCAGAACTCAAGTTTATCTTTAATCGCAACTCTTTATACGACGGGACCCTGGTTATGCCTATGTTCACCGATATACAAATGTAACACTTGCTCACACGTGGAAGTCGGCCGATGTCATGGTGGCGAACAAACTTTACTGTATAGCTTGTTCAGACAAGTGAACATTTATACGAAACTTGTATAAAGAGATATCGTAGAGTGAAGGAGGCGTACACGTTAGATAACAAACTAGTTTTGAGGTGGGCAGTTGGCCAATCATCAGCGTGCGCTCACGATAAGCCTCGTTTAGTTTATACGACAATTCGTTATACGACATTCAGACCAGAAGAATTGTATTTTTTGTTTTACTTAATTAATATACAGCTGTTAGTGTTTTCGTATTGCCGTACAATAAATGTTGGTAGTCTGAATGGGGGGGGGGGGGGGTGGCCCATACGAAATATTATCAAGATAGAGTAGCACCAGTCACGAAATATTTATTATAATAATATCTTTATCCTAAGATAAATACAGGCAAAGATAATGAAATCAGGGGCATAGCGCGGGGCCAGACAATATGGGGGCACTGATGTCGGGAGGGGGGGGGGGGGGCTTGGTATTTTGCTGTAGAAAGGGTGAGATATTAAAAGCGGACATCGTGTGGCCAAGTGTGCGTGAAGGGGTCATTATCTTCCTTTCACGTTGCCTTACTCTTTCTCTCTCTTTTCTTTGGCTGTCTCTCTTCTGTCATCTCTTTCTCTCTCTCTCTCTCTCTCTCTCTCTCTCTCTCTCCCTCTCCTCCTCCCCCTTTTCTCCTCTTTCCCCCCTCCCCTACCCCTATCCCCTCTCTCTCTCGCTCTCTTTCTGTCCTTTTTTCTTCCCCATTTTTGTGGGGAGGGGGTGCCCCTGTAGCTACGCCACAAGTCTAAATACCCTCTCACCGTCACGGCAATAACATAACTTAAAAGAGTGTTGCAATTATATTCACGAGGAGTTTTTGCCCAAGGATCTGCAAAATCACTGAAGGTAAGAAAGAGGTGTTGCTACTTAGTTCAACATCGACAAATATTTTAATAAAAAGACCGTAATACCGTGCATTATTGAAACATGTTTTACTATTTTTTCTTTTCAAACCAAAGAGTCAATTGCCACTGTATTTTCAATATGGAATCATGGAATTATTATATTTACATTTTCTTTTAAAATGAAGTTATCATACGCCAGTAACTTTAACGGTTGCTATCTTTTTAAGAAAAAAGGAAAATGCATGCCTGATGATGAATTACTGGATTGAAATTAAAATTATTTGTTTAGGTGATATTTTTTTTTCAATATGCACGAATTTAACTATTAATCGCATCGAACCACAAAACATGTTCTATTGCAACATTGTTATATACATTAACAAATCAATTTGACTGTTGATGATTTTTTTAAAGATTAATTTCATAGCCGATTTTCATATAGCTAACGTTTACTTCATGTTTTTGTTTCTACTGTTGGGATGAAAAATAAACTTACTTGTTCTGTAATTATTATAGCTACAATTACTAGTGTTTCAATTATTAATGCTTCACTTGTTCTAATGCGTATTTTGCCTACCATAGCCTATATATCTTTTTCCTTGTTGTCTATATTGTAACATTTTATTGAACATATTTCAACAAGTAATGTTTCCAGACATCCTTATACTGCATGCTTTTCCTCTGTAAACAAATTATCAAATAATGAACTTTTGATACTATCAATGGAAAAAAACAAAATGCTTACTAAAAGTCTTGTGGTTATGTTATTGATATGAAAATCATCAGTGCTGTTAAAGTTATGAATTCTTCACTGGCTTTATATCATATTTTCGTCATTATTTTGTTCCCATGACATGTCTGTCAGTTGTATCTAACTTATATTGTAATGTACTATTGAACGTTATTCTTATTGATCCATATTGTATTATACAACGTTTTACAATTTATATATCACAATATGAAATATATATATATAAATATAAATATGTATATGTACATTTAAAACGTTTACAAATATATGGAAAAATGATAACTCAGTTCAAAACAACGCAGTTCGATTCATTTTTAACTAAAGTCAATTCAATTCAATAACATTAATTTCAATGCGGTTAATAATAAATAATAATATTAATAATAATTTATTCTTATTGAGCGCTACTACAGACAAACTGATCAGAGCGCTATACAACAGAAAAGAAACCTACAAATCATAACAATTATGCAGTCGTGCAGTATCGTGGTTCATTCACTTGATTCTCAGTCCAAGGGTTGAGGGTTCGAATCCCAGCCCAGCACTAACATCCTTTGGCAGGACATTAATCCATATCTGCCACTCTCCATCCAGGTGTAGGCCTAAATGGGTCTCTGGCAATTGCTGGGGTAATAATAATAATGATAACAACATTGATGCTCATGAAGCTTTTCTGGATAGACACAGATATTATTATAATTATCATCATTATTAATATTATTATTATCATTATTAATATTATTATTATAATTATCATCAGTATTAATATTATTATTATCATTATTAATATTATTATTATCATTATCATCATTATAAATATTATCATTATCATTACACAAATTATATACAGAACCATGCGAATCTTTTACTGTCTTCTGGCGATTGTCGTGACGTGTGTCTCGGCACAAACAGAGCCGAACTTCAAGGACGGGCGAAAGGTCATAGTTCACCTGTTCGAATGGAAGTGGACGGACATCGCCGATGAATGCGAACGGTAGGTTTATAGTTATACTAGAGCTAGTTCAGAGGGATAGTTATACTAGAGTTAGTTCAGAGGGATAGTTATGTCACCGGAATCGAGCTAGTTCATACTTCAAATTAACGGAGCTCTGAAATAACCCCCCCCCCCCCGTGATTGCAGGTGGGATGGCACTATTCGAACTTCCATGAATTGAGCGTGCACGCGTTCAGGTGTCACAACTATCTCTCTCTCTGTACGCTTTGGGCTCTACGCCACACGATCAGGCAATAATAAGATAGTTCGTAGATATCACCTTCGCACGGGCACATACATTCACTATGAACATGACGGACAAAGAAAGAGGACAAAATATACAGTGAATATGCGTGTGACACCTGTTCTTCGCATTTTGTTTACATAATAGCAGTGAAGGGATGTTCTTTTGTCTACCACAGCAATTGTTGAGGGTAGAATGACGAACTGTATATTTTGTCCTCTTTCATTGTCCGTCATGTTCATATAGTGTCATGAAAGTTGAAATAATTATTCATTTATTCACCGACGGTACATGCTCTGATACACAGGTAAGAGAAAACAAATGATTTTCATGAAGCACCTCAACTACTTTGGTAGTGATAGGCTATTCTGAAATGCACAAAGTGGGACGTGTCCAGGCATAACAGATATGTGGATAGTTAGGGGGGGGGGGGTGGAGGTAATTTATATCAAAGTTAACTACGAACTGGTCTATTGCTCCATGGCCTATACATTTTCTTCACCCATGGACCCAGCACTTTATCTATGCCTAAACCTAAGGCCCCCCAACAAAAATCATTTGGTTGTCCTCGACCGCCCGCTCATCATTTTCGGGCCGCTCGTATTTTTTTTTTAAATTCCATTTTTTTTTTTTTTTTTTTTTTTTGGGGGGGGGGGGGAGCAATCTTAAAGGCACACTGTCCTACTTGTAGCTACTTGCTCCCTCTATACAGAAAACTTTCCCAATCGGTGCCTGTTGGTCCCCCATGATCCTCTTTTTCTTATGTTAAATGAGAGCTGAGTTAATGAGATAGCCACCTGTCACAGTGATCTCGCTGGCTCGCTGTGTGGTCTAATCCCTTCTGGCTGAAGTAGTAAAGCCTGCCTTTAAATGCCAAACATACCATTTTATGCATTTGCAAGGATCAAAATACGTCTCGTTGCCATTTTGGTCTTTTCAGTACGCAATTCTGTATTTATAAAACTTGCCATTTTTATTTTTCTATGTCAAAATGCCGTTCATTCAAATCAGGTTCTGAGCATTCTTAAACTCATTTTAAAGCCCATCTGTACTAGTTTATAGGAGGGATTAGACCACCCTGCAAGGTCACTGGACAGGTCGTTAATTAATCAAATCAGCTCTCAGTTAAAATAAGATAAAGAGGATCATGGGGGACTAATGGTCACCGATTAGGCATTGTTTGCTATATAGAGGGGCAAGTATCTATAAGTAGTACAATGGAGATTTCAAAGCCAAAAATACTTTCTGTGTTGGTCTTGATATTTATTGTACATTAAACTAGTCTTTTACCATATTAAAGTGTTTTATAGACTTTGTTTCTTTAAATGCTTGACATCCCAATGATTTTTTTTTGAAAAAAAATAAATAAATAAATAAGACTCACACAAAATGAAGTTTAAAAAAAAAAAAATCCGCCCGACCGCGCCTACTCCATAAAAGCAATCGAGGACAACCAAATGATTTTTTTTTGTGTTGGCCTTATTGTTGTTATTATTAATATCGTTATTATCATAGATATCTTGGACCTTATGGGTTCGCTGGGGTACAGATCTCGCCCCCTGCGGAGCACAACGAGGTAACGAATCCATGGCGTCCTTGGTACGAGCGGTATCAGCCAATGAGCTACGAACTGACAAGCCGAAGCGGAGACGAAGCCGCCTTTAGGGACATGGTTGAACGATGTCGAAACGTCGACGTCCTCATCTACGTCGATGCCGTTATCAACCACATGGCAGCAAGTAAGTATTTTGTAAAACTTGGTTCTATGTGATCATACCAAAGAAAAAGATGAATCTCCGGTAAAAACTTACTGAACTACGTTATCATTTTAAACTTTAGATTTTCAAAACCTCGATGTTACAAACAACGATCAGCCATGCACAAAGAAGACGAAAGACTTGGTGCATGGCTCATGGCTGATCGTCAACGAAACGGATTTAAGTCTTTTGTCAACTCTGTTTGTTGCTACGGCAGGCAGCCAGTGAAATCAAATTATGGAAATGCAACCATTACTTAAACAAACAGAACTTTGTCATTCCTTGCTCATTTTTCCTGATTGAGGTGTCATATGAAAGGGCAAAAATTGAACTTTCTAGAAATGTTATTTTCTCTTTGAAATTCAGTTACCGCTCGCCAACTGTTTGGTATTCTCTCTTCAATTTGTTTTTAATCACTCATGCGTGAAATATGCCTCATATGAGTTGCATCAAATGAAAAAAATGGAGGGTCTAAGCTTTACAAATATGTGTCATTTAATAATTATAATAATTAAGTTATGATAAAACATCGATAATTCTCGGTTTCGTTTTTTCTGGGACGCACTGTATATAAACCATATACATCTAAGCTGCCAATGATATTTATACTTTGCATGTGTAATAGAGGAAAATCCTAACAAATCTTATAAGCGTTTAGAATTCAAATATGTCAAAGCATCAAGTTATTGCCTTTAAACTTCGTGAAGTTAGTATTAAATGCTTTAATGCTTTTAATAGTTGTAATCAAGACCATTTTAGCTATCAGTTTTCCCATTGGAGATTGGCAATATGAGAACATGGTAATTTAGAATATGCGTATCACTGGTAGTACCACGTTTCAGTGAACAAACTACATGTATTTCGATTTCGAAGGACTTTGACGGTAGCAAGAAAGGAATGAATGTGTTAATTGCAATATTGGAAAGCTGACACAATGTCATTCAAAATAGGCCTACCACATACATTAAAATGAACACAAAATTAACAGGGAAAGATTTTGAAGGTAGAACTCGAAACAAAGTGTATACGTTATTAATTTAATAATGACATTAATATTTTCAACTGTATTATACATATTTGGTTTTTCTCCCAGTGAGCTATGAGTACCCCGGTGTTCCCTACTATTCCGAGCACTTCAACGTCCCCCGTGGTAACTGCCCATCCAGTAGTGGCGAAATGGACTACGGCAACGCCATCAGCGTAAGAAACTGCAACCTGGTTGGGCTTAACGACATTCTCTTCGGATCCGAGGTAAACTGCTATACCAACCAGAAAGTCGTGGATTATTTGAACAAGATGATTGACATAGGGGTTGCCGGTTTCCGTGTCGATGCCGCCAAACATATGTGGCCGGGTGACCTGGAAGACATCGTGAGGGAGTAAGATATAATTCCAATTATGTATCACGAAGTATTACTCATTAAAATAGCGCCATTATTTGCAATAATCAATGCTATGGAGGCAATTTGCAATTAGCCATGGTCCCTAGTTTTTTTTAAAAACCTTTGCAAACATTCAAAACAACGCTGAGTAGGGCCATCCCTCCGTCTTCCCCCCTTGTTTTTTATAAGTGTGTCTTTATGATTGTAAATATATATTTGTTGATGTTTTTTAAATGACGGAAAATAAATACAATACAATACAACACAAACAGCGATGGGGAATTTTTATAGAGCTACGCACCATTGTTCACTCAGTTTCATTTTTCACAAATGTGTATATATTTCCCAAAAGAGTTGCCACGGTTCTTTACATTTGTCAAATTTCTTTCATTGTGTAAACGCACACATCACGCACGCACGCATACATACACCTACAAATAAACACACAAACCAAGCCTGCGGGAAGGGGTCATTATCTTCCTTTAACGTTACCTTCCTCTTTCTCTTTGATATGTTAGTCTGTATAATTATATAAATAACTGAAATCAGTAATACAAATAATGAAAAATAATAACTATTGTTAGTACTACTAAAACTTAGTTGAAACCTCATCCGCTTCAACAGTGTTCTGTTTGCGGCCCCTGTAATTATTATTACCCAATCAGTTGTTAGATACTCATATACACCTGGGTGGAGAGTGGCAAATCTGAATTAATGTCTTTGCCAATGATGTTATAGTGCCGGGCCGGGATTTGAACCCATTACCCATAAACTTCACGTTAAGTGAACAAACTCTACGGTAGGGAAGGGGATACATGATCTAATCTAGTTTCATTTATTAAAGTTATTTCAAAAAATCATGACGAAAGGAATGAAATGTAATTAATTTCCATTATCATATTAAACACAATAGTTTGTATTCTACTTTACTTTAAAGCCAACACATGCGACGCTGGGTGTAGCGTTTTTTTTTTTCTTCTCCATATTCAGGTTTAACAAAAGAAATTAATAATCAAAAGTGAACGTTTTCATTTTATTAAACGTTATTTTTATCCCCTGAGAGTGGTTTACGGCAACAGTCTAACCGAAAGCATGCATGTACATTTATTTCCTTTTGGGGTTTGCTATGACACATTCTCGTTTTATAACTTCCACAGACTTTGGAACACGAAAGACGGCAGCAGACCTTACGTGTACCAGGAGGTCATCGACCGCTCAGGAACCGAGGCCATAAAATCGTGGGATTACGTCCACATTGGTGACGTCACCGAATTCAAGTACTGTGATCAGATAGTAGGTCTTGGTCACGGCACCAACCAGGCCAAGTGGTTCGAGAACTTCGGTGAAGCGTGGGATATGATGAGCAGTGACCACGCCTTTGTGTTTGTCGATAACCATGACAACCAGCGCAGCCACGGAGGCGGCGGTGACATCTTGACATACAAGGATTCCTGGCCCTACAAGAAGGCTCTGGCCTTTGGTATGGCATGGGACTATGGCACCTTCCGCATCATGAGCAGCTTCTTCTTTGACGACACTGACTCCAGCCCACCCGCTTATTCCGATGGAACCATCATCTCACCGACCATCAACTCTGACGGTACCTGTGATGGGGGTTGGGTCTGCGAACATCGCTGGCGTCAGATAAGGAACATGGCGTGCTTCCGTAACGCTGCAGGCTGGGAACCCGTCGAGAACTGGCACGACAACGGAGACAACTTCATTGCCTTCTCGCGAGGTAACCGAGCCTTCTTTGCCCTTAACAACCAGGCGTACACCGTCAATGATAACCTCCATACCGGCCTACCTTCTGGTGACTATTGTGACGTCATTAGTGGTGACCCAACAGGTTCCGGCTGTACAGGAAAGACGATCACTGTGGACGACTATGGCTGGGCTACGATTAGTATCCCAAACGGCGAAGACCCGATGATTGCTATCCATATTGGAGCTAAAGCCGGCAGTGGTAGCTTCTGCAGGTGGTACTAATTGTAGGTTTTCTCCCCAAGTTATAGTTTTAACCCCTACTACTAGTATGGGTACTAGGTTTTACCCCTATATAGGTCTGACCCCTACCCTACTAGTAGTGGGTTTAGACCCCTCTCATGTACCAAATCAATTAAATTACGATATTGTGCCATGATGCATCATTATACTTAATTCTTGCAAGGGTACAAATTATAAATAGTTGAAGATCTTAATTTGATTTAGATATAGCCAACTAAACGAGATTACGATGCTCTTTAAGCTTACGAGATTATTTATGAGAAATACATTAATAAATTCTTATTCAAGATTCCTTATTGAATTACAGAATTAGATAGTAATACCATGCCTGGTTTGTTGGTAGGGATATTTCTCCTTTGCGAGAAGTGTGCTGTTTCCTCAGTTTCTTTTTCTTTTAATAATTATCAGGGGACGTTCTTTGAAATGTATATTTACCAATATAGAAATTTTCTCGACGTTAATGGTAGATGATTGTATCGGTATAGTGAAGCCGACATGATTGTTCCCTTTGAAGGCCATCGAGAATTTCAATGAGTTATCCTTGATATCATTTACTTTTATTTGGTCTTATTTTTAAAGTAAAATACTTCTCAAAATTGATACTCAATGAACTTTAGAATTTCGTTTTATTTCAGGGGCGTTATTGTTGTCAGAATCAGTAGCATGTTGGTGTTATTGTTATCAGAATCAGTAGCATGTTGGATGAAATAAAGCTAGCATAAATTACGACACCTTATCATCTTGTTAAACCCCCTTTTTGTGGTGTATTGTACATGTTAGATTATTCAAAGCTCAATATTGATTTGAGTAGAAAAATCGCTTTTACTTATCATTTCATTAACACACACAAGCGCAAACATGTATTTATATTTCTACGTTAAAATCAATTGTTCATTCTTTTCAATTTGCGAACTTATCACATGAGAATAAAAAAGGCAAACCTTAACTTAATTAATATATTACTTACATTAGCCCATGGACATGAATTCCTACAACATTTCGGCTGTGTAAAGCAATGAATTCTGCAAGAAGCTGCACACAGTCATGACCAGCAATTGCTTGAAGTATCTGAGGTTGGGTCGTTAATATCGCCACCTCACACAAGGGCAAGTGCGCCCTATCTCTGTTATAGTAGGATAGCTTGGATAGGTTTTTGTCTAAAAAATATTATCCTCGAACCACTATTGCTCCGCGGTGATTTATCTACAATAACCCAATGAATACTTTAAACCTAGACGAAACATTCTACCTAATCGTGACATTAAACAGGACCTAACACCAGGCACGTAGCCAGAGTTTGATGTTTTTTTTTTTGGGGGGGGGGGCACAAACATGTAATCGATCGAGGTAAAAAAAAAAAAGGGTCTAAAAAAGTTCAATCGATCTTGGAAATTTTTTGGGGGGCACGTGCCCCCCCCCCCCGTGGCTACGTACCTGCCTAACACTAACCATTTATCTCAGACGAATAGAGCAATTTACGCCGGAGTTAATGTCTCATCTCCCTAAAAGAAAGCCCCCCCCCCCCACAAAAAAAAAGGATCTGATAAACTTTGTAATAAATTATTAATACAGGAATTTCAAACTGACCTAATTGGTAATATCAGCAGGGATTGTAATCGCGGACAAATATTCGTTTCATTTTTATATAGCACGCAAAATGACTACAATTTCATTTTCTCTCAAAATGCATTATTTGGGATAATATATACCCTCTATTCGAAAATTAAATATGCTATCCAAAATTTACTTTGAGAACTGTCTCAGGAAAGGGCGCTTAGGAGCAAACTGTAAAGTTGAATTGTACTGTAGTATAAATTTGTAGGGTTGTCCGTGAATACGTCACGATCGATTTCTTACATTGCCAATTTGGAAGACCAACTGTTGTTTAAAGGACTACCCTGCTAATAAATTAATGAATGAATAAATGAATAATTTGATCAATATTATTGTAGATAGATAATAAATAAATAATCAAATGAATATATAAATAAAACATAATACAAACGACTTAGTAAAAAGGTCTGATCACCCTTTATTGCAAGACACGAAGCGTTAATGAGACTGAGTATCCGCGCGTCCGTGATGTGATACATATATCGGTAGATATGTCAATGAATATTGATAGACGGCTGATTAATGTACGGCTACTAAATATAGCCATTTGAATAACTTTAAAGGTATAGACCAGTTCTGATCATGCGATTGCATTGTGAAAGAAACGTTGTGGAATCGATCAGAAAAGATTGATCATCTAGCATATAAGTATTGGTGTGTACTGCAAGGTTCTGGAATCATCAAAATGATAAGAAATTTTGCCCAGGTAAAGTTATAAGCACGTACACAAAAAGATGTATATGGGACTACGCGATATCTATCCAGTCCGGATAGATATGATAATATACCAAATATATCAATTAGTAGGCGGTTTCTTAGCAAAATGTTTATCATCACGTACGTATTAGTCAAAACATATTCTTTCACATGATACCATTTCATATTTTGAGAGGGGGTGTTTCCAAAACTGGTCTATACCTTTAAAAGCAAACAAGAATAATAATATTCAACGAAAAGCCATAACTCTATCAGATGAGCTGAACTGATATGGAACCGATCCCGAGTGCAGTTTCTCAGTTGCGAAATACTCGCATCGATAATAATTTGTATTTTTGCTTCAGTGCTCATTGGATTTTCCCCATGCACGGTCTAACCTCCAACATTAGATTAATTAACTTCTCGCCCTGTTGGTCTCACTTGGTAAGCCAGTGGCTTCCCGCTTCGCACGTTCGCCCGCCCCACCTCATTAATCACTTAAACAATTCTAACGCGATTACGAAGAAGAAAATCCAATGTTTGCTCAATGGAAATGCTAATGAATGAAAGACTACAAAGCCGTTTTAATTGTATCAATTTTTATTAAAAATATTGGCGGAATATGCGTGAATTGATAGGTCATATAGCTGGCAGTGGTTATGGTGTTATGTTGAATTTCAGAATTTAGCAATTACACAGTGGTCTTGATGAAAGGAAGAATACACGGTGTTTATGCTCGACGGATGTTGAAATGAAGAAAAGACTTCGTCGTACGATCTTTCCGCACTCAACAAGGGTTTTTGTCATTTCATTCTGAGATAAAACAATTCAAATTCTTTAATTTTCAGGCCCAGATCTGTTGATAGATAGTACCTCCGATTAACGTCAGCCTAGTCATTAAAGATGAAGTTTAGTTCTGGGGGGGGGGGGGGGGGGGGTCACAAAGATCCTAAGTTGAAATTATCTTTAAGTTGGACTTAAAAATCATGGAAAGCCGTAATCATCTTTGAAAATATTTTGTAAAAGATATTTTAAAAGGCATAAAATGTTGATTAAATTCATTCAGATTTTCTATTATCAAGGAGATTTCATGCTCTTGATGTGGCATTTATAAAAAGTCTAAAATACTTGAATTTTCGCTTTTTAATATATTTTATTTTAAGACTACAAAATGGCTCTCCATAATGTTTAAGTCTAGCTTAGAGTTAAGTTTGACTTGTAAAACACCCCTGGTCTTGCGATTGCATTCTGAAAGGAACTGTCTGGAAGTGATTGGAAAAGCTTGACTAACAGATAAGAACTGCTGTATATATTTCGAAGTGTTTAAATCATAAAATGATAAAGATATATGTACATGACTTATAATGGGACTAAAAAAACATGTGGCATGAAAGTTGGTTCGAACACTTCAGATATTCATGGTCATATTTGAAAATGAGGGCACCCGACGAGCAACCTTCAGTGGTCATTTCAGTTATGACTTTCTTGCAAACTGACCTGAAAAATTAGAAAAACTGAAAAATCACGTTTTCCCTTTACCAGAACTCCACCTTTAAAAATGGCGTTGGTGACGAGAACAATGTTCCATGTACAAACAATGTACTGCGGGGTAAATATTTGATGACCCATAAGCAAGCTGAACATCTTGTAATTTGTGAAAGGGCATCCATCATCAACGTACCCAGTAGGTATGGCAATGTTCTATGATGAGCTTGCTTACCACATAAATCACTATTATAGCAAATAGCAATTACATTGTTGCAATTAAATATACTTTTAAAATATGTAAAAATATACGAAATCTAATAATAATAATATTTAGCTGTTATATAGCGCTTAATACAAATGTTTCTAAGCGCTTTACAAATATACTATTACCCCGGTCATTGGATTCAGTGATTGCCCACGCACACTGTGTGCACAATCTCCACTCCCTGGGGAGCATTCTAGCCGGGCGTTATTTGACGCTCAAAAACTCTATGATCTGTATGATCAGTATATTGCACTCTTTTACATAGGCGTACGCAACACAAGCTTATTTATTCTTCATGAGACTTACGCCTTCTTCCTTGTTTTACAACGTTCTTAGTTATTTATTTATCTTTTTATTATCTTTGTTTCATTATCTTTACATTACTTGATTATTTTGTTTATATGTAGGAATGTAAGAAAATAAATTTTATTTTGAAACGAAGTGAAGATTTATAAGGCTGCATATGACCAAATGGATTTTTTTAAATTTCATAAATGACAATAAAGCAATAACGGCGATGTTTTAAAGCTCTCCTTTGACATGCATCTCTCTACACACAAGGCTTGATCTCTACAATTTCAAGGAAAGAGAAATAACTTTCATCATCTCACATAGGCTATAAAATGGAAAGGTAGAGTTTGTCAAATCATTATGACAAGCCATATTTTACCGCAAACAAAATTCCCATACATCATGACATCGCAATCGATCGCAATTTCACCGTTGTCATGCAGTAACGCGTCTGACCATGAACATGACCCACAATACACCATCCGACCATTGTATCCACACAATATTTCATTTCCTCGCGCAGACAACAAAAGACACTCGTTTCCAGCGCTTTGAAAAGAGCAGAGAGGGAGAGAGGGGAAGACAGATATATAGATAGATAGATAGATCGAAGATACATAGATATATAGCAGATAGATAGATAGATAGGAATAGCTAGATAGGTAAATAGATGGATATATAATGTAGATAGGAAGATAAGTAGGTAGATAGATGGTAAGATTGATTGATAGATAGATTAAAAAACTCCGACTTCGTACTTTTTAGCTTTCATTAAAAGAATGTGCAGGTACAACGTATATTTAATCTAACATCATTGATAAACTAATTACATTTCTTTCGAATTCATCGCTCTCTCTCTCTCTTTGAAAAAAATAGTCATCTAATTTTAGTATAAAATCATTGATATGCATGAATCTAATAAAGATTAACAAATGTAGAATTTGAAAAAGATGATGATTAAAAAAAGTTCTTTCCTTCCCTGGATTCGTATAACAATACACCTATTCCAATCGCGATTGCATTATACATGTACGTTTATTACAGGCATTCAGATCAGATAACGACCGGGTTCTGCTGTGTGGCGTTCGGTTGCTAAGGACCCTGTATCATTTCAATGTGAAATACGAGGATGGGGAAAATAATTGATATATATATTGCGCGTGCAATTGATATATATACCGGTGCGGTGCTCGTACTTGGCTTCTTATAAAGGGCACGGCACGTATCGTTTCGATATGGTTTACCACCTCCCTAAGTCTAAAAGGAATACGTTTTCGCTTCTGGTGTGAGACATGACATACCATCTCATGCACGTGTTTTAACTGATAGCTCACTGATACGGTACCGGTGTTCGTGAAGTGTATCATCTCTTATGATTATCATTTTTTGTTATTGGAATGGAATCATCGTGCTTGTTTTGAAGACTGAGTTCATGATATTTAAAGATTGATGGAGTTGGAAAAGACGGACGTTCAGATTACCCTTCCATCATGATTTCCATCGTCCAAACGTAAGTACATAGTCATATATATATATATATATATTTCAATATTATACCCTTCACCTATATCTTGCCGTTTATGCATGCCATACACTCCATTGCTACTATGTTGCAGTCCTCTTCTTTTCTCTTTCTCCAAGCTCTCTATCCTTCTCTCCTCTTTGCCTATCCCTTTCTTCCTTTCTTTCTTTCTTCTATTTATAATGTATATTATGTATTTGTGTATTCGGGCATACCCATTATAAGCTCTGCTTAGCGGGTTTCGCGCCTTCTTCCTTGTAATACAAGTTCTTTAATTATATTTATGTTCCTACGTATCAATTTTATATTGTTTGAACAGATGTCAAATATGTTGTCAAATTGAATGGAAGAAAATAAATGTTCATTTGAATATACCAACCAAGTCATACGAAATCAATTTATTGAAATGTGATCGAACCAATCATCATAAATATAAAGTATATGTGAAAGCAACCTTAATGTTAGGGTGTGAGGTAAAAATTAAACAATGAAATGAAAAGACAAGTAAATAATGCCTGAGTTTCACTGACAAGACCTACACCAGATCAACCCCCAACATAACATGACGCTCTGGAGAAAAAAAATGAGTTTGGAGTCAGTCTGGTGTCAGTTTGGCGTTGTGACTAAGGTATACGAATAAAAACAGGTTACAGATGAATTGTCGATACGAAATATCAAATCAAAATGAGGCATGATGGCTCAATGATAGAGCAGTGGTCTCGTAACCTTCCGAAACCAGATCAATGCGCTAGTAAGGCACTCCTCATTACCACGTCCCTCGGAGAGGACTTAAAGCCGCTGGTCTTCTGGTTGCTTACTTACAAACAAATACATGCTTTCTTGGCAGTCAGGTAAAACAAACAAACAAATAAACAAAATAAAATAAAACAACAAAAGAACAGGAAACTTGAGCAGTATTATCAATAACAAGAATTTACATGTTAAAGCCTCCTGTTAAACTCTTCGTACGTTTACCAATAATGTATGAAGGTCTTCCACTTCCAACGACTATACGAATTGATGATTTTGAATGACACAGAGTTAATTGAAAGAGCTTGATGTAGATTGTCCTGTTTGAATTCCAATCGTGTATGATAAAGGCTGAATTTTGTGGTTATCATAATTTCGTTTCCACGATATAGTATACGGAAATAACAAATACATCAATGTCATATTTCAAAAGCAAATGCAATTGAAGAGATTTTAAACAAATTGCAGTGACTGATTTTTCAACATGTTTGTCAAATGAATTAAATAAGAGCCTGTTGGAGAAGACACATAATCGTGTTCGCCAATTACAAGTACGAAAAAAAAAAATCAAAATATTTATAATACGAGCTCCCCTTTTTGCTCCGTTCGCTCTTATTAATAATTCATAGAAAGTAGAGCCTGTCTTTAATGATCATTCTTGTTGGAACAAAATATCAGTAATCCTCCCCATAGCCTTATAGCGTGAAATTAAAGATGTTTTGTGTACGATACTGAACAAAACATAACTACACTGTCCAGGGGCGTACGCAGGGGGGTGTTTTTTGGGGGTTCAAACCCCCCCTTTGGTATTTTAATGTATGTAAACCCCCCTAAAAAAAACCTAAAACCCCCCCCCCCTTTGGCTTTGTTTTTTTGTTTTTTTGTTTTTTTTATTAAAAAAAAAAAAAAAAAAAAATTATACCCACGGCTAACCTAAATAAGGTGACCTTACCCCCCCCCCCCATACGTAAAAAAATGTCAAATTTTGAAATTTTGAGACCAAAAAAAAAAAAAAAGTGTCCGCTTACCCCCCCCCCCCCCCCCCCCCCCCCCCCCCCCCCCCCCCCCCCCCCCCCACTGAGCGACTTTTCGGCCGGCGCGATTTTCAAATTTTCGGGAGCAAAATATTTTAAAACCCCCCCCTTGAAAAAATCCTGCGTACGCCCCTGACACTGTCACACTCAAACCCATGTATTAGTGCATATACATGAATCTTCTCAAATTGAAGTCAGCAGGGCGGTATTCCACGTGTCGCTAAATTGTACGACAGGACATGCTAAAGCGTGCTCCTAAAGTTCTCAACAAGCTAATTAGTGTTCAGATTATGAGTGAATGTAGGCAAACAATATATATTTGTTTCAATATATCTTTGTCCAAATTATTTAAGCCAAACAAAAAGAGGAAAAGATATATAATTTACAAGTACACTTCATATCTAAGCCTGGTAGCTCTAACAAGAACAGAAATTCTTTTTCGTGCACTATAGGAATTTTTTGCATTTTTTTGCATTTTTTGCTAAAACAGTCGCCGTTATTTACATTGAAAACAGCGTAAATTCACATAAAACATAGTATAGCATCCCTGTTTCAATAGTCTACTCTCTATATTTGGCTAAATAAAGGTCGGACCAATTGCCGCCGATCAAATATCGGAAAACCTCTCTTTGACATCAATATTGATGTTTTAATTATGTCCATGTTTTAAACAGTGCGGCCTTTTCCATCCCGTAGGGAACAATACTATTGTGGCCGTTTTGTTGAAATTATTTTCTCGCTGGGAAATGTCATAAACACCAAGTCATGTTGTAGTCGTGTAATATTAATGCATTTACACATGACATAATGATTATGTAAAACGATATATACTGTCGCTTATATGGTTGGAATATTTTTGTTTTACCCCAATTTATGGAATTATTTTAAAAATAATTTAGATCTAGATAAAAGTATACATTCTCAGATTTTATTGAATAATAATTTGCAAATGTGTGTTTTGCGTGACTACTAAAGCATGTGTATGCTTTAGGGCGTAGGTCCCCTATTTGATAAGCATAGAAGCATACACATGCTTTAGCAGTCACGCAAAACACACATTTGCAAATTATTATTCAATAAAATCTGAGAATGTATACTTTTATCCCAGCAATTGTCAGGTACCTATTTACACCTGGGTAGAGAGTGTCAAATGTGGATTCATGTCTTGTCAGAAGACGTGAGTGCCGGGCTGGGATTCGAACCCTTAACCCTTGTGTGGAGAGTCAAGTGAATGAACTACTGTACCACGACACCTCCACGACATTGAGGGACAGACAGAGAGTGGAGGAGTGAGGGAGAAAGCAATGTCGAAATTCAAAGGGAGAGAAATAGAGAAGGGAGAGAGAGAGAAAGAGAGAGAGAGAGAGAGAGAGAGATGGAGAGAAGTAGTAGTAGTAGTAGTAGCTTTTATTTATTAAAAAAGGGGGAAAATAACGAGTTTAGTGCAAGGTCAGAGAGGGAAAAGGGAAGAAATAGGATAGACAAGGAAGAAGGAGAAGGAGAAAAAGTGAAAGAACAGGAAGGAGGAGGGGGAGAGAAGATAAAGGGGAGAGAGAGAGAGAGAGAGAGGGAGAGAGAGAGGGTGGGTGCAGCATCATATTAGTTCAAGCAAGTACATTTTCAACAAAAGGGTATAGTACCCAGTTGTAACAATAAAGGACTCTCAGGCTTATCACGAGAAGCCTGTTCCCTTTGTATACAAGGGAATAACGAAGGGATGGGAAAATGTTCAATCTGGCCTTGAGTTTGTCTTTTTCATGCCATTTTGCTTCTTCTTCTTTTTTCCTTGGGTTTTAAAACATAAAATTATAAATTAGTTCCGATTCTGGGCAAAAACTCATTTGCCATATATAGATATACATATTCAAATTTGCTTTTGAATCTTTTAAAATATTTAAAATCATATCAACATGTTACTATACTATGTTTTTTCCTATACAGTTTGACCACCAGATGAATTCTTTAAATGTTAAGAAGCTTTGTATTGGTTAAGGAACTACCTCGCTAATCCTTTTTCAATATTGCCCATACGCAATCTAGTATATCCTGTATGTAAATCGACAATTATTATAATTTAGTTCTCATATAATTTGTTTGTATAATGATGGTTTGTGAGATATATTGTACATGGACAGAAAATAATTTTATAAATATAGCGACAAATAAAATAGTTTTGTATAATTTTATTTTCACTTGTCTCTGTCTTTAAAAACAAACAAATGTATTTATTGAAAGTTGGGATGTGTAATCATTGAAAAAGATTAATAAAACAAAATAACCACCATATCAGAGTAAAAACATAAAGATAATTATAGCGTTTGATAGGAAGGACAGGGTATTTTTTATTTTACCCTAAAATTATACGGCATAAAGTGATAAGAAAAGGAAAGTAATTGCCTAAGACTCGTTCAGAATCGTTCAGATACGACGCAGAAAGACCACGGCCGATTTAAAAAAAAGATATCGACATATAAGCCGCATTTCGAAATATCATTAATTCTAGTACCCATATTCATATTATACAGCATAACATATAACTGTTTTCGAACCTATGATTTTTTCCATTTGTATTACCTGCCATAAATGATGTCCCTGTCATGTTTTATCATGTATGTTTCCAAGGGTGTCGATTTGTATCCGTGGTTGGGGGGATGATAGATGCCAAAATATTTTCGCCAATGGATCAAAGCAACCAAGAGGTAGAAGCGTGTGACGTTTCATAAGATTATTAAAGAAAGAAAACGATTCGTTGTACCATTCTCGACTCAGTTCCCCTTCCTCCGCGCGTAGCGCGGAAGCTCTTACGTTTCATTAGATTATTAAAGAAAGAAGACGATTCGATGTACCATTCTCGACTCTTAATCCTTTTATGGATTTAGTTCCCCCCAACGCGAAGCGCGGAAGCTTTGACGTTTCATTAAATTATTAGAGAAAAAAGACGATTCGTTGGACTGTTCTCGACTCTTAATTCTTGTCTGAATTTAGTTTTCCCCCCCCTAACGCGAAGCGCAGAAGCTATGACTTTTCATTAAATTATTAGAGAAAGAAGACGATTCGATGTACCATTCTCGACTCTTAATCCTTGTCTGAATTTAGTTCCCCTTCCTCCGCGCGTAGCGCGGAAGCTTTGACGTTCATTAGATTATTTAAGAAAGAAGACGATTCGATGTACCATTCTCGACTCTTAATCCTTGTCTGAATTCAGTCCCCCCCCCCTTCCGCGCGAAGAGGAAGCTTTGACGTTTCTTTAAATTATTAGAGAAAGAAAACGATTCTTTGAACCGTTCTCGACTCTAAATCCTTGTCTGAATTCAGTTTCCCCGCTCCCCCGCTTTCTCCTTGTCTCCGATCTCATCAAGAATTCGTCGCAAAGTTCATCTATGTTTACACTGTCCAGGATTGTCTGATGTGCATTGCAGATTGCTACTTTTGCGCTTCGCGTTTAACATTTAGCTCGTTGCTTTTTAATGCTGCGTCTTTGCATTTGGCGCACTGCATTTCTATGATCTTGTTGATTGAACAAATTTAATAAATTCATAAATTCCTGATGAAGCCGTATGAGCGAGAATTAAATTTATTCTTGTCTCATATACGACTGTCTCATTTACTTCGTATATAATGTATGTATTGTGAAAATGAGATAGGAAAATGTGTATATTGATGGTCATCTTGCGAGTAATCTCATCGGGCTCTCATCATTACCTTTTCTCTTGATTATTATTTTTTTTTAATGGTGAATTATTGGCGGGAGGGGGATGATTGTACAGGCCATCCCCCCACCTAAAATATTGGGGGGGGGGGATATATCCCCCATCCCCCCGGGATCGACACCCATGTATGTTTCTTTTTTTAGTTTTGTTTGTATATGTAATCCTCTTAACTACTGTTCGGGGAACTATGCCTCCACAAGGCCATTGGCCTTATTTTTTAGTTCCCTATTTTCATTTTCTTATATATTGCAAATGCCTATAATTGTATATACCTTTGTATTGTTTTTTTTATTGAAAATGGAAAAATAAAATGAATTGAATTGAATTGAATTTACACTGCGACTACACATTGTCGGTTTTCCTCTCATTCAGGTGTATGCTCACTGTGTATGCGCACTTCTCACTAAAAAAACCCTCGCTATGAGCAAACTTTGACGGATTTATCAAGGGTTTATCCAGTAGAGAAAATGGTTGTCCCCAAAACTTACGATTTTTCAAAACGGTCTTTTGGATGTGTAAACGGGCCTTTAGTGTAATACTCTTCCCATTTTGCATCTTATTACACATAGCTTATTAAACATGCAAGTTCATCGTTCGGAGCAGTTGTCATTAAAATATATACACCCTGCTGCGTTTGCCGGCATTTTACCGCCCAATAACTAAGCCATATCTGAACAAGTTATTCAGGATGAATAATGTTTTTTTTTGTCTTTGCATACTTCTTATATCTCCAGTACAGTTTACGAGTTGCCACTTGTCATGGAATCTGCAGCAAGACTTCAACACTAGGACGGAATGGCCATAGATGACGAACTGCGACCTACCTCATCACATATCATGGCTGATAAACCTCTTAACGCGAAGGAACGCGACCTCGTGCGCGCCGTCGGGAACGAAGACGTCGATGCCGTTCGTAAACTCATCGAAGAAGATGGCGTCAATGTCAACATCCAGGACTCCTTGCAACGGACGCCGATCATCCGGACGTGTTTCGGAAGCGACAAGTCGAGCCGAGAGGCGATCGGCAAGCTCCTCCTCGAAAACGGTGCCGATGTTAATTTGGCGGACCGTCACGGTAGGACGGCGTTGATGACGGCCTGCATGGAAGATGAGAAAGAAGACATGGTTGAGCTTGTTCTCTCGGCTAAGAAGGTTGATGCTAACCGTATGGATGAAAACGGCAACACCGCCCTTATGCATGCCGTCATGATCGAAAACGTCGAAGCTGTTCGGGTGTTCTTCACTCCGGAAAACAAGCAGAAGGTGAACACTGATATGAAGAACTTTGAGGAGAAGACTCCACTCTTGGTGGCTGCGAAGCAGCAGAGTACCGAAATTTGTGAGATACTTGTTCGAGAGGGTAATGCCCGTCACGACACTATACCAAGCTTCTTCAAGAAACATCTACCAGAAGAGTGCCAGGACGAAGACGCGAAGAAGCCTGAAGATAAGTGGGGTGAAATGTTCAAGGGTTACCGCGACAATTCATTGGAACCAAACATCATGCAGAGATCTTCAATGAAATGGAAGGGAAAACCAAAAAAGAAGCCAAAGGGTCCGAAAAAGAAAGATGAAAAGCCAGTTAAAGAAGAGGCAGAGGAACAACCTGCTGAAGAGAAAACTGATCAGTCACCCCGTGAGGATGACAAAGCTGAGAGTAAAGATCAAACAGAAAGCAAAAAAGAATCCCCTCAGAAACCTGATCCCCCAGACGAGCAGCCGAAAAAGGAAAGTCCCGCGGACAATCAGCTCTTCTTGAAGATGGATCCTGAGCGAAAGGAACGTAGTAATTCAAGGCGAGGGTCTGGCGGGGAGGAGATTGCAGAGGAAGCAAAGAAAGAACAAAAAGCCATTGCATCAACCGTGGCAGTCAGAACAGCGACATCGGCTAAAACTGCACGTCGAACAGCCAAGGAGTCACCTTCTCCAGAGCGGAGAAAGAATGAAGTTGAGTCATCGACAAAGACAGAGTCCTCTTCTAAAGTTGAGGAAAAGTCAGTCAAGAAGGTAAGGAAGAAGTCAGATGAGAAAAATACTGATGTAGAGGTAGTAGCAACAACTGAAATTATTAACTCCCAAGCCGAGACTAAGGAACAAAAGAAAGACATTACTACCGTGATCAAAGCGCAGAAAAAATTCAAAAAGAAGAAAGAAGAGAAGAAAAATGATGCAGAGGAAACAATAACAACAAAATCAGAAGAAAAGAAAGCTGATGTACAGGTAATGTCAACAACTGAAAATATTGTCTCCCAAACTGAACAAAAGAAAGATATAGCCACTGTAATCAAAGCAGAGAAAAAGTTTAAGAAAGGCAAAAAGGTGAAAGACGCCTCTGAGTCTCAGCGGTCCACTGAAGTGCACAAAACTGACTCTAAAACTGTCACCTCGACTGTTAAAGAAGAAGAGAAAGAAAAACTATCTTCAACGAAAGTTGTTGAGAAGACTGAAAGATACGAACGCCGAGAAATAATAGAGCCAACATTACTTGCATCTACAGTCACTGAGGTTCATCAAGGTCAGCATGTAGTGACAAACCAGAACGACCTTAAAACCGAAGAACGCAAGATTATCACAGAACAAAGAAAGGAAATTGTACCGGAATCTAGAAGTGTAACTGAGGAGGTCATTATCGAGAGTTCACCAAGACATAAAGACTCACCGCGCAAGATCGTATCCCCGGAACGAATAGCGGAATCGCGCCAGTCTCAGAAAAAACAGGCCACGACCAAATCTTCGGTTTCCCTACAGAGTAATAAGTCTTCGACGAAAAGGAAGACGAGTCCTACGTCGTCCGTGGCGAACGTATCACGGCCGGCTACGGTGAAGAGCACGGGATCGACGCAGTCCTTCTCGAGCAGCGCAACCAGCGAAGGTGACAACGTATCCATAGCAACCACGGAATCGTCCGTCAGGAGAGGGGTGTGGATCCGCCCCCCTCCAGACATGATCAAACTCCAAGAGGAGGCCGATGAAGCCTCTAAGAGATCTGGCAAGAAAAAGAAAAAGAAAGTCAAGGTGAAGAAGGAAGACCGACCAGTTTATGAGACCAAATCGGGTCGGATCATCCGTCCAAACATCTGCACGGATCCACAGTATACGAATATCCAAGCGGCAAGGTTAAAGATCGTCGAGGAGGAGCCTAAATTGGAAAAAGAAGCCGATGGGGGCAAGCTCGCGGGTCCATCTTTCGAACAGGTACCCAGGCAATCCAAACGTAAGGCTAAATCGAATTCAGGAACGCCAAACAAGAGTTAATTATCAAAGAGGCGCACTGATATGCATGTTAAAAGTTGTAAGATATCTCTTAACAATCAACTAAGGGAAAAGACTACAGTGCCTCCAGTCGTTTAATTTTCTTAAAGCTCCTGAATGATTGATTTCCAATCTTTCAATCACATTTATTTAATTCATGAATTTTATTAAATACATTATAAAGTTTACTTTTTACACAGAGAGTTTTAAATTAATGATATTGGAGTATACTAATACCTTGTACATCACATTTATATCTATATTATTTGCATATTTTGATAGAAGGGAGCACAATTCACAAGAACTTAATATATTCGATCACCTCCCCCCTCCCACACACACACACACACACACACACACACACGTGAATACCTTACTTATCGTGCTTTAGCATGACAGATATTAGTGAAAACATTAATCAAATCAATACAAAATCAGTCGTGTGACGGATGACAAAGAAGCATACAAAGTTATACAGCTCTTGGAGTTTTGATGAAATGCCTATTCGTGCATAGCGAGATATCGTTTCTTCCTCAAGCATTGTTCAGCTTGAAATTTAGACATGCTGATCCAATATATTGTAATTGACAAGGAAACAATGCCTGATAGGCCTTTATCTGCAGTGCAGTTAATATCATCATGTTACGTACTTGGCATCTACAGGTACGCAATCCAATTTCAGATTAATTTCATCAGCATTAATGTCATCGTGTTAATTTCATGCATGACATAGGCATGTGTAGATCAATTTCATCACATTCATATAATGCAAAGCATCCTTCGTGTACTAATCAAGTTACGCATGTGGTGTAGCCCAGTAGTATGGGGGTAATTAATCATGAACAAAATGCAGAAAATTCTGCATCGTAAACAGGGAAACGCGTTGGTAATTTTGTCATATTGATATCATGAAAAGCATAATGCAAATAACTCTTCAGGTACATACGTAACGCATGGGCTGGTACGGGGGCACGTTAGAATTGAATTGATTTGACAACGTCTATTGATTAAAATTCAAAGTAATAGCTAAAACCTTAACAAATCTTGAATTTACAGATAAAATTGTAATATATAAAATACATGCAAAATGTACAATGTAAAATAGGCAAATATGAACTAAAGATACATCAGTCATAAAATTGATATGATAAAAGGAATAAAAAGAAGAAGAAGAGAAATAGAAAAATAAGAAGGATAAATCAAAGGGAAAAAATGAGAAAAATGAAAGAAAGAAAGAAAGAAGAAAAAATTATGGTTAATGATAAAATAAAAGTTTACAATTGATATGTTTATAAAACCAGTCGTAAAATCCAGTATTTAAATATACAAGTAAATAATGAAACTGTTTCACTTCCCCCTCAATTGAACGACACCATATAACGACTGGTAATACGTAATGGCATGACCGCGGACAAAATACCTATCACTGACATGAGCGCTATACAAGAACCCACTATTATTATTATTATTATTATTACTATCAGAGAACCCGTTAAAAAAATTACCATATTAATGTAATGAAAAATACCATGCACTCTGTGACCAATTAAGGGACAGTACTGGGTTAGGGCGACCCCCCTCAATTTAATGACAATATACTATAACACTGAATATGCTTACAGAGGACTGTGACCACAATAAAATGACGCCCCCCTTCCCCCCAACAAAAACAAAAAATGCTGTATCGCTTTCGGGAGAACCTTCATAGACGGCAAAAAAACAACAACAAAACACTAATTACAATACAATGCTAATATCACTCGATAAAGAAGGGTTTCGGGTGATGAATCCCCCTATATTTATTACGATGATAACACCATGGACATACTCCATGATAACAACCTCCTACCAATGAAAGTGTCTAGACAACGCCCCCGGATTAGATATAATTAAATCGTACCGTGACCGTGTTGTATGCGCATATGATTGGATTAAATAATTCCACATCATAAATCAACAATACGCGGGAATTACATATAAACCCATGTGCTCTTGAACAATCGACCAGGTGTTGCCATGGCAACCGTATGCATTCCACCATGCTGTTCAGGCTTCCTATTGTCATGCCTCTGCAGGTTGCTCGTGTATTAATTAAATGGACGATTGGTGACATGTGAACTCACAATGGCTACATTCAAAATTATTCAATGGAAAACAGTGTAGCGATGTTGAATTTTAATCATATTGCTCATTTCTAACCATCATTAGATGCAAGACAAATTAGAATATAAATAATTTATTACATACTGTAGTGAAATGTATGAAATGTAACCTATTATGTATTACATATGTATTTCATTTTGGTTTGTGACTCGGATGTGTGTGGCTTTTAGTCAAATTGTATTAGATCAAAAGAATGACGTCTTCGAGAATACAAAGATCAGGACAAAAAAGGGTTGAGGGTTGATAATCTGTGCCTGTATAGTCATGATGATTCCGGAATTATTTTGAACAAAAGGTTAATAACGAAATATTGAAATTGAATCAAATGTTTGTTTCTGTGCATAGCTGGCTATGCTGCCTTGCCTACTATTGTTCAGCATGACTAGATTACTAAAATTAAGTGGACATCTACACATCGTTTTGTTTACCATTGTTTGTTCTTTTATCACTTCGGCAATATGTGATAGGGTCTTTGCAATGTTTCGCCAGATCGCACGTAATGCAATATGCGTCACTATTTACTTTCCAATTAGAAATCGTTGTGCGATAAAGGACCGCATAACCAGTGCCATTTCGTTACTAAGGCAACAATATTCATGTAATAGATAGTTGTTGTAAACATTGTACTCGAGATGTCATAATGATGGTTGCAATATTAATAACGGGGATCATCACTATCCTACCTTCTCCTCAGTCTGATCAAGATATCTATATAAACACTATTTTTGTATTGCGTTAAATTTCCTTTTTTCTATAACAGGGATAATAGGGACTTTTAGATTTGCGTGGCCTGATACGTGTGACGTCCATTCAAGGCAGTGCATTAAAGGGACGTCGACAGTAGCAATCCACAGTGTCTTCGTGCAAATCTAAAAGTCCCTAATACCGTCTGCAGAGAGCTAGAAGGGCGTTAACTCACAATATGCCTTTTTTAGAGCTTAAAGGTCATACAAGCATTATGTGTCTTTCTGCAATGTAAAACGTCTTCTCCAAGATTCATTCGTGTTCCGTCCAGTAAGAGATCTAGATTACCATACTAAATGTGAAGTTATCAATATGCGCAATATGCAACCAAATGTAAACATAAGTTGATGAATAGAAATCATCTTTATTGTATCACTACATTTTGAAGTTATAAAGAAATCATGAAATAAGTCTTAGGCCTCAACAAAAAAGATGTTGTATTGCCCTTTAGGTGCCGAAACATGGGTCGGTCGGTCGGAAATCTTTTCTCTTTTTTTCCCCTTTTTTTTTAATGCTTCAATACATTTTTTTCAAAAAAACGGTAGAATTTTTTAGTTTATTTTTTTAAATAATTTTTTTAAAGCCGACCGTAGATTTCAAGATTTTGGGCCTTATATGGATAGAAAAGAAGAATTGATAGTTGACGATCTTTCCCCTTCATGTTCTTGTTTATCTGTTGATTTTCCTTCTTCTTCTTCTTCCTTTTTTTTTCTTCTTCTTCTTCTTCTTCTTCTTCTTCTTCTTCTCTTCTTGTTCTTCCTCTTCTCCTTCTTCCTCCTCCTTTTATTTTCTTTTTCTTTGTGTTCCTCTTCTTCCTCCTCCTTCTCCTCCCCTTCTTCTTCTTCTTTTTTTCTTTCTTCTTCTTCTTCTTCTTCTCCCTCTTCCTTTCTTTTTCTTTTTTCTTTTTCTTTTTCTTTTTCTTCTTCTACTTCTTTCTCCTCCTCTTCCTTCTCCACATCCTCTTGTTCTTATTCTTCTTTTTCTTCTTCTTCTTCTTGTTCATGTTGTTCTTCTTCTCTTCTTCTTTCTTTCTTTCTTCTTCTTGTATCCTTGTATGAATATGGTCTAAATTCGATATTTTCATTAAGTATCCGATCAATATGTTGTATAATTTATCTGAAATATTGTATGTATCTATCTATACAGTTGAAATAAAAATCATTGAGATGCAAGTACGGCTTTAATAATGATAATAATAATAATAATAATAATAATAATAATAATAATAATAATAATAATAATAATACCACTACTATAATATACTACTGCTACTACTACTACCACTACTACTACTACTACTACTACTACTACTGCTACTACTACTACTGCTACTATTACCACCACTACTACTACTACTACTACTACTACTACTACTACTACTACTACTACTACTACCACTACTACTACTACTACTACTACTGCTACTATTACCACCACTACTACTACTACTACTACTACTACTACGACTAATAATAATAATATGAGATTTGTAAGGCGCTAAATCCGCTTGACATCAATTGTTAAAAAAACACTAACAAAAACACAAAAACAATCAACTAAAAGCATCTGCATTATTAAGATTGTATTACCTTTTACATTGACAGTCTATGACATATTTTATTTGGAGGCATCAAATAATTTTACAATCACTACAATTATTAAGCAATTATGAGGCAATATAGATGCATTATATCATTAACAAAAAGTAATCACACTGAGCTATTTTCATTTTTAAGATGGTATTTCTATGCGAATATATGTGTAGTCCATAATAATATTATGACATTTGTTTGCGTCATCATGTATAAGTGCACTTAGTATTTTGAATATCAAATCGTAAATTCATGTTCTAGGAATACTTATTAATATCCATGCAAGATTAACTATTACTGATTGGAGCTTTCGGGTTTTAGTCTCTTAGAAGGTGTGCCATTAATTCGAGACGCACTGTGAAAAGGTTGGGCAATATTTTCCAACACTTTGCCAATAGTCAACCCAACCATCTATTGGGCAATTTTTTCGTAGTTTGCCCAACAGTTGGTCAAGATTGGTCAAGTTGGTCAAGTGGGCTACCGTAGTCGGGCAGTTGAAGGGTCATATCTTTGCCCAAATGTTGGTCAAATTACGAAACAATTATGCACGTGTGAAGTAGGGTTCTTACGTTTACCAATACCACTGGGCAAAATATTGCCCAACCTTTTCACAGTGCGGATAAGAAATGACTATTCACGTAATAGTAGTTGTTCTGTCATATAGTTGTCATGACTTGGATCCGTCTCAATTTTGTTTCTTTATTTATGTAGGATACCCAATTGTATAACAGGGTATATTTTTTATCGCATCAGTTAAGAGCATTTGTCGACTTTAAATTAGAACTCTTTTCTGTTCCTGGATTATATAGAATGATATA